ACTGTTTCATTTGGTCCATCCAGAGAGCAGGCAGTAAACAATATTTTAAAAATAGTACCAATGCAAACTATTGACAGAGTTGACCCATTGTTCTTGAATCCTCCACATGGCTGCACAAATACAATTCTGTTCACCTCCATCATTGTGCCTCAATATCTATTTTTTTCGTGGTAATAATTTCCATGCCTTCTTCAGTAATCATGCTGCAAAACAACTGGGATTGTAAACAGTGAAAAACAGTGACGCTGGAGGGAAAACTTCTGAATTCTTTCTAAATTATTTCTAGGTCTGACAACTGGTAAACAGAAGTAGATATTTGTTGTGTATCTCCTGTTCGAATGAAACTAACTAAACTTGAGTTATGATGGATATCGATGTTGTTTGACACACACACACACACACACACACACACACACACACACACACATACACACACAGATCTCACCCAGTCAAACCTCACAGTTATTAGCTTCAAAGGATAACTCCAGTTTATTCCAGCCTGGTGTATTTCCCTTTAATGTGCCTCTATGTGTCAATTTGCACTCTCTCTCTTCCTCTGTTGTGTAGATTCAGGGAACTGAGGAATCACCCAAAACAGCATGCAAACAGCTTCCTGCAGTGTTTCAAAAGTCGTGATGTTTACATGATTCATTTTACATTTCTATGAGTCAGACCTCAAGTGCACACAGGCGTCAGTCACCTGAATTGTTGCTACCTGCATTTGGGTCAACCCGCCTGCTGACCTAATCATACGGCTGATTTATCCGGCGCAGTGGTTTGTTTACACATGTGTGAGGCCGACCCTCTGGAAATGCAACAGCTTAATGTAACGGCAGCGAAACAATCGAAGTTATCCCTCGAGCAGGGCTGTCGGTTTCATCTCATGCATTTATCAGTAGATGTAGATGGATTCTAGTTGTCAGGTGTCCCAAGAGTGGTCGTAATTCCCTACAGGCGAGTCTTGGTTATGCCCTAGAGCAGTTATCTAACTAGCAAGAATGGGGAGAGAGTCATACGTGCAATTTTCAGTGATTACCAAGACATAAAAACTACATTTGTAGAATAACTGATCAAATCCAACAAAGACTTCCTCAAACTAAGGTTTAAAAAGCATTCTTCCCTTCTGGATAAACTTCTGCTGTGCAGTTTTGTTACACTTGAGTCAGTGCAACAACACGATTGGCTGAATGTTTTCCATTTTCACTGTTACAGAGCAGATGATTGGTGTTTTAGGGGGGCTGGTGGGGCATGTGTCATCCAACCATGATATTTGGTGTTCTTTCATAGATTTCTATCCAGGATTCTTTAAGTGGCGAGTCTCTTCCTTCTAACATATCTTAATATTTATCCTTTAAAAAACATCTAACGTAGATTGTGTTGTTTCCTCTATAAAGCTGAACATCCACCTTTATGCATCTTAATCATTTCTGTTGTCAGGGTTTATTTCTGGACTGACGACCACGGCAGGAAGCTGAAATGCTCTGCTCCGCTTTACTTTGACTACGCCATGTCATACATTCAGGAGCTACTGACTGATGAAGATGTGTTCCCCACTAAAGCAGGTAAAATGTATATCATACATGTTCCATTACTCAACATCACACTTTAGTTTCGTTTCAACGCTGTCATCTCCTCTCTCCTTCACTAGGTTCAGTATTTCCGAATGGCTTCGTCTTTCTGGTCCAGAAGGTGTTTTTGCTGCTGTTCAGGACTCTGGCTCACATCTATTGGTCTCACTACAGAGAGGCACTCGCTATGGGCCTGCACCCACACCTCAACACACTCTTCATACACCTCACGCTCTTCTGCCGGCAACATGCGCTGCTGGAGCCGGAGGACACTGAGCCACTGCAGGACCTCATCACAGCGCTGGGACAGCAAGGCTGAACCCAAGGCTGTACGTTGTTCTCAACACTCTCTTATTTATTTGTTGCAGCTGGTTTTCTGTGGCCGATCTGAGCCAAACTAAAACTTACTTTACAATATGAAGAAAAAAGGAAATCAGAGTATCTAGCCCCTTGCTGTATATAGCTGCTATCAGTTATTTGTGTGAACCTAATATTGCATGTTTTTTTTAACCTAACGGTGCATCGTTGATAAGGTCAAGATCTTCAAGGTCACTCATGTCTTCCTCACTGTAAGACGCTGTAATAAAAAACCTTGTTAACTTTTTGGGTTTTCTTTAAAAAAAAAAAAAAAAAAAAAAGTAGCCAAACAAACCCACTTGGTGCCATCATTGTATTTTGAACATTTGCAAAACCCCCTCAGTTGATGCAAATGCTGTATAATCTCATTTGTAAGGAAACGTTTCTCTGCACCTTCATGTCTGATTCTGTACTCTGTAGTAAACATTTGTGACATATTGACTGTCCGATGGATTTAAAAAGATGGATTTGCTTTTTCTAGAAACTATTAAATATCAAAAATTGAATTTGATCCTGCAGAGACTGCTGCTGTTGTTTCTCAGCACACCTCCAGGTTTTTGGCTTGACAGCAGCACCACCTGCTGCCAGAAGAGGAATCCAGCGTGCATCACATTTTTACCTGCACTGTCAATCTCCATCCATTATCTATACACCGCTTAATCCTCACTAGGGTCACGGGGGGCTGGAGTCTATCCCAGCTGACTCAGGGTGAAGGCAGGGGACACCCTGGACAGGTCACCAGTCTATCACAGGGCTACACTTAGAGACAGACAACCAAGCACACTCACATTCACACCTACGGACAATTTAGAATCACCAATTAACCTCAACATGTTTTTGGACTGTGTGGGAGGAAGCCGGAGAACCCGGAGAGAACCCACGCTGCACGGGGAGAACATGCAAACTCCACGCAGAAAGTTCCCAGGTGTCCTTACCGGGATGCGAACTGGCGACCTTCTTGCTGTGAGGCGATGGTGCTAACCACCGAGCAGCCCACTGTCACTCTCTTTATATGAAAATTACAGGACCACAGTGTGTATCAAAATGCTACAACCCTATTCAGTCTAGACATGAACACTCTTAAGGAAGGTAACTTTTCCATTTCAAAGTCAGTCTCTCCTCGTGGAGTCTTTATTTAAAAAAAAATAAATTCTGTCCTTTACATTATTCACCTGCTGGCTCATTAGCACTGTAATCTCTGCCTGGTTGTTAGAGAAATGAGAGAAAATACCTCTTTTCTGCCAGATCTGCAGGTTTTCTATTTTAGTAAATCTCACCTCATCAAAGTGTCCTTAAAGCAGACGGACTAAATCCCGTCAGGTCGCTCCGACCTCCCTCTGGATTGGTACAATTAATGAAAAAATCTCTGAAGAAAACAGACAGGCCTTTTTATATGACTTATGCTTTCCAAGGTTACCATTATCTCCAGTAAATGTCCATAAATTCACTTAAAAATCAAAGGGAGACACCAGGCCTCATCACTGCATAAGTCGCAGAAAAATTTCAAGTTTTCTTCACTGTCAAAGTAATCCAGCAAAAACTGTCTGTGCATCCATGAATAGAACACAAACAGGAACCTTTAACGTCTAATTTGATATACTTTTAATGATGTAATTTCCCAAAAATCCAAACTATAGGCTAAAAATAAAAGAAATGATATCACCACTAATGTAGTCAAGAGAAAATGACAGAATTCTATTTGGCTTCACAATAGACACTCCAGTCTTTGTGAATTTTACACAATGCTAATGAATGCATTTCCAAAGGAGGACATTCGAGAGCCGCTGTAATCTAATGTAATTGAGACGTAAATCAGGAGCTGCGCTGTTCCCAGAAGACATGTTTGTATTCCTCAGACAGCACCGCGGGCAATTTGACAAGAGATAAGTTGCTTTTGTCTGGATTTCTTGCTGTCACTCACAGAAACCAAAAATAATATCCAGGGGTGAAAGTAAACGGATACTCAGAGCATGATGTCATTCTCATTTGACTCTCTGTTTCACTGTCAGGGCAAAACGCAAAAACAGACAGGCATACAGTGAAAGTTAAACAGCCTTTGTCTGCACACAGGACAAGTCTGATCATCGAGCTTTTTCACATTTCAGCACTAACCTTGGTTCAAATAAACACTACACAGAGTGAAAAAGATGTCCCAGAGGAAAATTGTACTACACAAAGCTTTCTCTTTCACTTCAGCCTTACTTTAGATTTGATTTTGTCTGATATTCATCCATCCATTATCTATACACCGCTTAATCCTCACTAGAGTCACGGGGGGCTGGAGTCTATCCCAGCTGACTCAGGGTGAAGGCAGGGGACACCCTGGACAGGTCACCAGTCTATCACAGGGCTACACTTAGAGACAGACAACCAAGCACACTCACATTCACACCTACGGACAATTTAGAATCACCAATTAACCTCAACATGTTTTTGGACTTTGTGGGAGGAAGCCGGAGAACCCAGAGAGAACCCACGCTGCACGGGGGAACATGGAGACTCCAAGCAGAATGATCCTGGGTGTCCTCACTGGGATGCGAACCAGCGACCTTCTTGCTGCTAACCACCGAGCCACCTTGCAGCATGTTTTAAAAAATATGTTTCTCATATTTTTCTCCTATTCACTTTGAGAAACAGGTGAGACAGGAGACATACTGAAGACTTAAAGGAGAAACCTTCTTAACCTCGACTAATGGCTCTGTATTTTCTCATGTGAGCTACATGTCAGCTGTATGTGAGCTTTATGTGATTAGGAAGGTTGAGATTTTTCTCATTTCACTAAAATGTCCATAGAATACAACTTTATTATAATGAAGACGGAGCCAAAGACGTTAGATTAATCTTTAGCTTGGATTTTATATCAAAAACTAGCTTCCTTTTTTTTTTTCACCAAGGAAAAACTTGGTATCTGCTGGATTTTTTTCACTGCTAGATAACTGCAGTAATGTTTAGGCCATGTGATTAGTGTCTAAAATCCATATATGATTTGAGATTTGTCCCTGGGTGCCATTAGGTCTCATCACTGTCATATGTATTCTTGGATTTGATGGTCATCTCTTGTCTGACTGCCTGATTATTGTTTACGTGGCCATTTTAACGTCGCTAAACCTCTACTTGATGGTTTTTATGAGCCTTGTTTGAGGTTCGAGATATAATCTGAAATCTAAGTGCTCATTGACTGTCCCCAAAACTCTGAACTTTGGAAAAAGATATTTCTGTGTGTTGTGTCAAACTAAAAGGACAAAATCATTTATAAAGACTTCAGCTTCTAGCAAATTGAAATTAAATGGAAATTGTTATTGCATTGATCTTCTCCACTGGTGCCTCCTATATTTTTGACACTCATTCATATCAATGTGATTAGATTTTGTGTTGTCTATAACTATTTATTCTAATTATCGTTATAGTTGTTGACATGACATGATCAGATTTCTGTTTAAAAACGAGAATCTACTATAAGTAAGCGGATGCTTTTCTACAAATTAGAGCTTTTCAAACATAACACCACCATATGTGTTAGGATATGTGTTATAGTTTGACAGGACTTCACCTAAAACTGAGAATATATTTTAAAAAAAAAGGAAGGTAATGATGAAAGAATTGAGGACTGCGGTACTGTGTGGTCGTTTTTTCTTTCTCTGTGAGCATGTAGTCCCTTATTTCACCACACAGAGGCATCAAAGGCCATCACACTAATGGAAAGATGTTAGAAAAAAAAAACTGAAGTATGCTTTCATTAGAATTACAAGCACTGTACAATCTAAATGAGATAACAACAAAACATCAATGACGTTGTAGTATCTACAAGGGATGAACTTCAATGTAATAGGTTGGGAGAATAATTCAAAGTTGCATTAAGCAATCACATTTTGTTATGGTGATTGTAAATTGTCTGTAGGTGTGAATGTGAGTGTGCTTGGTTGTCTGTCTCTAAGTGTAGCCCTGTGATAGACTGGTGACCTGTCCAAGGTGTCCCCTGCCTTCACCCTAAGTCAGCTGGGATAGACTCTGGCCCCTCACAACCCTAGTGAGGATTAAACGGTGTATAGATAATGGATGGATGGATGGATGGATGGATGGATATTTTGTTGTTAACAAATTTGAAAAGATTTTAAGAAAATTTTAGGACTCAGTTTTTATTGTTTGTTTTCTATAAATCCCTGCATTTGCTTCATTATGATTCTATTGCTATCAAGAGTACAGACATGACTGATCCACTGAAAACAGAAAAAAATGTTTCATTGGCAGAAGATTCTCAATGTAGCTGCAGTTTCTGTGCAAATTATGTTCAAATGATGAATTAATAATCGATTTCATCAATGCACTCCATGAACAAATGTTCTGCTTTTAATACAGTCTCTTTTATGTGTAACACATCAGGACTCATCAGATTTAATATCACGTTTTGATCTTCACAAGCTGAGATTTTTCTTCATTAGCTTACAACAAGAGCTAAATCAGTACAAAACCATCCCTCAATGGAGAGAGAGACTCGGTCAAAGAGGCGCAACTATGCATTGAATGTGTGTTGGGTTGATTTGTTTCGTATCTTAAGATTATACTCACAGATCCTGAATGTGGCCAGACATCTGATTTCCTCTCTGATTTCAGCCCGAGGTGTCCAGCAGACACAAAGACTGAAATTGAAACTTTCCTATGGGAGCCAAAGCATCTTTCTTTGCCTGCCGAGGGATCAGAGGGAGGGAGGATAAGTCTGGATAGTGTGGACATGCACACACACACACACACAGAGGTTTGTTCTTCGGACAGATAGGAGATGTGTTAATGCACATGTTGGACTGAGTTGAGGCTCGCCGTGTTGGAAACTGAGCTTAGACGGTATTACTTCAAACTGCTGAGTCACAGACAAGTGCGCACACACACACACACACACACACACACACACACGGCACTTTAATTAAGGCCTGAAGCCACCTCCACATACAGAGCATTCTTTTAATCAGGTTCAGACTCTGAGCTTCTCATCTGTGTCCTGCAGCACAGCTAAGAAAAGAAAAATTGTTCTTTTACAAGGAAAGTGAGGAGAGCAGGATCACTGCAACCAGTGGGGGAGACTACCTCTCTGTGCCTTTTACTTTCTTTACTTCTTTGAACTTTTATTAATCAAGGAACAAACTGGCTGTCCTGCACTGTTACACAATTATATTAAACTGCCTGCACACACGCACACACACAATAAATCTTTCTCAAAAAGTGTGTCACGAGTTCCAGAGGTTGGGTTACAGCTTGGGTTTCTGACCTTTTCGTTTTGTGAAGAAAAATCAATTCACAACTCCCCATCTGGTATCTTTAAAGCGCAAAGATTTCAGGTAAATCTGGTTATTTATGGCCCTAAAGAGATATTTCATGAGACAAAATCAAAGACAACTCACTTAACTTGACCAGTTAACCTTGTCCCAGCTCTTCGGATAAATCCAGTAACTCCTTGCAGATCGGGAACACGCGGGTTACGGTTCAATGTCATCTCTTTAATCCACATCTAGAGAAACAGCAGCTGTACAGAAGGCAGACACACTGAGTCACCACATAAATGCAGAAACAACTGCTGTACTCGCACAAAAGATCTGCATGTGCCCAGCAGTCATCTATGGTTTTATTCTAGTTTTATTTTTGCTGTTTTTTTGCCATCGTTTTTATTGAGATTGAATCACGTTCAGTTGAGAAGGTAAATGTCAGTTTTTGCAGTTAACTTTATAAATGTCACAAGAACCAGAAATCCAGACTGACAAAGCTTTTATTGTACGCGCTGACAGATGAGAAATTAAAGGAAAAAGCTGAACCCGTTACCCCTTCAGTGAGGGGATCCGGTGGCTTCGTTGTGCTGTGGGAGGGCATTTTGCTGGCATGGTTTAGATCCAATCATCCCTTTAACGAAAAGGGTCACTGCGAATCAATACAAAGTAAATCTGCGTGATCCCCTTTGACCTGTGATGAAACATTTCTAGTCTGATGGGAGCGGCTTCACCCGCGATGACAATTACACAAATACTTGATGATACACCTTTGACGAATACCTCCGCCTATAGGGCACGAGAGGTCACTGGTGACTAAATGATGTGAATCATACGCTATGACTTCTGAAGTCAGTACTTCTCAACCCATTTGAACACCCACTGGAGATTTTTGCGTAACATGTTGGACAATGCTCTCCACCACCATCGTCATCAACATCTTTTGACAGATCCCTCCAGCAGACTATCAGAGACTTGGAGATGTCAAGAAGCACTGAGACACTTCCTTTTCCTCTAGTTTGCCATCTATCTGCCTGATAAATAATTTGATTTCTCCGTTGGGAACCAGAACTTCCATCTCTCATCAGTTTTACTGCGAGCTAATTATTTAGGGATAATGGTACCTGCCAGTTTGTGACCAGCGGTCCACACCTTAAGCTCTCACTAACAACTGCAAGCTTTTGTTTTAAACCTCTAGACCCAAATAGCACTACTGCTGTTCTTTTAATAGCTTTGTTAGTCGAGTCCAGCTGGATCTTTGTTTAGCAGCTTTTCAACAGCCAATATCCCGCATGCATGATGTCCTTTTGTCCAGCAGCAAACACAAGTCTGACTTCTCACGTGTCCATTTAAAAAAACATTAAACACAAAGTAGATGTGAAACGCCACAGGTGCATATAAATATATTTAGCCACTTTTTTCTTTCCAATTCCAGGTGCCTTTATACACACAAAACATACAAAAAGTAAACTATAATATGGTCTTTTTAAAATGTAAAGTATGTTATTGCGACTTATTTTGGTTGAAAGCCTGTAAATCAGTGGAATATTAATTCAGTTTTATATTTTGTAAAACAAATACTGTACGACTTACAGACATATACTGAGTTTTGTGTGAAAACCCCACGTCATCGCTTGTGTTTCGACATTAAAACATAAGCAGGTTGTGTTACTGTGAATAAAATATTCTCAGTGTATTGCAGAGGGTTTAACTGCTTTGATTCAGCAGCTCTTTTCTAAGTGGGTCAAGCTCACTCTGGCCGCCAATAAGTTCACCGTGTAAAAGGAAACTAAATCCAATAAGAAAATCCACAAGGACATCTATAAGGTCACCACCCCACTCACATGTTAAAACAAACAAACAAACAAACAAACAACATCCAATAAAGCAAATATGGAAAATGAACTTCCTCAACACTGCAGCTACTGAGGTTTAATTAGGTTGTGGTGTTCATTGGAGGCTGGAGTGGGACAGACAATAAGCCTTCCTCCTCCCTCCTCCTCCTCCTCCTCCTCCTCCAATCAGGCTTTATAAACGGCAGAGCTCCTGTTGCTCTCCAAGTGCGCCCCAATGAACTCCGGAGTTCTCTGGTCGGATAACAGCGAGCAGCTCAGTGAGCAGAAGATGCGGCAGAGATGATGCTGCTGAAGCCTCTCATCAGGACGGGACAGTCTACCTGTTAGATAGCACTTAGAAAGCCGCTATTTTGACTTTTTCTACGCAGCGGTTATTGCTTGTTTTTCTACTTTTATTTCTAAGATTTTAATACAGTATTGATATTTTTTTTTATTTTTTTTTTGACATCCGCCTCCTACCGGACAGTGCGCCTCCGCTACGCCGCCATGTGCGCCCTCATCCCGGCGTGGCTGTGCTTGCTGCTCGGCCTCCTGCCTCTGGAGGTCCAGTCCCGGGCTCTGGCTCTGCAGAGGACTCACAGACACAGGTACCACCGATTGCTGATGTTCTGCTACAAAAACTTTTGTCTTTTGCAAAGTGTTTAAATCAAGATTTTTGCTGCTGGGAAAATGTAAAAGGACAGAAAAATAAGATAGAGACTTTTAGTGGGTCTGTGTACCAACAGGGTGAGTTCCAGTGACTAAAATTAGGAAATAGCAGCAATAATAGAAAGAAATAACAAACTTAATCCCTCCTGTTGTGACACATTCATTGTCATACAACAGGTGGTGCTACATCTTTGAAATCCAAATCTTCTTCATTTCATTTTTGTACATAAAAGTAGGGATTATTGTTAAAAGCTTCATAATAATAACAAAGTTGAGTCCATTTTATTTATGTTGTCTAAATCTGAACTACATACCTACAAACGCTTCTTTAAAACCACACCGCATCCTATAACCTTTATCCATTTAAATATTAACATTTGGTTAATCAGCTGTTTAAAATAGTAGTTAATGCTAACAAACAATCTTGGTAATCAGTTAATCGCTTAAGTCCTTTATGAAGCAAGAGTGCACTGCAATTTTGGTTCTGCAATTGTTCATTTTTTCCTTCTTTTCTTTGAATGTAGGAACTTGATGTGGGCATTTTTCTCACATGTATAATCAATATTACCATCAGGACATAATAGTTTTATGTGTAATTATGACAGTGGTGAAGGGCAACAGTTGTTTGCCATTCATTAATGTGAGGGGGAAAAAAAAAAGGGTCCAGCAGCCGAATGAGGTAATTCCTCTTAGCAGCAGGAGGTGAGACAAAGGTGAGGGTGATTTAGTGGGATTTGGGACAAGGTGTGCATACCGAGGGGCCGCGCAGCAAACGGGCAGCCTGAATGAGGCAGACTACAATAACACACACTCACGCCACGGACAGCAGCTTGGAGGTCGTGATAATGTGCAACTCAGACCTGAGAACATCTTGTGATGGGAGGAGGCACAGCAGCACGCCGTTCAAAATAACCGTCACATGCAGACCCATGCATCACCACTTTATTTTCTACTAGTGTCGACAATGTAGTCACACAAAACTTGTTGCTCTGTGTTGTGTGTGTGAAAGAGAGAGAAAGGATCACTGAGTCTGAGTTACGTAAGAAGGATTTCTCTATAGTTCATAGTTTTTTTTTTTATAACGCTTTAATCCCATATTACTGTAAATACACTTATCCTATTGTTTAAGTGCTTAAAGGAACATGAGGTTAAGTGGGATATTAGTATAATAATAATCGTGGGAGACAAAGAAGAGCCTCTTTAGTGAACTGATGAAACCTTGGAACTCTCTGCATGTCTGCTATACAGAATTATTCATGTGATTTTTGCATTATATATGTCATATTATATAAATAAGAAAGGGTTTTAATAGGTTCAGTAGGTGTCGGGGAGGAAAAGAGCGAGCATCTCAGTGTGATTCAACACTGATGGATGTAACGCAATACTGCCACTGGCACTTCACAAAACACTTCTAAAGAATGAAAAGCTGGGAAAAAAAGAAAAATTAAGGATCCTGCTGGAAAATAGAAAAGATAGAAAGAGCAAGATGGGGAGAAAACTGGTAGTGGAACAGCGGGGTTCTGATCGGGACAAAAAGTTTTGTTTGCGCAAAGTAGTTTGGAGGAGTTACGACAGGATGGTGTGTGTGTGTGTGTGTATGTGTGTGTGTGGCTGTATGTGTGTTCAGTTTGACAACCTCATGCTGCGCTCTAACTTGGGAGGAATGCTGGAGAATCTCCTTCTGGTCTCAGACTCTCCACAGGTTCACATCCTCATCTGCACACACACACACAAGAAGTCGCAGTAGAAAACACAGACCACAACAGAGAACCTCTACTCATATATTCCCATCATGCAAAGTTTATTACAGTTATACATTTTAAGAACTATTTGCATGTTCTTTCCTGTGGCAGGTGTAAATAAATCTTATATGTTGCAACTCAGCTGCATAAAAACAGCTGGCTTCCTTGACTAGAGCAATGCATGCACGAGGATGCCATTGCTAGAGATGTTTCTGTTTAAGTTGTGGAAAACAGAAAAGGTAACTTGTGTATGAACAAAGTATCTAAAAAAACCTAATGATTCTGCGCTCCAGCAAGCATGCAGCAAGAAACAGACGTAAATAAGGCTAACTTGAAAGCTTATAACACTCTCAGAAGCTGATCATGCCTTGTCTGATCAGGTGTAAATGAGCCGGTTCCCATGCATCTACCACACCAGTCAAATTACAGAGATGTGACAAGGTCTGTGTCTTATACTAACTGTAAAATGAAGAAGAAAACAAGTGTATAAATACATTATCACCCCCACACAGTCAATCACCACGAATTCCACACTCCTGCGTCATCTGGCAGCACCACCAGGGCCCGAAGTCTCAGTTCAACACCACGAAATAAAAAGAGACATTTATTAAATTCGCCATACCATAGTGCATTTAACATGTTCTGCGCAGACAAATATACAGCACTAATCAAGCCACCACACATCCTTGCCCTGCGGTAAAATTCACACGCAGGAAGAAACAGAGCAGAACAAGAAAGATGTATTAAGCGGTGAACTGTCTTGTGATGTGTTGGGTCAGCGGGAGATTCTCACACAGATGCGTTTGATTATGTCAGAGAAACTCTTCAGGCTGAGGCAGAGAATATCATTTATCTCACTACAAAGTACGTTAAGTTGTTCTTCGGCAGCGCTCTTAAGTGTCCAGGTTTCGATTCCTCTTGGAATAAATCTTTAGTCATCGGGCGACTCCCTTTTCTGAAGACTGATACAATCACGCTGCTTTTGTTTAAGATGAAGAACAAACTTTAAAGCTGCTATAAGCCTGTTACCACGTAGAGTGATGAACTCATTGAGGCTTTCCAGCATCTTACAGGTTTTGGTTCTGTGTCACTTTACCGCCGCTGTACACTACCTGCCCTGCATTAGATGGCACACACAGTTGGAAACAAAGGTGGAAATTGTGGAGCATTTAGCAGCTAAAGAGATGTTTCTGTCAATAGTTAGTGGGAACTAAGGGAAAGAAGAGTGAGTGGATATATTAATATATTCATCACGGAACTAAAAACACAACTCCAAATGATCAGCAGTGTTTCCCTGTATGTGTTACATATACAAAAAAACTCTAGATCTCTATCCAGTATCAAATGTCAGAAATAATCTCCGTCCACACTAACCCGCCTGAAAACGTACAGTATATCACATGACCGTTCACGAAGCAGAAGGTTGGTTGCTCTGTTAGGAAAAACAGCAATGGTGTGAAGTTGGACCACAAGTTTCTTTGGTTGGACTGACAATGAGGTGGAAATGTCGCTGGCAGTCCAGGCTGACATCTTCTGGAAAAACAGTCACGTGACAGACGCGTGACAAACCAGAGAAGGACACGTGGTGGCTGATCAGACCTAAACAGGAAGCTAACATGGGTGTGTGGATCATCGTTTCCAAAAGTCTCTATTTCTGTCCATACAGACTAAAGTACATTCCTGAAGGTATCAAACTAAAAAGAGACCAACAGCATTCCCAAAAATCTTCACCTTAGGGGTCTTAAAACACCCGAGCAGTGTGGACACAAGACGGAAATTAGGCATCCTTAAGCAAAAATGCGTGAGTGTGGACGTAGCCTTGAAAGGAGAGAACATGTCATCGTTTTGTTTACAACTTGGTTAGACCAAGTGGACAAAAAAATCTAATAATGGAGCATCCATAAACTGTAGGTTAAGACATCGACCATCAGTCATGGTGTCACACATCTGGCTTTGCTGCAGCTCTTCCTTGTTCAATCACGATCGTATATGTTCCTTCAAAAAGTCAAAGCAGCACTATAAAGTTAATCCAAATGCAAGTCTGAATCTCATTTCAGCCTCCTTAGTTGCAACAGGGGGAAATATACGGTATATATTATTACACAGTTTTGCAGATGCATCCTTGGCACAGTCCTTCTCTTCAGCGCGTTAGTGAGTTAATACAGATGCAGCCTACCTGTCCTGGTTGTGTTCAGACACTGGCAAGCAGTTCAGTGGCCTACATTTCCTCTGACTTGGAGGCACCGTGGCGCCAAGTGCCTTTCCCTCCAGGGACAAATGTGTTTTAAACCTCACCACAGGTGGCCTTTTAGCCATGCATGTGTGTGAGTAAGTGTGTGCAAGTGTGTTTTTGAGTGTATGAGAGACTTTAGGCAGACACCTGTAGGTGAGGGCATTCACGTGTGGAGCATACACTGACTGAACTGTGCACTGTATGTGTGCAGGTTTTTCCATTGGTAAACATCGTTTGTTGCCTGGGCAGTCACATGCCACTTGCACGTGTGTGCCCACTAATGCTGCACCAAGCAACTTTATGCCAGTGTGTGTATATGTGTGTGTGTGTGTGTGTGGCTCATTCACCATCAATTAAAACCAATTCAAATCTCACAGGCTTAAAGTCACTGGTATAACACACAATGGTGGGTGAGTGAGTGAGTGAATGAATGAATGTGTTGGCAGTGAGAGCTCAAGGTGTCCGGCCAGAAGAGTGATCAGAATACCAGTCAGGATTAGTTACAGGATAAAGATCATATGGTAATTTGGCCCACTTTTCACACCAAACAAACAAACATTATCTTGCTTCTTCCATTGATCTCCCTTTATTCTTTGTTTCCTACCTTCTGAATAGGCAACAATTGTGAATAGTGAGGTGTGTGTGTACACATTTACACACACACACAGAAAGGGATTTCTTTTACTTTTTGCAAATATTGCACATCATCTGGTTGTCAAGGTTGCTGAAGGAGGCCTTTTTTCAGCTAAATGCTACAGTCAATAAGTAACTATCTAGGAGCAGAATTTGTGTTGACTGCAGCCTGTCTTATTGTAACACAGCTAACACAGGAATACAATTATTCATCATCATATCCCACTTTTAAGAGCTTTCACTGCTATATTCCAGTATACCGTGGTGTTTTCTTGTTAGATACAGTGTGCCCGCAGCTGTACTTTAAATTCCAGTCTTTTTTCAACCACTTGGTTACATCATCAGTGTAGAAGCTCACAAGTTAACTGATTACTGTGTTGCTGTTAATTTACTTACTGCTACGTTACATGATCCATACTAACCATTGCATAACTTCTGACCAGCTGTCTCTCGCAGCTGAACTCTTGAACGTCCGAGAGAATGTGTGCTTGAATAAAAAAATTAAATTAAAAATGGGTATTGTGATGAGAAAAAAAGTTGGCGAGACAGCAGGGAGGTGAGAAAGAAAGCACTTAGAACACACTCAGGAGGAGTGTTGGAGCCTCTTATCCACACTGTGCTCTGTACTCTGTCACTCTCTTGCCCTCTTCTTCTGTTTTTTTTTTTTTGCTGCTCTGTTGTAAGATTTACCAGCTCACACAGTGTTGTTATTAACTGGGAATATTATTTTTTAACCGTGTTGATGACGGCAGCATTAGCTGGTTCTCGCCTCAGTTGGTTTTAACGGCTTTGCTCCGGTTAGGTGCAGGAAGCAGAGCAACCTTTAGGGGTCACTAGTAGATATTTTTAGCTGTCAGTTTAAATGTTGTGCAGTTGGTTAGCACTGTTGTCTCGCAGCAAGAAGGTCGCCGGTTCGCGTCCCGGTGGGGGCACCGGGATCTTTCTGTGTGGAGTCTCCATGTTCTCCCCGTGCAGCGTGGGTTCTCTCCGGGTTCTCCGGCTTCCTCCCACACAGTCCAAAAACATGTTGAGGTTAATTGGTGATTCTAAATTGTCCGTAGGTGTGAATGTGAGTGTGCTTGGTTGTCTGTCTCTAAGTGTAGCCCTGTGATAGACTGGTGACCTGTCCAGGGTGCCTTCGCCCTAAGTCAGCTGGGATAGACTCCAGCCCCCCCACGACCCTCATGAAGATTAAGCGGTGTATAAATAATGGATGGATGGATGTTTAAATTTTCAGTTATTGACTAAGATGCATGTAAAAAACAACAACAACAAAAAACTTACCAGCAAGTATCAGCAAAGATGCTGCTGCTACATGACTTAGCTGCAAACAGACCACCTGCTCTACTCTCTGTCTTTTTTCCTCTATCCTTATTACTTTTTCTTTCAAGCTACTTCTTCATTTCTTGAAAAAAAAAAAGAAAAAAAGAGCGGACATTCCTGCGGTACAAGCCTGACTTCCTGTGAGGCGTTCATCTTGCTGTAGCGATCCAGTTTCCTGCAGAAACTCAAGCAGGCGACATGTGCATGACTGCGCAGCATCATATAGGGACCGACTGTGTGTGTTTGTGCTGCCCTGATTCAGCATTGTGTCTAAAAGTGTTCTCTCTTTCTCATTTTCCCAGGTTGAATTTACCCAGACCCTCTAAATACCCAAAGTCCTCCTACTCCGCCATCTTGCCTACCATGTCTGATCTCTCCGTTGCCGCGGACAACCAGATCACCCAGGAAGACAGGCATATCATGTGGAGGGCCCTGCTTCACAAAGAGCCCCCGCCAAAGCTGTCTGACCCTCTGCTTGACCGAAGCCAGAATGTGCTGCCGGAGGCGCCGGTCTGGCAGCGCGGGTCACGGGGTCGCCGCCATGCCAGCAACGGCGGCGGGAGGGGCCACGGCCACCTGATGAGGGTGGGGTGTGTCCTCGGCACCTGTCAGGTTCAGAACCTCAGCCACCGTCTCTACCAGCTGATCGGACAGAGCGGGAGGGAAGACTCGTCCCCCATTAACCCCCGCAGTCCTCACAGCTACGGCTGAGACCGCAGATCTAATCCAGCAGGACGCCCTTATCGACGACCGCAGGCGGATCACCCAGGTCCTCTACTGCACCAGTAACGCAGTTAGGGCCGAAAATAAGCCTCTGATGTCAGCTCTTACAAGAAAAATTATGGTTTATTACAGTTGGGGTGTTGTTTTTATAGTTTTGACTATAATTCTAATTGGTAATAACAACATGCTACTCAACAAGTAAATTGCTGAAATCAAGATAAAAGCCACAAGCTGTCAAATAATAAGATTTTAAACCACCAGGAGCCAAGCTGGGGGAAACAAGTAGCAACCTGCAAGACTGGGGTCACTTGACAGAAAACAGTAGGCGACTTTTTAGGCCATTATCAGTAATGCAGCGCAACAACTTTCCCCGGAAACATCTCACCACAACACAGGGCTGGTAAAAAACCTGTTGAGTTTCCTTGTTGACTCGCTTCTATGTAGTTTGGACAAAGCAGCACTTTATCACTGACTCTCAAGAAAAAACTAGCGATAAAGAGGAACTCTTATGATTACACTTTCCACAGAAGCAGTGTTGAGTAAACTGATGAGGAAATGTTTCTTAGATAAGCAGAGAGAGACGAGGACAAGGCGAAAGAAGGCGCTGCTGCATGATCGGATCAACAGCCAGACTCTGGAACAAACGATGGTGATCTTGTAACGCATGAACTATGGTTAACAAAGCTGTGCATCCCACCACCTCGCTGATATGTTTTGGTCAGAACTGTAGTTTGCTTCATGGAGCAGAGAGATACCTGTCCTGCTGACCAGCCCAACACGGAGCTACACAGAAGTCATCAGCTTAGTTAGTTTACCAGCAAAATCATGATTACTGTGAGATTAATATGAACATGTCCTTTGTAAGACAAATCCCAGGATGTTAAGATGGCTGTATCTTCTGATATTTATTTTAGAAAATTTAGAGATCTACGCGGCTTTTTGGTAAATGTATTTTGGTAAATGACAGATTTAAGCGGATGGTTAGTTATTACATGCGGACTCACTGGTGCGGTCCTTTAAGGAACAATTTTCATATTTAATAGATATTTTTGTCTTTGATTTAAATCATGAAGGAATTTTCCCTTTAAAATCTTTAACGTGTGGGTCTGTCACCCAGACTTAAAACAACACTGATGACTGACAGAACGTCCAGAGAAATACTCAAAGTGCTTTACAATGTTTCCCATTCACATTCATACAACAACGGCGACGAAGCTTTCATGGAAGGCGTTTCCCTGCCATCGGGAGCGACTTCCCGTTCGGCTGAACGGCAAACAAGATAACAGATTTCTACTGAAACTCATTTAGTACCAGACCAGATTTCAACTTCACACCTCTGCCAACTCTCTTGCATTGGCCAGAATATCTCTGGCTACCATAGAACACTTTCAGCCCAACCAGTTTACTTCTTTAATCACATATTATCCAGAGGTAAACATGCAAACACATTAGCTGGATAGTAACAGCCCAGCTAGCCTTGGCAAACACATGACCCCCGTTTTGCAGGCTGCATTGTTCCCTCGAGATTCTCAAGGCTAAATCAACTCATTATCACCAATATTCCAAGTGTGCTCAGATTTGGTTTTACTGCCAGCTAAAGATCTTGAGATAATCAGCCTAAACGTGGCCTGTTAGATCCTGTGACGTTGTGTTTGATCTCAACAATTGATGAGTACAGTGTTATTCTAACCTATACATACACTGTGAAAATAACGTGTATCCTTTCTGTATTCTATAACATCACTGCCTCTAGTTTTTACAGCAGTGTGGGCCACCATGTTACCGGTCATTACTGCCAGTTGACTGCAGAGAAACTAGAGTGTTGTGTGACTTGGCATTCATACAGCAGCAATCATTCAGCTACTATATTTGTGAATGAGGAACATTGTGAACCGGTGAAGCCTCTCAAACTGGCCTACCTGACTAATGTCTACTATCGTCATCAATGGTGATCCTGCTGATCTGAACTTACCTGAGCTCAGCGCTAATCCAGCCCCCGTCTCTCAAAAGCACATTCATGCCCTCTTGCAAACAAGGAGCTTTACTTCAGTGCGGACAGAAACCAAGAATAACATCCAATCAAACCCAATTAACCCTTCACCCAAAACCTCACGGAGCACACAATCAGCCAAAATAACCACTAACCCTAATCCATGATCTGTCTGCGCACTTCTTAGCCGATACTGTTGCGTGTCCCGGGTAAGAACAGTTACACAGCAGAGAGCTTTTTTTATGTGCACGCTGTACAATGCATCAATGTTGTATTTTTGCCACTGTCTTTTCTGTGAGCCTTAATTGGTTTAATCACTTGTACGGCCTTATAGTATTTTTGCCTTTCACGACTCGGCTTCACAGTACATGTCAAAAGTTTTATTTATAGGCTTATCTGTCAGTTCAGCATAACTCCAGGTTCAATAGTTCTCACAGGTCAGATGCTAATATAAATGCATGAAAGCACTTTATTGTTCTCTACCTTGAAGATGACTTGAATTTTCCAAATGTGTTATTTACCTTTAAATTAATTGAGTCGGTTCTGCTGTGAATGTCCCACTTTACTAAATCTTCACGTTAATGTCTGCGCCCCTTCAACGTACAAGTGTCCTTTTGTAAACTACCGTTGCTGTTTTCTTCTAATACTTTGGTTTTAAAGTAGCAGAATTGTGTAATAAAAACCTTTACAATTACTTAATCTGTCAGCAGCAGGCTGAGGTGCACGTTTGACCTTTGTTTGGGACTTTATTACTGGAAAATGGGTGTGACAGCATGTTATTAATAATTCTTATTAACTTGGGCTGCCACACACACACACACACACACATGTACACATGAGATTAAAGGATAAGCGAAGTGCACACCAACACCACAGAATTTGTCAAGTCACCACCACTCAGCTCATCATTACATTTTTTGTCTTCTGCTTTGTGACTGCAATGTTTAAAAGTTCAGTAGAGACGTAGGTAGTAAGTAGAACTAATTTTCCTTTTTTACAGCTTGGAGGCAAATAGTAAGAAATATTTTGACCTTGTAATGATCAGAGAATTCTGAGAGCTTGTGTCTTATTTTCTTTCATCTTTCACTTCCAACCATTCATACAAGATTTCCACCCAGAACTACCCACGCTGGGCCAATCAGAAAAGTTTTCCAAATAAGCTATGGGTTTCACTTTTGTACTTCAGCGCTACGTCACACGTTTTGTTGCCCTGATCGGTTGTTGTTCTGCCCAGTTGTGTTTCTTGTAAATCAAAACTGAACAGGGAGATTTGTCTGACAGGATAAACACTGAATAATGGATGGATAGTAAAGAAACTCAACATTTTCTCCACTGACAGATGTGCACTGAACCAAACAAAAAAATGTTACAGATGAAGGCCTGAATGAAATGATCAGAAACACACATTATCAGAGTCAGGTTGCAGACACCAAGATAACCCATCTTTTTATCTGCGGTCGGGGTCAAAATGCTAAATCCTACATTTCTATTTCATTTTCTAATGAAACCTTGAGTCCCTACCATGAAACAGAGTGACACTTCACACAGCTCCCTCTACAGCTAGAACTTTAGTCACATTTGTGCAGCCAAGATCTGCTGTAAAGTGTAAATACACTCAACTTTCACTTCAATGTTAGCAGAACTGGGGTGGTTTTTAAGGTGACCAACCAGATTTGAGAGTTGGACCAAGGCTCAACCACCCCCCAAACACACCCCTGCCCCAAACAAAAGTGAAACAAGTAGTGAGCCTGAGAGATTTTCAGACCAACTACCTGATGTATCTGACCTAAGTTGTGTCCTGCAGTCTTTAAAATAGCTCATGCTGCTATTTCTTATTTTTTTTATATTTTAATAATTTTTTTTTATATACATTATTAACAGGGACAGAAACCAAATGTCCGTCCCGTTCAAATATTTGTGAAGTTGTTTTGTACGTGTGTCCCTCGTCATTGACCTCTTTGAGTAGAGACAAGGGCTGCAAGCCAAAAGTTACATCCAAAGATCACATCACAGTATTATCTACTCAGCTCCATGGAAAAGCAGATAAATGTGAAGAATTTCTTCACATCCGTTCACGCAGTCAGTGCAAAGCGACTAAATAGACACATGGTGACCTGCTGGGACTGATGCCAATCAGGACGTCTGGTGGCCGGGAATCGACAACAAATTGTGAGACCTGGGTCATCGACGGAAACTTGTTTGAATATCTTTTGGTCAACTTCACCTCTGTTTCAACAAATAGTTTTCCTCCTAATCTGTGTGTGTGTGCGCACAGATTTGTACCAACTAACGCTGAGAACCAGGACTTCTGATACTGAGAAACACACAAGCCAGGGCTTGTATACATAATGGGTTGAATACGCGGAAATTATATACAAAAATGTACGTGCTCTTCATTTGTGCAGGTAGAACATAGGTCAGTACAGATCAGTGTAGAAGAGAAGCATGGATCAGCTACAGGTATAAATAATAGATCTACTCCACAGAATGTATTACACAAGCATTAAAAATAAACCTGTAAATGAGTGCAAATGTGTGTATTTTTTTTTTTAATAATCCTAAAAAATCAAACTATGGAAGAAAGAAGCACTGAGTCATTCTACATAAGTTAAAATCAGCAAACTGCTGATCACTAAAAAACACTTCCTGGGATGGACACACACTGTCACACACAAACACACGCACACACACAAGGTCAACGTTCAACACAGGGTCCCCCATTAGGTGAGGTTTGGTTAAACATTGGTGTGTGCTTGTTGAAGGCCTACACACACACAAGTCAAAAGCATTACAGCTTCAACCAGGGGGTTTATATACGGACAGGGAAGCAGGCAGTCAGCTGCAGAGGAGCAACACAACAGCTGCTACTACGACTTCACCTGTCAGCCATGAAGGTTGTCAACATTGTGAGTATCATTTCTAAATTTCTTTTAAAATCAGGATGCATGTTTGCAAAGCCTGAAAAATGTTTCCTGCACTGCTTTATCAAATGCAGGGTCCAGATCCGTCTCTAGCATATCGGCCAAATTTGGAGAAGAATGAAACCAAAGAGAAGGAAGACTACAGAAACTTTGAGGTAATTCAAAGCCTCCCTTTAACACTTATGTAATGCCAGCTGACTGATGTTATCTTTCCTTGGCATGGGGAACACCACATTTCAGTGCCATTCTTTAGGGACGACTTGTTTGAGTGGCTTTTTGCGGAAGGAACTGTGCTACTCTATCTTTCTTTTTAAAGGGGCTCCATTGGATTCACATTAGGTGACAAACTTGCCCAGGTCATTCTTCAGAAACTCTTGTTTGATTTAGGCGTTGTGGTTTCGATTGTTGTTATGCAAAAAAAATCTTCTTTTGCTAAGCCTCTGTAGACTGGGAGTCAACTTGTCAGCCAGTTGTTTTTGGTATACCCACAACTGTACATGTCATCTCGCCAGCACCTTTTTGTACTTATGCATCCTCATATCATCACACTTCTGCCGCCGCGCTTCACTCTCAGGATTATGCGTTCATTGTGTCGGCCAGGTTTACCCCAAACAGGCCGGGCCCTATCTAAGTCAAACAAATTTATCTTGATGTCATCGAGAATAGCTGCCGTGTGGCGTCTGATAAGTGGTGCTATGGCTCGTTCTGTACCTCCTGATCACTGCTGCAACTGTGTTTCCTCTGATTGTTGGTTGGTCACAGAGCTCTCTGTATACTTTTCTATATATGTGAAGTTTTTCAGCTCCTCTTTTCCAGGTGTAGCCATGATGCAGATATACATGGTCCATAGGTCCAAAACTGATTAAGTTCTGGTATTCATAGGTCATTTTATAACCATGTTCATACAATTCATAGGAAATAATGTATTTTCTAGTTTTGTTTTACTGATCACAAATTTCCAGGTGTAGTCACTTTTGTTGCATTGAATTTCCCCTTGGGTGTCTGTATGATCAATACAGTCTTTTTGAAGTGTTACTGAAAGATTCTACAATTTTGAAACATTTGTCATTTAAACTTCTGCTGTATACGATTTGAAGCCAGCAGTGTTCTGCATCAGTTCTCCTGATAAGGTCAAAACACACTTATAATAATCATACATCACTGTCTAAGCTGCAGTCAGTGTTGGCACTGAATGGGGGCTTCACCGCTCCTCTCCGGCCTGCCCTGCATGTCATGTTACTCTAATGTTGTGTCTTATTAAATTAGAAAAGATGTCACATGGTGATACTCCTGCTCTTTCATCAGCACTCCTGTGATTGTATTTTGTGCTTTCCAGACTGGAAGTCTATTCGACCGCGTCTTCAACACGTACAAACTGATGCACACCAACCAAACGCTGGAGTTTGTGAAGCAAAAGGTGAGCAGCAGGTGACAAATTCTGATCACAAATCTGTCAACAGGGACAAGATGCACACTGTTTTTTTGTCTCTTGCAAACCTGACTGACTGAGCAAACAAATGTTATCTAATCCTCCGAATTGAAAGCCAAAAGCAAAGAGCATAGACGTTCTGTCTGGACTCAACTTTGTTTAATTAACTGCATTTTTTCTTTCTCACAGAGGTTACCCTGGGACATTTTCTATTTCACATCTGTGACCTGAGGAAAACCTTGGCACCTCTTTGGCTCTTTTTAAGCCTTTTTAAGAGACCAAAGAGCGTCGTTAATATCTAAAGAGTAGATGCCCTTTTAGGAAAAAAAGCAACAGGAAGAATATTAGTGGTGACATAACACATACAGACAATAGGCCTCATTTAGGTGAACGTGGGTGATTTTAAAATTAACTAGAAACCTAACCCCTCTGTACCTGGAAATTGTGCTCAAGTAATTATTACTTCCGGTTTTTTAGGGGGTTTCAAGGTTTTCCGGTAAAACTTGAGATATAAAACCTCCCTAGTGATGCGGTGACTCTCGTACCTTTCTGCAGCACTCTGAATGGACCGGATGCAACCACACGAAGATGGGGATGATGGACGCCGTCATGTCTCTGGATCAGGTGGTGGATGAGTCTGATCCTGACGTGGACTTTCCCAACTCCTTCCACGCCTTCCAGACAGCTGAAGGCATCCGCCAGGCACACCCAGACAAAGGTGTCATACAGAGGGGGAGACAAAAAATGCATACAGGCTCTGTACAAGCACATACATGTATGTTTAGACTGATAAATATTTCCCTCTCCAGACTGGTTCCAGCTGGTGGGTCTCATTCATGACGTTGGGAAGATCATGGCTCTTTGGGATGAACCCCAGGTAAGAGAAAGGTTTACCACAAAGCTCTGGACAATCTCACAGAGGAATATGAGCTCAGTGTCCTGTCTGGATGTCCCACTTTTTCAGACTTGCTTTTCCTTAAACTGAGGTTTTTATCATGTCTTCTTTTTTACTTTGTTGGCTTCTGGTTACGCTCAATGCTATTTCTATGACCACTTTTTTTGTATGAGCCATGTTTATAATACAAGCCCTCATATTTTTCATTTCATGTACTATACACAGCAAGATATAATTAAATCATACAGCAGTCTCAGGCAACTATTCCTGTGTGTTCTGCAGTGGGCCGTAGTGGGCGACACTTTCCCCGTGGGCTGCAAATTTCAAAACTCCGTTGTCTTCAGAGAGAACAGCTTCCTGGACAACCCAGATGACAAAAATCCCAGTTACAAGTTGGTATTCTAATGCTAAAGTAATAAATCCTTTAATTTGTTGGTTACTCTTTAAATACACAACCCACTGCAATAAGCCTGCCAGTCGCTTCTGCGAGGGATCTACACAGAAATGTGTTTTGATTACCTCATTTTCATAAAAATGACAAATAAGAAAAAGCTGGACTTTAACATTTTATAGTTTTGCAGCATTGTTTTCCGCACTTGCTACAATGCAAATGTAAACAGGCATCTGAACTTCTTACCTTGTTGTAACATTTGGTTAAGTTCTTGATACCTGCAATCTATCATCAGTTTTCATTAATGGAACAAATACAATATTTTGTATTCACATATTCAATAACATTAAAGGTATCCTGTTGATTTTGACAACAGTGCACAGGGAGTTCATCTTGTGTATTTTTCTCGTTTCTAGCACTGAATACGGAATCTATGCACCAAACTGTGGCCTCGACAATGTCCTCATGTCCTGGGGCCACGATGGTAAGAGATGCCTTCATATTCAGTCACAGTCAAACCTCTGCTGCATTTTTAAAAAAATCTAAATGTCGACTGGCTTTGAAGTGTCTTTGTCTGTTACGCTGTTTTCAGAGTATCTCTATCAAGTTATGAAGTTCAACAAGTGCTCCATCCCAGAAGAGGCGAGTAAATAAGAATATTACAAGGCTGGTAAACGTATTTTGTGGCAGTTAGCTTCACCGTTGCCACACAAACAGAACTACAAGATGTCAATTCTACGCTCCTTATTGGTCATGAGCAGCAGAAAACCACCACAACAATTTTGCACAACGACATCATCATAAATTTAGTTTTCTGTCTCTTCAGGGGTTGTACATGATTCGCTTCCATTCCTTCTACCCCTGGCACTCCCATGGAGATTACTTGCACCTGTGCAACGACAAAGACCTGAAAATGATGCCCTGGGTCAACGAGTTTAAGTGAGTATCTTCCCCTCTCATACATGTTATCTTTTTTTTGTAGCTCTAATCTAAAAATTCAACTCTTTCTACAGCAAATTTGACCTGTACACAAAAACCACCGATCTGCCCGACGTCGACAAGCTGAAGCCGTACTACCAGTCTCTGATCGACAAGTACTGTCCTGGAGTGCTGCAGTGGTGAAACAAAGAAGTCGACGGCGACTCCGTGTTGACAGAAATCAGCCGACAAACAGCATGATTATAAATGTTGTGCTACACGAATGGCTTCATGTATTGCTTTAACGCAACACTTTAACTGAACATATATTATTTAGTACTCAGATCCTCGACTGAAGTAAAAGTCCTGCTTCCACATTATTCAAATACAAGCATTCAAAAACTTACTTGGATGAAAATTATCAGCGAAATGTACTGACGGTATCGAAAGTAATCATTCTGCAGAAAAATGTTTTACTGTTATTTATGATGTAAAGTAGAAAATTGCATTACTTAAAAATACAGCACTTAAGTAAATGTACTTAGTTACATTCCCCCACCACCACATATCCTTTAATATATCAAGTTTCAAGCTACCTAGAATATGGCGAACTGCAAATCTTATGTCTTTTTACAATTATGCTCACGTATTACTATTCATCGCATACAATAACACATGTACAAATGATTATTTTTATTTTATTGTATTTTGATGTTTAAAAATGTTTTAAAAGACCTGCAGTGTTCTGTGTGGTGTTTCATTTCTAATACTTAAAAAAAAAAAAAGACAAAAACAAAACACTCATTTGTGGAAAAAAGTAAAAGTGCTTGTTTGTTTTGGGTCTGAACATACAGCAAGAGGCAAGTAAACACACACACACAACATACAACATACAGCACAATCAGGAGACACAGTGTGGCACTTTAACATAAACACAGCACATTTACCCTGCTGATGGACACATCAGAGTTCAGCTTAGAGTTTAAATTCCATCTTCTGCTTCCAACAGACATGATTATTCTGACGGGATGTGAACCAACCAGGAAGGCTTTCATCATTATTAAAACTGCTCCAGAGTGATTAAGTGACATACAGGTGTGTACTTCATGGTGCAGGAAAGTGAAGGTGAAAGAATAAATGTGTTTTTTTTTCCCCATAAGTGGCAGATCCAGAAACACAAAACAACTTCTTTGGTCATTTTGGTGAGATTCTATAAAGGCAGGCGGTGATAGCAGACTGAGGGGATTACCTGCATCTTTTTCAAAACTTTTTCTTTTCAGGGGTATCCTCTTTTTCAATGCCATCTTCCTCCACATCCTCTTCGTCGTCACTGACAGCGTCCTTCTCCTCACTTTCTCCTTCCTCTACGTCGTCTTCACTGTTTGCTCCATCGTATTCCTCCTCCTCCTCTTGTTCATCTGACTTCTCGCAGTTGTCAGACACATTTTCTTTGTGATCGCTCACAGTAGCGTCAGCATCAGCACATGAGGTCCTTTCTGTGCCTTTGTTTCTGCTTCGCAATCCCTGGAGCAGACTGAAGGTGGCGCTGCAGGCGAGGAGGGTCCAGATTAGTGTGGGGGCAGGAACACCTCTGATCTGAGAGCGCATCCACCTCACCGCCTGGGCAACAGCGGTGTTGGACGGTCGCCGTGGGGGCGATTTGTCCTACAGATAAACAATTTAATATTAGTCACAAGTGGGTTAAATCAGAAAAGAGAACATTTGCTAACCCACATTTCTTCTTTACATGTCAATAAGATTTTACATGAAAACATTCAGACAGACTTACCTTGAGCCCATACTGGTTCAGCATGTTCTCCAGGAAAGTGTTGCCCAAGTGCACCACGGGATAGAATTCCTCATCGTAGACCCTCCTCCACCAGCGCTGTGGGTAAGACCTGCCAACAAAGACACAAACAGCAAATATCCTGTTCATACTGTGCACATGAGGATACTCAAAAACATATATAAGAATGAAATAAGTGCAACCAAGGCCCTGTTCACGCCTGGAATTAACATGCATCTTAGGTGATCCAATCACAAGTGGACAGCTCTGAGTATAACTGTGCATGAATCCCAACATGCACTGAGTACATGCTGAGACCCGCACCCATGTCAACCCCTCTAGATGCAAAAAGTGATGTTCCGCTGTGTCATACTACTGGCAAAAAACATTAAATACGCATTGTGTGTGAAATATTAAGGTGGTAGTGTCCAGTGTGCATCATACATGGGAACATGTTTTAAACCAAACCGCACCAGAGGAATATACATCAGAGGAAGAATCAGTCACAGATGACAATGTTTTCGCTTCTTAAATTAGATGTCTTAAAAATGTGGCAGGATCTGAAGTTATGCTTTTAAACTTCAAGCACAAAACAATCTGCCAACGGCTGTAGCTGATCACCTGAATAAACTTAAACCACACAAATGCTGAATTAAGTTTTTTGTACAATGTACATGATTTTTATGGATCTGTATGGAAGCACTTTAAATGGGAAAAATCCACATGAGAAGGAGCGCCTACCCAACTGACCTGAAGCCTGCTATCTGATAAAAGTATGAATGCAGCTGTTCATGCAAACAATGCACATGTTACTCTGCATGTAAAGCAGGGAAGCAAGGTCCAATCACAAGTGGCCTCTGGAGATGCAGTTAAAATAAGGTGTTCACATGGCCACAGTCAAATCCTGTGTGCTAAACACCGAACACAGATCATTTTTTTTGTATTTTGAAGCTGCATTGTTCACTTTTACATCTGTAAAGAATGAGGACTAACTGAGTGATTTGGTAAACACACATGTGGTTCACAAGAACAGGACCTGAGCTGCGACTGTCCCTCACACACGAGACAGTGTGGAAACCAACTTGGCCAATAATAAACAACATTGTTTTAAATAACAGGTTCCCTTTTATCAAATGCTCAATTCTACAAATGTTTGGCAAATGTAAATCATCAAACATTGGATATTGGTGGTTACTAACATTGCATAGTTTGTACGGAGAAAATTAAATGAAGTTAAAAATACCAGCATCCATGCCTAAATTCACTTATTTTAAGGGCTGAAGACAAATCTGAAATAAATAAAGCTCAAAACTGACAGTAATGTTTCACAAGGCAAGTGACAAAGGCAAGAATAATCAGGAGGAGAAAGTGAGCACTGACCCGTCAGCCTTTGGTTCAGTGAACCAGTATCTGTAGCGGTGAGCTCGGAGGTAGGCAGGAGGCTGATGGAGAAATGGATACTGCGATACATCCGTCTGGATCAGCTCAATCACTGCAGGGCACAAAGCAAACTTTAAATCCAAGCAGTGCCTTTCCAAGTGTAACTCAACACCGGATCATCTCAGGTAAAGAACTCTTTCTGCTCTCAGTAGATTAAAACTTTACAGTATCATGCATCTTTGATGGATTTCTTGACAATGCTCTTTTACAAAGTAAAAATATTACAGTTTCCTGTAAGCTTTTCTCCTTTGACAGTACAACGACCAAATTAGCACATGCAACACAAACAAAAGCCTATTTAAATGGTTCCTGATGGGGCAGGAGGCCAGATTCACTCTATCACAACTGGATCAGTCAAAAGTTGTTACAAGTAGAAAAAAGTACAGTTAGGCTTTCTCCTCCATCTGATTTAGAGCTGAAAGGCCCATTAGGTAGTTACATGAGAACATTGAAGCTGCAGATTGCAGCAATTGAAATGTTCTTTCTGCTCTAATTGTTCACGGGCTGCTCACCGTCTCCTTTGCCTTGCAGTAGTCTGTACATCAGGCTGGTGAACCACGGAGCCTGTGTATGAGGCCCGAGAGCAGCAAACCACATTTGCCAGTCCAGCCTGGGCTGATGGGGCGTCACCACAGGAGGAGAGGCGCTTAGGTTCCCTGGCTTATACATGAACTCAATCTCCTGGAAGAGAAAGAAAAGATACACATTGATATAAACAACTTACTGCAGTGCAAAGCAGTTAATTCTGAAATGTGCACAGTGTTATTGTGCAGTGACAGATTTTAGAAAGTAGGATAAATAACTGTTTATCCCTCACCGTCCAATCGATCCCGTCATGGCTTCCTTCAATGACAACCTCTGGCCGCCCACCAACCCCGGTCATCCTTCTGAACAAACCGTACGAGTTAGTCAGCTGGTAGCGATCCACTAAGTTGTACGCCTGACGCACTCCTGGCCACAGCCGGGCATTAGAGTCATACTCGATATAGGTGAATGGCACCTGAAAGAGAAGCAAAAACCCAGTTTGTAGAAATGTGTCAACTGCACAAAGGCACACTAGTTTCATGATAGTAAGTTCATTCAGTACTGTATTTCCAACATCACCCACCAGACTGACTGCAAACATTGACGCACTAGCAGCAGCAAACAGAGTCCACTGGACCGTACCCCAGAACCTCTTCAAGAATCCAGAGACACACGCACACCTACAAATACACTTCAGTTGTAAACTCATTCTTCTCAGGTAAGAAGTGCAACAAATCACATGAACAAGCTCACGTTTACATATATACACACCTGAACATGGATCTGACCATCTCCCAGGTGAGAGACAGGACACCGATCCAGACACTCGGGATAGTAACAGTCTTCAGAAACTCGTTGAACTGGTGGTAAGTGAATGCTGCAAAAACAAGAACATGAATAAAAATCCTGCAAAATGCAATTTATATACACACATGCAAGAACACAAGCAGACACACCTGTCCGGGAAGAGATGCCATTCTTAGCTGTATTCAGCTGCAGGTCGAAGAAGATGATTGTCCCAAAGATCACGAGAGCCCAGACTGTCAGCTCCAGCAGGTAACACAGCCACGACCACAGCTTGGAGTCTGAGCAGACCAGAGAGAGAGAAGAACTAAAGAACGCAGCTTTGCATGTGGTGTGCATCAGTAGACATGATTTTTTTCTTTTTTAATTATTACAAAATGTGATGTTGTAGGTGTCAGTGAGTGTTTAATATGGTGATGGAGCAGCACAGTAATGAGGTAGGCCATAATATGTTCTTCATGACAAATGAAGTACAGGAAACTATACCAGGGCTACAGCTGTATAAACGTGTGTGTATGGGGGGTTAGTACAAGATTTTAAGATCTGTAAAATGTAGGATAAATATCTCGATTTTTGATGTTGTAAGTGTACAAAGTATGAACTGTGTCATACCATTGTTCTCCTCATTGGTCTTATCTGCCTTGCGCAGCCAGAAATTTACATGCCGGTCGTCCAGAAGAGACAGACAGAGCGTCAATGTCAGCAGGTTGAAGAAGTTGTAGTTGCCAGACAAGATGATGAAAACTTGAAGCAGCACCTACTCAAAAGTAGGAAATCATTTCATTAGCGCAGCACTTTACATGCCAAAAAAAACACAATTACTTTTCACCTTTACACAGTTTCAGAGAGAAAAATTTAACGGTGCAGCTTCCCATAAAAGAAATAAGAATTTATTAAGAACGTAAGCAAATACGGGAAACAGTGAATTTGAATATTTACTCACCTGAAAGTAAAAAGCCCCAAGCCTCAGCCTTCGCAGAGGACTGAAGAAGAGAAAAGGGACAGCGATCTCTATCACAAATGTTCCCACCACACTCAGCTTCTGCCACCAGACTGGCAACTGGTGGGCAAACCAGGCCAGCGGTGTGGGGATGCACTGAGTCTCATAGTGATATGTCACAGCTGTTCAACACACAGTAAAGAAAAAACAGAAATGGAATCAGATGGTGGAAGATGTTTGAGGGACAGAAGGAAACAAACAGAACAGCTAACTGGCAAGTTAAAATTAGTAATCATAGAGGTCAATCAGTTATAGGATCTGATATTTAGCTTTATTGTAATTATTGCTCGTTTGAGTTCTTCAAACTCGTTCCCAATAAAATTAATTTAGTTAAAAATGTATCCTTTGGCTCTGCTGTAGCCGCCTACTTTGTGGTTTTGTTTGTACATCAGCCAACCCTTAATTAAAATGACGCAGGAGCAAAAGTCCTCCAGGATTTACTACACTAATTTACATGACTTTAAAACATACCTGAGACCCTTTAGCGTGTCTCCTTACAGTATAATCCTGAAGCATCATGATAGGATGAATAAGACATACTCTACTCCACACAGACACTCATACGTACCTGTGAGGCCCCACCATGTGGGACAACGTGATGTGAGTTTCACCACTCCAGAGGCAAACATCAGTCTGAAGAGCAGCCAACGAATCAGCCAGAAGGTCACACGATCGTGCTCTCTGACCCCTCGTGACCCCCTGATCAATGTCAGCGGAGCGACAAGGACACAGAGGAACCCCGTCTCTAGAAGCAAGTTGTCCCTGAGCAGTGTTTAGTAGAAAGTGCAACAGGTGAAGAGCGATGAGTAAGAGAGAAAACAGGAGACGGGAGAATCAGTCATTTGTTTAGCAGGTTATCTATAGTGTTGTTGCACAGCAGCAGAGACAAACATTACTATGATGATGCAAACAGTGGACTGAGGATGACATAAACCTCTCAGCAAACTGTCATCTTGAGTTCCTACAACCAGCTGTTGTTTGTAGAAGTAGTGTGTTAATGAAAGAATAATTTGTTGCGATCATAGCGTCCAAAACACTCACCACTGGAAGTAGAGGAAAACCTGCCCCACCTGTGACACAAAGATGTTTAGTGAGGATGAGCACGATAACTGGAAACACTGTGAGAGAGAAAAGCCATGATAAACTCACCTGGTACATGGAAATGTACAAGGCCCAGAGGATGAAAAACACCACGCTGTCTCGTAGAGCTTCCACCAGCGTGGCGGCGAGGCTCAGCGCGGCCCCGACGAGACACAGCAGCTCCATGGCGGTGTGGGTGTCCAGGCCGAGCTGAGGTCCCAGCCACAGAAGGGTGGGAGAGGACAGCAGCTGATCCAGCAGAGGCTTCCCGCTGTAACGCAGCTGCCGACGGGCGGGAAGCAGCCCCTCATTGCCATAGAGACCTGGACACAAACAATGTAATCTACTTAACGGATGAACACCATTCTTCCAAAAGGTGATTGATATTTTGATACACTGATGGTGAGCAGCTCATCCATCATCGTGTGGATCCTCTCATATAAAACATTTTGTTTTTGCTCATCAGGATTAATTCCTGCAGGGCCTCATTGAAAAGAAAAACACTGAACATACATTAGAAATGTGATATATTTCAACACTTGTAGTTGGTTGCAATGTAAGGGGACAGAAAAGTATGATTAAAAATTAAACGGTCTAGTGTCTGTATAAGAATTTTACTAAATATTTTCTAGAAATGTGGGTGTCAATTTCAAGATCTACTCATTCATTTTAATTTTGATCTTATTTTATAGGTGCAACATTTCATTATCAAGTGTGATATAACCTATAATCTCAGTATATTTGCCAGCATTACTTTTTACTTTTCAATTCTAGCCGTACTTATTCTAGCTCACTTATTGTATTTCAGTAATGTATTATCACTAAATCTTATTGCTTTCCTACTTTTAGGTACTGCATTTGTTTTGTTTGTTGTTTCTTTCTGAGCAATATCTGGTAGAAAAAAGTTCCTGCAATAATAATACAGTTTTATCTTATCCATTCAGTAGCAATTGTAGGTTGTAAACTTTCACTAATGTCATTTTGCCATGCCTTGAAATGAACTAAGAATGCACTGTGGAAAGCTATGCAGTATAAAACTTCCCACTGTGGCTAAATCCATTTCCTTCAACACATGGGCGACGTCTGCTGCACTTCAGCTGGGCTACACAAATAAATCACACCGTTAAAGCAGCGGGTTTGCTGTCCTGGCTAACACACGAACTTCTTAACAACAGGTTGGTTCTCCCTCAGCAGAGGCTAGCTCGTAAAGTTAGCTTTTCGTCCAGGAAGGAGCGGAAACTTCCAGGCGGTTCCTCACCACGTAGGACAGCGTGAAAAGCAGGAGGAAGGCAGGAGGGCAAGTTCCCTGCTAACAAGCTAACATGCAGCGCAGAGTGAAGGGAGCTAACAGTCTCACCTGGTATCTGCACGTAGAGGGACACGAAAGCGGCCAAATAAATGACCGCCATGCACCAGAGGAACATGCGACGAGGCAGGATGATTTCCCCCATCTTTGACTCGGGATGGACTTCCACCGCCGACTTGCCGCTGCCTGTTCCTGTAGGAGCGGGATTTAACGTAGCCGCGGGACACGTAGCGACGAGCCGTTGTTTATACGTTCACCCGGACGGCCGCAAGATGGCGCCCGAGCTCCTTTGACGATTATGTTGCGTTCAAGTTGCATCGGATAACAAAGGGTTCGCATGTTTTTCCGACCGATCACACGCAAGTCTGAACTAATATTTTACAGCAAAACCAAAACCTGTAATTTTATACACAGTGTCACACTGTATGGACATTTATTTCCCAATAGCATTTTTTTAAGGCAAGAAGGTGCAATTTACACGTTGTGTGAATGCATCATGACAAATAGTTTTACCAGCGTCAGTAAATTAATTTTTGAACAAAATAATAAACACTCGCAATGTCGTTTTGCTGAAAATGTGACTTTCTCACTGTTATAAAAAGCAATATCGATTGTTCACTACACTGTGATTAGCTGTGTACGTTATCTTTTTGCTTTACAAATTAAAAGAATACCAATTATGTTGATTAGTCGAGGGACAGAAAGTTACCACTTTTGATAAATGAATGACTCATTCGTAAAAACAAATAAATAAATAAATAAAATAAATAAATGCAAAATGTCCTGATTCCAGCCTCTCAAACAAAATGACTCTCTGCTTCTGTTGTCATTGTAAATTGATCATTTGCTTTTTTTTTTTGTTTTTGCCTGGTGGTAGAGGCAATTCAAAGGCATTGATTAAGAGATGGGGATGGATTTGCATTTCTTAATCATTACAAAAACCATCACTGACAGACTATCTTCGGTAGTTATTAAAGGGCCACTGCGGTCATGGATTAAAGCCTAAAAAAACTCATCTCAATACATCAAAATTACATATTTTTCATAATTTTTTTCATGAAAAATAATTCCGTCATGCCTTAAACTGGTTCAGATGCAACTCTGCACTGCTGCAATTCCCCACTTCCATCTACACAAACCTTTAAATCACCTCCTGCAGCTCAAGCACACCAGCTCACCAACTATTCTGCACTACACAATGACGGATTGTGATTGAGTAATTAAGCCATACAAGTTTAAATTGGAAACCAGTTCTGAAGACACAGTGACAAAAAGTCCCACCCTGCTAGTTGATGGGATAGGTTCCTTATATTTGATACATTATCAAAGCCCACATTTCTGTTTCTAAGGCCAGAGCGAGACTTTACTTTAATCACAGGGTAGCATCTAATATTTCCAGTCAGTGCTGTCTACAGTATTAAGAAAATAGGGTGTTTACAGATGTTATTAGGGATGACAAACAGATGGATCTCCGTATGACTCGAGTTTAATGTGCAAGACTTACCAGGCAAACATACAGATTCATGGCAATAAAAAGTAGGTCTGCATGCTGCTAGTCAAAAAGCCAAAGCATCCAAATATGTACATTCAAGTTTTAAACACAAATAGAGGAAACTGATCACAAACCGCTGATCACACAAACAGATTAGAGTACCACTAAATCTCTGACACAGTGACTCAAAACATCATGAATTCATTGCACAGGCGAAGTGAGCAGTAGGATTCATAAATTGTACGTTACAAAAATACTAAAAATCTGATTTTAGAGAACATTTACACAGTTTTAATTTCAGGTGGCACCGACACTAGAGGATGCTTTTTTTCCCCAGCACTGGACTTGAATGTCAGACGTGGACAGATCAGCAGCAAAAACTCTTTAACATGGACACGAATTCCAAAGCAACAGCAACGAAGCCTGATAAAGGTATGCAAAATTTGACACGGACGATGAACTCAGTCAAAAAGAAGTAGTGATCCTTGAGCTGCAAGTGAAGCAGACGCTGCTTTTATACGCACAGCTCAAGGTTTAATGAAGTCGAAATAATCTCAGTCTTTGCTATGAAATACTGCATCCCCAGTGCGATTTTAGACAACATATCGGTTCCATCTATATTAATTTGACATTATACCATCACCATTTGCCCACTCACTCCAGATTTTTAGATAAAAAGCATACCCTCTGTGCCACTTTATTTCACCATCTTATGATAAAGCAATAAAATCTATGACTTTTCATTTATAAAACAGTCATTGGAATAGAAGGTCATAGCTGTTCGAAAGAGAACATTCTCACGCTACAAAAATATGTGCATATTAGAGCTGTAATCTTGGCCAGTTGTTTATAGATTCATGTAACTTTAGGAAAAAAAAAACACTCGAATAATCTGTCAGAACGATATTTGACACTTGCTTAACAAGTTTGGGTCTTCTGTAGATAACTGTCTGTGAGCAATACTATGACAGTAATACGGACGATTATCCCTCAGCAAATTCAACATAAATCCAAATTAGACATAGAGGAAAAAAAAAAAAGAAACTAGGACACTAATTAAATATCTGATAATTATATATATATAGAAAAAAGGATCACGAATTTGCTTGGACTGTTTGGAACCTAGCTTCAAAATTTGATTGAAATCTGACTTTTCTACGTTGGGTAAGAGCACCAGCCTTTTGAATTTGACATACTCGTCTTGGCTAAAACAGAATCTGGCCACTCATTTCTGAACTGATGAGCCAATAATCTGCAAGAATTTGATGGCATTGAAATCACTCAATCGTAAACAAGCATGTCCCTTTTAACATGGCCATTCGATAATATCTGTGGTTTGTGGACGGACGAATTAGTCATAGCTGCCTCAAGGGTCAATTGTGCCCACACACAAAGAGATGGCAAATATACTGGAACTATGGACGGCTGTAATACAGAGGAAAAGCTAGATGCAGATGGGTCCTTTGGCTGAAATACTCTTAAATTACCTCATTCACAAAGAGCCACATGAGCATCTCATGCACAACTGCTCTCTTTAAACATAGAAAAACATAAAGAGAAACCTCCTGCACACCTATATGAATACAGATTGCATGTTTTTGAGTGCATGAGTAATTGTTCTTTATTACCTGTGTCCAAACCTTGGGATCTTTTATAGAGTTTTAAGGCAAAATTAACATCTTTCAGATTTGGACGGCTAGACTCAGAGAGTGTGTCCACTCAAGACTGCAGACAGAATCAGTGTGTGTTTCACTGTCATGTCGCCCCATCGGTTCCGCTACTACAGGTCTGTCCGATGTTTGTCATCGAAGCTGTGGTCTCCTGGTCAGTTTCTCGGACGCAGATAACTGCATCACCGCTCACATTAATGAGACACTGAGCCTAGAGCGGGAACAAATGCACAAGATTAAACCACAGGGACACTAGTAGCCGTCAGGGCTGAAAATCTAAAAAGTACTTAACTGCACTTTTATGTATGAATGCCTGTGAGTAAATAACATGCATGTGTGTAAGTACCTGGTTCTTGTTAGGATTTTCCATTAACACACACTCTTTCATGCTGTAGGACACTACTGCATTGCCACCCAGGGCTGCTACATGGGCTCGAACCATCGCAAACACCTCCGCTATGAATGAATGGAGGAAGCCACTAACACCGCCTTCCTGCAGAGGAAAAACACACGTTCTGTGTAATGAGGTATGTCTACACCATGGACAGCATGTTCCTGGGGCCATAACACAAAACAGCCGTCTGTACTCATGTTGCTCGTACCTCTCGTAAAGATGTTGTCTCTCTGATAAAGAACATGTTGATGATCCCAAGGTATTTAATGATGCGTATCCCAGGGAGGAAGGAGAGCGGCGTCATCTTCACCACGGTTACTGAACTGCCCCCGAACGATCGACTGGAGCGCAGCGAGCGGGAACGTCCTTCGGGCAGCGGACTGCAGCGCTCCAAAGACGAGACTGCAGGTTCAGAGAGAGCAGGTAGAAGTGCAAGAGGGAGACATGAAAAGAAAACAAGAGAGGGGAGGGGGGGAAAAGACAAAAAAAAAAGGGAATGGAGATACCAGAAAACACTCAAAATGTTGGAAAAATGAAAAACAGATATGAACTTTGAAGCAGTGAGCAATGTCAATGTGGAATGTCCATGCAAAAAATGCAACCCTGTTAGCGCTTCCGCAGCAGGAACGATGTAGGTGAACTTAAGTGTGCATAAGTCAGTTGTCTGTGTGTGTGTTAGATATATGTGTGAGCCGACATGCAAGTTTTGTGTACTTGTGGCGCCAAGACAATCACTTAGAAAGCGTGCACTGCCATGCATTTCATGCAGTTGAGGCAAACAGACAGATACACAATGTCTGCAGACAGACAGACAGACCTGGGCACAGCTGTTTACAAGTGTGAATACAGTATTTACAGTGAAGTACATGAGAGAATATTCCTATTTGTTGGCATTTGTGAGAGAGGCTTGAGACATGGAGACGGACAGAGACAGCTATGAGCTGAGCTGGGCACATGTACACAAGCCAGAGTGTGAAAGATGCTTTTATTGTCTTGCTGCTAATTTACCTGATGTGGCTTACATCCATCAAACCAGGAACCTTCAGAGCCACACATTACTCTTACTGTGCACAGGACTGAAAATCATACTAGCTCTTGCAGAAAAAGCATCGCCCCCAGCCCCACCATGATTGTTAGCCCATGGTGTTCAAAAACAAGTCAGACATGGAATGTTTTAGCATTCACACAGTATACCCTCAAATCATGTCATGTTTTCTCAGCTTAAGTTGATGAAGGGAACTGGATTTGTTAATGCAAATGCAGAATGAAATGAAAGGAATTCTTCCAGTAGTTGTCATCGAGCTGCTGCAATCCATTCAGATTTACAAGTGCCTGGAGAAAAAAATGCTGTTCACTGAATGCAAAAAAAAAAAAAAAAACACAACCTAACTTCCTTCTCATTTGTAATCATGGTTACTGCTGCTACAGGCATTTTAAAGCCAAGCTGTTGATTGTGGATCCCTCTGAGGGGCGGGGCCTCAACTTTCACACTCCAGCTAAAAAAAATAAAAGCCAGTGCTTGATTTACAATGCTCCGCCCCCCAGCGGCATGCATGGAGGGGTGTGTGCATGTATGTGAGCATGTGTGATTGCTTTGTGAGACCGTGTTCTGTATTTGTGGGTATGATCACCAGAGTGTGCTAGAGACTGTGTCCTCCTACTTGTCTTAACTGATCCTCGTCTTATGGTGTGAGCTTTCAGCCTAAGCAGCTCTAGCCAGGTGCTGCATCTGTCTGCAAAGGAACCGTAATCAACGGAGGCAGCTGGAGAGAACACACACACGCAGACAGACACACGCACACACACACAGCCCACACCCGAAACATACACAAACGCAACGACAACAACAACAACAAGAAAAGAAAAAAAAAACAAAAAAAAACAAGACAACAGAAAAACGAAACGAAAAGAAGAACAGAAAAGAACAAAACTGGATGAGGTTTGGGAGCGGTGCAGGATAACTCTGTCCGAGACAAAAGGATGAGAAGTCAAAACAGGGTAGTGTAGTAGTTTTGGTAGCAAGGAGGTGGGGCAAGGGGGAGATAGTGGACAAGAAGGGGGCTTACCTCTGGATGAGACGTTGGTACTCTCTGGCACACCTGTCATACACACACAAACATCATAGTCTACCTTTGCACTTGGCAGAGAGCGAGGAGGCATCAATCCCTTGCTCTTGCCACCCAGCAAGTGTTACTTAGCTGTAACCATCATCTCAAATCTAACTGTTCCGCACATCAACATCCTCCAGCTACGCTCTGTTCTTACTAGCTGTTACTGTGTTCACCTACTGTGAGTGGAAGATAACCCACACTGCTTCACGAGCACGACGTCTGATCTAGACAACATCACACCGTCATCTAAGTTCACGGCAAAACAAAACACGCTGCCCTAGGACACATCACTGTTTATTTACCTGGCAAATGAACCATAACCAGTTGATTTTGGCAGAGCTTTGCAACTGGGGTCAATAAAGACACTGTACCTGAGGTGTTAGTGGAGGAGATGGGCAATGCCTGTTAGTGAAGCAGGGCAGAGGAGGTGGTCAGGGAGCAATTGCAAAAATGGTTAAAGAATACCTGAGATTTTGGAGGACGGCTGAGTGTTGGCAGATGACGTGTCTGCACACAACTCCAGCGGAAACTGCAGCTGCTCTTCAGTCTCACTGGAACCTGAAAGCACAATCACGCACAATCATTCACTTCCTGCTGGGTCCGGTTTCAATAAAAACATCATTCAGGAGAAGATGTTTCTTAAATTTCTTACTCCTCAAACAAAATCTTTTTTAAATGTCTCTGAGGGGCAAGAAGCAGCTCAACTCAGAGAGACAGCTTAAAAATTGTCCCAAGATACAATCAATAAACTTTCTGTTTTAGTTTCAAGCTATGGCACAAACACAAGTATTTCTATTGTACGTGTAAAAATCTTTCTTTAAAAATGTTTTAATGCTGGACTAATGACTACAACATATTAAACTGGGTGCTTCCCTTCAACTAAGCGGTGATTCAGAAACTAAGCTAAGCTAAGATAAACTGCATGCACTCACATTAAAGATATTTTGAACTTTGGGGGGAGTAGAAACATTTTACATTTGACTAATTAAAAACACAAATCTTTGAACCAGACAAACCTTTGGTGATGGGCTTGTCTGCTGGCTTCTCCTGAGTCTGGTCCTTGTCAAACGTCATGGCAACCGCTGTCACTGTGACCTGGATGGGAGGCACAGAGACAAACACATATAAGAAAAACCTACATTCTTCAAATACGCTGAAGATGTTCAGGCAAATTAGAAATGGCCTGAAACGTCTCACCTGTATGAGTTCTTCCTCTGGCACTGCGACAGTGAAGTTGAGATGACAAAGACAGCAGGGGATCATGGAGCGCAACTTGAAGTAAAAACTCTGAAACAGACGTGATGATATGTAGATTTGTAAGACTTTACTCAGAACACAAGCGCAAATATCATTACAAACAGAGTAGCAGTTTGCCCGCTGCAATGGATGAGCATGGCACTACTAACAGACCAAAAACAGACTTCTTACCTTTAGCAGATTCTCACATAGATCAGTGAAGATCTTGTTTAAGCCTTGGTTAGTGAGATTGGCATTGCTCAATCTAAAGACCCTCACTGATGTAAACATCTGTAAGAGAGAGAAAAAGAATGACACTGCATAAACTAACAAAAGTGCTTTATTTCCTATACGATTTATACTAAACCACAGCTTTAGTTATGTGCAGTCGCACCTGTATTCCTGAAGTCCAGTTATAAATCCCAGGCATAATTTCAGTGTTGCAGCTGTAGAACCCTAAAGGCACAAAAGTGGAAATAGAAGCAGGAATGATGAGGCAGAGAAACAGTAACATTTGTTAGTGCTTTGACTTTTGCAGGAGATAACTGACTAATCATGTGCAGTGTGTAAAGACGTATTGTAACTGCTGTAGGGTCAGTGTGAAGCACATACCTGTGGGAGGATGTGCATCAGTGAGGAGGGAGTGGATGTCCTCTACAGCATCAGTATCATCAATCTACAGAAGAGAGAACAAACAGTTACTTTTCTCTATATAAATAATTGCATTAAATAGTTTATTAACATATACAGAAACACACCTCCAGGACGAATGCATCCTTTTTGCCATGGGACAGATCCAGTTCTGACAGTTCGTCAGAGCTTTCTGAGTGCGAGCGAAAAAGTCTGGATCGTTGCCTTGGCTCGGGGATCGGAGAACCCACCCCTTCCTCTGTGAGCTCCTGCAAACAAAAAGACAAAACATCTGAGCAGATGGGATGTTGAGGGGAGACCACCTCAGCAGCCCAACATCTGCACCTCACATCTGTCGTGACTGTAAATCTAGTAGAACTGCTATGTTAGTAACACTCCACATGCTCACATTTGCCCAGTCAGCTTTATTGATACACAAACACACATGGCTGGGGTTAATTTATGAATCAAGAAAAACAAGGAGTGGCTGAAACACACACACACACACACACGCACCATAAAAATAAACAGGTGAGAGTGTGATTTTGCCAGACAGATGGCCATCATACAAATTCAATAAAACGAACACAATGAGTCTACAGTGAGTTCCCTCGAGGTAACACTGGTGTGGGTTACACATTGTCCTGCTCCCAGAAGTCCCCAGTTAAGAGCTGTTACACAGTCACAGTAAAAGTGGTGTAGTATTACGATTAATAGAGTGAAAGGTTTGTCATGCTTTGCTGTGTCTCACAGCTAAAAGTTGACATGCTCAGTACCATGTTTATGCCGCAGAACACCTCAGGGTCCAGGGCAAATAATTTCTTTAATGATCAAAGAGAGACAAGAGGGGTAAGTTTATCATGATTCACAAAGAACAGACTATACAGTCCAGAGCACAAGTATTGGGACAGTTACACATTTTCTGATCTTCAGATTCTGTACTTCAGCACAAGGAACCTGAAATATAATCATGAATAATGCTTTGAAGTTCCACGTCTCAGGCTAAATTTGAAAAGATTTACATAAATATAAACTGTGTGGGAGATACAGTGCCTTTTTAACAACGTTTCTGAAGTTTGGAGCGTTCAAAAGCAACTGGACAGACATGCACTAAATCATCATATATAATATTATGTGAAAACCCCTTCATGACTGAAGCCTTCGACTCACATTACATCACCACCAGATGATTAGTATCTTCCCTGGTGATGTTTCACTACAGCCACCTTTAGCTCTACCTTGTTGTGGGATCTCTCACTTTAATCTGGTCTTCAGCAGGTTGAATGCAGGTCAATCTGATTGACATCAGGTGACTGTCAGTTAATCCTCTCCACCCTGAAAGACCCTTTGCATGTGTTGACCATATGTTTGGGATCATTGTCTGTATGAATGATTAGATGCCAATCAGTTTTGGTGTATTTGATGGTAGCAGACGCAGATTGTTCCTGTATACCTCTGCTTTTAAACCAATGCTGTCAACTAGTAGCCATATTTAACCTTGCTATAATAAAGCATTGCAGTGTTTTATAGATGTAGTGGTAGGCTTTGGATCATAAGCTGTTCCTTTTTTCTTCACATCTTTGGTTGGCTTTTGTTTCATCGGTCAATATAACTTACTGGTTTTGTATGTTTTTATGAACTGCAACCGGGCTACTCTGTTCCTGTGGTGAACCTATTGTCTTCTTCACCTGCATAATCACCTCTTGACTCCTCTGAACTATGACAGGCACCTAAGAAACCTTTAGTAGCCACGTATTTAAGTGCTTTTAAACTCTTGGTAAACTTACTGAAATTTAGCCTGAGACTTGGTCCTTTAATGTTGCATCCAACATACAGAGCCTGAGGAACAAAATATCTGTACCTGCCCAGATACTGTCCAAAAACTGGTCTGGACAGTATATTATGAATGATTACATGATTGTAACACTGGAAAATAATGCCAAAATAATGGAATACACTTCGGCATCAGTTTTATCTGTCTGTAAATAAGCATCACTGTACTTAAAAATAAATTAAAACCAAATTATAAAAAGGTGTCACACTGATTAAAACACAGAGGCACGAATCTTTGCTATTTATGGCCATAAACTGCTTTGTCAAAATAGCTTCCTCTTGTTGTTCTGTTTGTTATGAAGATGACAGAAGCTGCAGATAAACGAATGACGTAACAAATTTATCAGGGTATGGCTAAGTTTCCAACAAATCCAAACAACATAATTAAACCTTTTGGTTAAAACAGATTCCCAAAGGCCTTTATTGACAGTATTTGTTTTTGTGTTGAAGAGTCAGCTATGTCATGGGGTGCTGGCTAACAGGAGTCACAATTTCCCGAGTGACACCTTGGCTACTGCAGTGTTGAAACAATGTAGAAACCCATTTTGCACTTAAATTCTTCCATAATTGTAGAGACTTTGTAGACTTCATTACAAAGCTCACCCTCCATAGAATCATATACTGTATGATGAAGTGTTGTGTATCTCACCGGAGGGTTTATTTGATAGAGCTCTTTGTTCTTGGCAATGGCGTCATTGATCCTTTTCTGTATGGTCAAGATATGGTGCTCATTGCTCAGATCACCGGGAGTCTTGCCCGCAATCTGGATACCTCCTGGTGCAGGCAGGGCTGTCAGGTACACTCCTGTAGCAGACTGAACACAAGCACAAATTCAAATGGCTGAGTTGCACCACATAAATATTAGGCTTATTAAGCTCTTAGCTAAAAAATGTTAACCTACAGCTAGACCAAGGAGCATGTTCTCGCCAACGCTGATCTGTATGTGCAGACCAAACAGGGCATTCATGTTCCGCAGCTTCAGCTTATTCATCAGCTGAGTGTGCAGCTCATATTCCATGAAAGGCAGCAGGTTGGAGATGGCCGTTGCATTCACTTCTCCCTGGGCTTTCTTCTTTAGGCGACACAGTCTAGAGAAGACAAAAGGCATCTGCATTAAAAGAAGCCCTGAGGGATTCACAGGAATTAAATACATTCAGTGTCACAAACCAAAATGCAGTGTGTATATTCCTGATCTTCAACAGACATGTTTAATGTATTTCCCTATTTATTAAACACTTGCATTTGTTTTGTGCATTTTCTGTAATATTTTCAATGCAGCATTATTTAATTAATGTTTGCATTGGCATAATACCGCCACCTGTAGGTCAGTGTTAGGACTGTGCAGTGCATCGCTGGCATGGCTGCATGCAAAAGATAAACAAAACCGGGACCCGCCCATAAAAACACAGGTCCACAGGGCCTCTAGAGGTCAAAACCTCCAGAAGGAAACTAACTAATTTTGATCTTTGATGTAAGGGTACATAGCTTACCCTCAAGGAGATGCGTTATTCAGCCTACATGTTTGCTCTAGTGAACATTATTAGATAACATCTGTGCAAAAACCAAGTGATTTAACTTAGCAGTCCACACATGTTTAGATCTTTTCTTTACTTCACTGCACTAAATGTTGCTCGTATAATAATACCTTATAAATCTTGCTAGTGCTACCTGGCATATCCTTAGTTAAATCAGTGTTTTTAACATTTTAAAAGGGATGGGAGCCTTTCAAAATGATGATTGTTAACTCTGAGAAGTCATTGTGTCCTTGCGAGGGGCTTTACCTGGCCTGGATGAGGCAGCCCTTCCCTGTGACAGCTGCTTCTGGTGGCAAGTCAATTGTTGTGAATAGCACATCAGGAACCTTGAAAAAGCAAAGTTAATTCTTACTTTTCTTTCACCGAGCTACATTTATACACTGGAAAACCAGATATGTCTACAGCTTGAAAAACATTTTGATTTTGGTAAAAAGAAAAAAAAGAAATGTGCTGTCTTGGGTACCTTTTGCCTTCTGCAGTGGTAACAGTAGGTGAGCTGGGCAGGAAATGGCATGTTGAGCTCATCATACGGGATGTGACAGAAGCCACAGCTTGGTGGAGATGGCTCCTCAAATCTGGCCAACAACACAAACCACATGGCATCAGCATCCATAACCCAGTCCGAAGTGTATTATTATGAACTGTATATGCACAAGAATGTACATTAAGTCTTTGAATCAAACTGATACACATGAACACAACCTGTGGTCGGTGCTCCCGATGTCTAGGCAGCCTTCACGCATGTACCGTGGATTCAGGATGGCTGCTGTGCCTGATGCCGACAAAATACACACCTCTTCACTGTGTTGAGGAGAAATCAAAGAAGAAACCAAAGGATGGGGATGAGTACAGGACATGAAGCTTAGTGTGTTTAAGACAAATTAACAGTTTTATACCAAACACAGACAGAACAAAAGGGCAGTATTTCGCCCACGTAGTTATGTATTACATACCAGATGCTTGTGCTCTCACTGTACCCTATAACAGCATGGCAACCAAGCGCTTTGGCATGAGATTTGATCTCCTGGCGAATCTCCTCCCACCAGGCATCACGAGTTTCTGGCTCATCTGCAAAACACAAAACTCTGAATCAAACAGCTTTCACAAAATATTTCCAAATTGGCTGCATTATCTATCAAAACCTCGCTGAATACTGACATCTATGTATGAATAAACTAACACTAAACACAGTTAGAATTTACAAAATGAGTGCCCTCACAGGTTCAAAGACACAAACAGGAAACTAATCTGGAATCTAAACTGACTGCTTTGACTTACCAGAAAATAAACAGTCAACAGCACAGTTTGTATTTTCTGATGACTTATGGGTTAAATGGCGTATCAAAGCAAGCCAAAATCAATTATCATTTTGTAAAACAAAGTGACACTGAGAATGGTGTATTTGAGGATGATGATGAAGGCAACTTCAATGGTTAGATTAGTTATGTGTGTTCTTGGTGGCATTCCTTCAGTGCACATAATCTAAAACCTTTTTGTCTCTCTCTTCTCTTTGTCTCCTTTTGGTCAGCTGCACTAACAGAAAGGCAACAGGAAAGAAACACAGCCACCAGCATTAAATAAGTTTTGGCTGTGGTGGTACAAAAAGAACAATCTTGCTCGCCGGTTAAAGAGAAGACACTGTGCCTGGGTTGTAAATAAGTGTTTCCTATCCTGGTGGCAAAGGTATTAAATTCAAAAGGATCGAGCCTTCATCATACTTCGGCTAAACCATGGGTGTGTTTCAATAGTCTGATGAGGCTTTGCTCCAAACACCTCTGTGATATTGGCATTGTTCAGAACAGCCCAATCATTGCAAGCTGAGAGTTCAATCTCACTCATATGGTAGTTGTAGGTCCCTGAACAAAGAGGACATGAAGGAAGCTACATTAGAGTATTGAGCTGCACCCCATGACTCCCTGGGAGGGCTACATGCTGACGGAGCCCCAGAAAGAGAGAGAAATTCAACTGCTAGGTGAGACAGGGGAGAGGAATGAATGAGGGGAGAAGAGTGGGTGACCAAACTGAAGAGATGAAGAATAATGACTGATGGTCAGGCATCAGGCCCACGAGGTGGGTTCCTTTAAACCAGAAGCAGCATGTCATACAGGCACAGGCTCACCAACGTGCACGCTCATGACCATGTGCGCGCTCATGGGCAGAGAAGGGCCATATTCATTCACCAGAGTCCATCAAATCTAGTCTAGTTTTTAGGTCAGGGAATTGTGAGGATTATCATACTTCCTCCATTCCCCAAGCTCGCTGCTTTCCCTCCATCCCCATCACACATCCCAGATCCAGTTTTAATTTTCCTCAACTGTCACCCACCCAATCAGTCTGCCTTCCATTCATCCATCCATCCAGTCATCCATCCATCCATCACGCCTTCTCTCTCTCGCTCTCTCTCTCAGTATGAATACGGCCCAGTGAGTTAGGGATGCACATGCCCGGTCAGTGGCTCTTTGACACAGAGTAAACCTCCTAAACCTCCTCTGGTCTAGACAGGTTTGACCACAAAGCCGAGTCAGGAAGCGTTAGAAACAGCGCTGGGACAACGTTAGGGAAGAGCTGCAGCTCTTCTGTGCAGCAGGATGAGCTGGGTGGGGGGTAGCCAGGCCAGGCTGGATGGGGTGGGGTGGGGACACAGGGCATGCTCAACTCAGCTCAGCACACACTCACACAGATTAAAGAGAGGAGGATGGCAGCTCACTGAATCGGTTTTTAGCGATACACTGTTAGGCTATGTGGAATTCATTGGTGGATATTTAAAGTAGCTGCTCTGTGTTGGTTGAATTTCTGTGTCGGGTGAAGGCTAAGAGGGGCATTTAGCTTCACTGAGCTGCCATCACTCCTGTGGGTGAGAGCAGTAAAAGGGGGGAAATACCTGCAGTGACACTATTCCAGTCTAGCAGTTTGTATGAGCGCGTGTTACCCAAGGCTGGGCCAGAACACACCGTTAGTACAGAAAAGAGAGAGAAAAAGAAAAGAAGAGACAGTCTAACAAACAAGCACAGCACAACAGCAGCACTCCACAGTCACTATGCAAAGACAGACAGCACTTCACAGTCACTATGCAAAGATAAACTAAATTCAGGCCTACTAAAAGAATCTCAAAGAAGAAGAAGACTGATGAGGAAAAGAGGAGAACAGAGATGAGTAAAAGCTTCAGGCCTAGCTAAAATTTTGAAAAGATTTGAGGAGAAGAGAAGCTATACAATACAAAAAGGAGCATGCAGTAGCAGTCTAGCTCGAGTATACTCACTATACTTTAGGTGCCCTGTGGAGTTTTCTTGCAAACATGTTTACACTGAGAGTGTCTCCCCAAAATGCAACATGTATCCTCAAAAGTCTATCAAACTTTCCTCAAAAAACATTTGTGTAGCTGATGTTTAAACATTTCAAATCACTGCTTGTTACTGTTGGTCAACTGAATAGCATCAAATAATCTGCAGAGTATGAATTGCATTAACTGAAATGACAACCGAAACAGAAACATATTCGTAAAAGCACTGCTTCCTGGTGCTACTTGCGGTCAAAAACTCCACAGGGTACCTTTGATGTTGCTCTGTAGTTGAAAGGCATAGCAGTAGTGAACAGGGCTCTTTTCAGATCGGTTACTAGGTTAAACCTGAAGTTTGGATCAGGGAAAACTATGTAATTTACCTTTGTTTAGACAACAATACTGCGGGTTTAATCATTACATGTCTACAAGTGAAATCCTTCTGCGTAGTTTGTTTTGGTTCCCTTGTCCACTTCTGAAAAGAGCCCTATTTATCCTAACCCACCCACATTTATCAGCACTCATCTTTCCCTAAATTCTCAGACATCCTTGATTCAGTTGTCAAAGAAAATTAAACCAAGCAACTGGCAAAATTTCTGAGGCTACAGTGTGGACTCATCTAATCCAACACGGTGAACAGGAAGAGCTGACATAAAGCGCAAATGTCTGTCATTAAAATTAGAGGGTATATATAACAGAAGAACACAATGAGTTCAACACTCGAAACTCAAGGCAGCATAAGACACCACAGAACCTCACCATAATGCCACCTGCAGCCAGGCAACACCACACAACAGAAGTAGCAGGCAACAGACTAGAGCCATGCACCACTATTGCACCTCACCCCGAGGGGGCAGCACCACAGCACACGACAACACAGCGACCAGAGCGCACACACACACACACACACGCACGCACACACAAAGCCATCACATGACCAACACAGCCTACTAATTACACAAAGCCAGTCAGTCAAACCACGAGGTGAAAGTTGCCCCTATCCATAAAACTGTTTGACACAGGTGATGATAGCCTATCCTCGAGTTTATTTCCATCAAACTGCTGCATACATGGCTGCAGCCTCTCAGTGAGACCAGGAACAGCTTTCACCTGCTTTAGGACTCGTACATAACTGAGGTCTTTTATTTTATTTTTCTAAACAATCAAACAGATTGGGACTAGGACCATACACAGGAAAACTGTGCAACACAAGAGGATCATGGGTAGCGTTGACTAACAGCCAGGTGCAACAAGACCACACACTCTCGTGACACAGTAGGTCAATGGAAGAGCTCATTAATAGAAACTTCACAGGACAATGAACGAGCTACATTAGAACCGTGTGTGTTTGCGTGCGCTGAACTCACCGGGGTTGTGAATACGGTCCAGTAATTTAACAGAGCGAGCGCTGACCACTCCTCCGACATGAACCAGAAAACCAGGTGGGAAAGATGTCAGAGTGAAGAAGGGGAACTCCTGCAGATAGAAAACAGTCAAGTCACTTACAGAAAGGGAAAACACACTCTAGTGTATTCCAGTAAATCATATTTAGTATCAGCACCATGATTTTTAAGTTGTAATAGGTATACAATTAAATTTTTAATATATATATTTCTCAAGATTTAAAGTCTACAATATTAGAGTTTTGTTGATTATTTAAAATCTTCCGATGGTGTATAACACATACAAATATGATTTTCAGATATTTTCAAAAACACCTACATACAGTGTAAGAATTTCAATAGGCAACCTACAAAACCTGTCACATGTAAAAACTGAAAAATCTAATCTTTTAACAGTAGCGGAAGGCACAGCAACAAAAAAATCGTTAAAATAAAAAGTCAGAATCTAACAATAAACTTTAGATTTAGTTGTCTCCCTAGGAATATTGCAAAAGTTCACTGATTGAACAAATCTGTTATCTTTTTTTTAAAGTCCCAAACACTACGTACTAACCATTGTGTGCAGACTTAAATGACAGCACTGTTACAATTAGTGGAAACATGCAGCAAGGATTGAGTGTGATGAAGTCATGCAATTTGTACCCCAAGGGATTCCCCAATTGCTCCATTCCAACCTACATTCATAGACACAAAACTCAAAAGCATTTCAAATGGATCTGGAAGTGACTCGGAAAATCTATTCTACATAAGTCCTAGATATATTTTTTTTAAATTTACTGATCCATTCAATCCTTTCAAATCTATATACATGCATTCATTAGATTTGGTGCTGAAAGTGAAGGACACACACACAGACAAAGTAGTTTGTGGCTGAGGATCAGTAGTCTAGTTTACATGCTGGTCTCTGTCCACAGGACAGCTGGTCCTCTGCCTCCAGTCAAATCATGTGATGCAAATCCATGCATTCACTCACGAGAGGAGCAGGAAATACTTGGACTGCCTGTTGGCATCTTGGTATTCATTCTAGGTTGAAGTGATGACCACCTTTACAGGAAAACTGAGGGACGTTGTGATTTCCAACCATGCAGGACCGGTATGTGATGAATGGCTTTAGTGGGCAGAAATCAGGCAGGGCTACCACTAATTTCTTTTTTTGTCCAGAGCTCCAAAAAAGGAAGATAGCTACTAATTTGTCTGATAGCTCCTCCCACTCGGAGCCAGGAGGCAAGAATGAGGTGATGAGGTGAGTGTGCTCATTCCTGTTGTTGACACAGGAAACCAAAATCAGACTCAGGAAAAGAAGTCAGAACGGAGGAAGGTGTTCAACACGAGTATCTTGAGGACACACACACACAGTCACACACACCCCTTCAGAGTCGAAGGGAGCACAACTCCTAGCCTCCAGTCCTCTACCTAGCATATCTGTGAATCTTTTAGGGTGCAGTGGGTGCCAAGCAAACGTACGTACATGGTCACCCAAGGACCCACTGCCATTTTGCTCAACACAACACTACACCTTCAAGATCTACAAACAGCAGAGGAGGGTCGGATTAGGAGTTGACTCAGACTGGGTGGTGGCCATCAGCTTGTTCGGGGTGTTAGGGGAAAGGTGGAGAGTGAGAAAGTGTCACACTGATGGGACATACCCTGGCGTTTAACAATAACCCAGAGGAAGACGCTCCCTGAGTAGCACAAGTGGTCAAGAGGACAGAGAAAGTGGACATTACTTGGTCTTAAACAGACCCATCCCCATTAAACACCTGGCCAGTGTAAATGAGAAATCTTTCACAAAGATGCAGCTGTGTGAAAAGTATTGTACGACCCCACGGGCAGACATCTGAGGCACAAACTGTACGTCAAAGCCTCTACAGTCATGCTTAGATCACTGCGATTTATAGCAGAGTTTCGGCTCAAATGTCTGCAAGTGGGGTGAGTCTCTAAATAAAAGTGTGAGCAAGTGTGAGCGTCACCGTACCCTCTGCTCGAGAGCCGTCTGCGTCTGTTGTCTGAGCAGGGTCTTCAGCGGCCCTGCCTCCTTCCCAGCGCTGCCCCCACTGCCCATTCCTGATCACAGAGGAGAGCCCGGCTTCAGTTTTGTCACTTTCAACACATAGCACAATGGACTAGAAAGTCAATCAAAACGTCACGTTGATTAGAACATTGCAGTATTAACCTTATTTATGACCAATAAAGTAAAAAACCAACCTGCACACAACACGTGAGATTAAGAACAGTAGAGAAACCTGCTCTAGCCTTATCCTTATACTAGCTTAAGCTGACCATTTTTCTAAGTGCACTGAGAAACACATCAAACCACATGCTGCGGTCGAAGAATCCAGAGTAGGACTTTATCAGTACCACAGTGGGCTCTGTGCAGTTACACCACACATGCTGAGTTAAAGTTAACACCGGTCAAGACGATCTTGGTGTCGACAGTTCTGCTGCTGACCCAATACACAAGAGAGACGCCAACACTTTGCTGTTATGTGATTCTGTTACTTGGTGACACACTGCAGTCCTACTATACCGGAGGCTGCCAGCAGCAGGTCCTCAGTGAAGGACACGCTCTTTCTCAGCAAGGCACAGTCTGAGTGGATGGAGGAGGGAGGGGGCGGGGTTGTCGCTCTGGGGGCAGAGCCATGACCACAGCCCACTGAGCCAGAACCAGGAAGGGACAGAGTGTCTGTGGAGAGGGTGGGGGAGCTGGGGCAGAGGAAGATCCCAGGCCTGCGTCTCACTGACTTGGGCCCCTCTATCCAGCAGAGACACAGATGGAGGGTGCACAGAGAAAAACAGATATATTGAGAATGGACAGGCAGAGAAGCAGTGAGGATGGTGGGCAGAAGCACAGCAACTGAGGAGGGAGAGAAAAGCGTGATGAGGAAAAAAGCGAACACAAGCATAGAGAAATTAAGTTTGCAAAATAGGGATAACCTGTCGCCAGATTGGGGAATTCGACTGGAATCACTCATACTGACCTTACGGAGTACATCAGACATCAATCATGACAACACTAATCCACATGAGTTAGCAAAATTTAGTAAATTACATTAATTTACCAATTGCAGATTGACAGTTTTTTGTTTCATAGAATGCATGACCTCTAGTTAACATAGATAAGAGTGATTCCAATAAGCTACTTCCAATATATATTTTAATTTTGGGGAAAAAGAAACCACTGTCACTCGATATCATCTGGTGAGCTAAGTTAACTGTAATGAGGAAAAAATTGTGATTCAGTGCATGCCTAATGGAAAAGGATCCGAAAAGGTGCAGGAAGGCAAGTTAACCCAAATGAAACTGTGAGTTAGATCTGGAAGTCAAATGAGTAAAAAGGCAAAGAATAACAAAAAGGCTAAGAGAAATAGAAGATGACAGAGAAGAGGAAACATGGAAAAAAGGAAGGAATTGGTAAGCAAGGAGGAGGGATTTGGGTTCAGGGGGGACTGAATCCTAAACAGCTGGGGGGAGCAGCTGTGGTGAGAAGGTTCTTCAGGCTATAAGGCAATCATTGCTGGGCCGTGCTAGAATGTGCTCAGGTTGTCTCTGGGGCAGACCAAACTTACCGTTTCCTCAATGATTAACCATAATGGCTGCTAATGAAGAAGTGGCCTTAGAACAACAACAGCCCTCATGAGACACAGTGCTTCTACGACTACAACATCAGGGAGACAGGACTAATGCAGGGATCTGGTGCGTCTTCACACTATAAAGCACATGATTTATACAAATTATGTTTTGTTTTTTGTCAATGGTGTAAAGCAAGAAGACACACCAGGCCACTGAGGACAGGTAGGGGGACAGGGCACAGCTAAATAAAGATTAACGATACAATTTACAATAAAAACAATGTCAAACTCAATCGTGAAAAAAATGTGAAATAAACAAATGAATAAAGAAAGATTAAAAGAAAATAAAAATAAAAAACTACCACCATAGTAGCACCACAATGAGGTGTAGGAGTAGGGAGGGATGAGAACGGGAAAGGGGGACGGGGCCAAGTATTCTTACCCGTCTTGGGCGTCAAACTGAGGTCTGTGTCTGATGATGAGGACTGGCGGCTGCATGGCTTGGAGGGAGAGAAAGGGGGAGGAGAGGAGGAGGAGGTGGGGAGGGCTCTGAAAGGGGTAGGCGGGCCGGAGGACGAGGGCAGATCCTCACCAAAAACCGGCCTGCCAGGAGAACATGACACACACACATGTCAGTCACCACCTCAGCCTCTGACTGTCTGTATGTGTGTGTGTGTGTGTGTGTGTGTGTGTGGGCGTATATGTGGGTGTGGGTCAATGCTGGCGTCGAGTGGAGAGGTGGCTTTCTTTTTTTTTTAATGTGTGATTTTGTTTGCTTTGGGCGAGGTGTGTTTGAGGTGCTACAGATGGCTGGAGAAAGAAAAAGCAAGCGTTGAAAGCAAAAAATAAATAAAAAATTAAAACACAAAGAAAAAGCTCACACACACATACAAATTAAACTAAAGAAAGCAACATGGCAAAACACAAAAAAGGTCAGAATCAACAGAGGATGACAAGCTGAAGCATGTGTCCCAGTAGAGTGAAGCAAAGGTCAGGTGACTGTAGAGAGATCACAGGCCCTTCGTCCGAAAATGATCCAACTGGGAACCTGACTGCCCGCCCCGTGATACTTGGAAAAAAAGACAAGTGGAGGGAATAGTGGCTAGTATCAACATCTAATCTTCTCTCTGACTAAGGGACTCAAGCTCTGCCTTCCTTTTTTCTCATCCCTGATACCTGTCCTCACTGCAGCTTTACTTCCTTACTATCAAAGAATCCACACTTCAGATATTAACTTTTCTACCTTCCATAAAAACATCAACCATCGCTGCTTTTCCATTTAAAATTTCCTGTCTTTTTTTTTTTTTTCCCTGCACCTATTTCCTTCCCTGCCTCTGCGTACCAGTGAAGATGAGTGTGGGAACAGAGACAGAGAAGTTCTGGGACAGTCTCTGGGTGCTGCAGACCGAATGCACTGGACTGTTGTGGGTGGAGCGGCATCCGTGGGCAAGGGGAGACCTGGGCCGATCAGCACACAGAGAAAGAGAAAGAGAAAGAGGAAGACGCAGGGCCGATTTGGACACAAGCAGTGAGAAACGTCCCGGTCCGAATGTAGGCAGAGAGAAATAAAGAGACGCACACAAGAACCAACACAACACAACATTGCAGTAGAGTGAAAAAGGAGACAAAAAGGAAAAGAACAGCAAAAAGAGGGCTTATTTTTTTTCCTCCTGCTTTTTGCCCTGTTATTCCATTTAAAAAGTCATGTGGAAGCAACGGGAAACTCATGCGTAGCTCTCAGCTTAACATTCTCAGTCGCACTCAAACATACGGACCAGGGATGCAAACAGAAAACAGATGACAAAGGCCCAAACAGGCTTATAAATAAGCATTCACTGGGGGGAAAAAATTAAAAATACATCCGTCTGCCAAGCCCTTATTACGACCAAAAGCGACAGAAAATCAAACATCAATGACTTTGATAGTAGATTAATTGTTTCTAATAATAACAAAGCAAAAATGCTCACCAAATGCCTTCTGTTTTGTATTGCTGTAAAATGTCTGACTGGTAATCAAACAATACAAGTCACCTGAGGACCTTGTTTTTGGCTCTGAGAGTGTGTGATGGATGTGTGTTGCTATTCTTCTAACTATGATTCAGCCCTTATTTTTTTCTTTTTCTATTTTTAAATGCATCTTTCCGTTTTGTTGAGCCAATAAAGTCCTTCTGCGATCAGAAAATGTTTTTTTAAAAAAGAAGACCTGACTACATCTGCAGCATAAACTGTGGCAGACAAAATAGCTGACAGCAGATAATACTAAAGTATCATCCAACAGAAAAAATATATATATATATGTGATTTAAATAATCCCAAAAAGGTAAATAACCAACCGTATGTAACCAATATGGTTATTCACTTTGTGTAAGGAATGAGATTGTCAAAAATAATAATACAAAACTGCATGATGAAACTGTATTATTGTAGTGAAATGATTCTTTATACTTATTAGTGCTGAATGTTTAGCATGAGCTATTACAAAAGTGACCTTTTTATTTCAGCTTAAATTACCTGAGCAGCAAAAACAGATTTACTAACGCAGGATTATGTTGTAAAATCCCTAATCATGATACATTTAGTTTATTAAATAAACAGTTAAAAAGAAAATTGGGTTGGAAATATATATATTAATAATATAGTATGTAAAATGGTAAAATGCAGCCATGTTCACATGTGGAAAAGGAGAAAGAGAGCGATAAGCTGACTCTTGATCTTTCCTCTCATCACATAGTTCCATAATTTAGTACATAATCAGTACACTTCCTGACTCTGCGCCTCACCAAAAATAGTTGTCTCATTCAACTTCCCATATTTCAGCCGTTACAAAATCTAAGTCATCACCAAAAGGTGTTTACATCCCTGATACACACAATCTCACCCACACACACACACATACAGACACACTATATAAATGCAAAAAAGAGGCACACATGCACTCAACTGTAGTTATGCTTACAGTAGCTGATAAAAATCACAAACCAACCACTCAGGGTGGGGACAGCAGAACAAACTGAGGGGAACACACTGTTAGAGGATGAGCAGAACACATGTGTGCTAGATACTCACTACAAGACGCAGCACTAGAACATGCAGAGGCAGAGCAGAAAGCCATGCAAGAGCGGTCTAAAAGAGCAGACAAGGGAGGAGGGGGGTTGAGGATGGCTGTGTGTGTACTGTACATGTGTGTGTCTCAGGTTATGTTGTGTGCTGTTAGTTTCATGATGCAATACAGGTGACACAACAGACACACAAACTACAAAGGGAAATCATAGATACTGAGACACACACAGGGCTAACTGCTAGTATGTACACAAAGTCAGATACAGTACATTTCATCCACACGCTCTCCCTCTCTCATGCACACACATCGATCATCTTTGGCCGTTCTCACAAACTACGTTTGCAGTGAAACTTGCACATAAAACAGAGGTAGTGTCCATGCTTGTGCTGTTGGTTCATACTCACTCCTTTCCGTCTTTAGAAGGGGAATTGCAGGCATTGGAAGCAGGGGCTGTGTTAGGGTGCACGTGTGTGTTGGTGTTGGGAGCGCTTCCAGAGCTGAGTTTGTCCAGCGTGCAGGCGGTACCTATGGCCCGGACCACCAGGCCCGACTCTCCCTCCAGGTCGAAACACTGCAAGTAGCCCACCACTGCATTCCCACCCATCTCCAGTACCTTAAGCCCTATTTTCCTCTGCAGTTCACCTGAATAGGGAAGTAACACACATCCAGGTTAACACTAGGGGAAGAATGAGAAATTCCCCTTTGTCTGATAAAAAAAAGTGGATTAGAGGAAGTTCTCTTACCAGACATGAGAGAGATGAGCCTCTGACGAGCCTCATTGGAGGCCCGGGGAGTTCTAATACGGTCAATCCACTGGTACTCTGGGTCTTCATTCACCACAAGTTCCTCCACAAACCCATGCACCATCGCTGCCCGGTAGCACCGTGGAATGGATGTGGCTGATGTTCAAAATGAAAAACCACCACAGAGAGAGAAAGAAGTTTAGATTTAATGACTAAAGTTTCTTCTAAACTTTTCTCCCATTTCATTTTGAGCACAATTGTTAAGCAGCCAATCGTTGTTTGCTGATACACTAAATTCACTGACACAGTTTGTAATTTTGTTCATCTTGAGATGAGTGAAATAAGACATACTGCAGAAAAACTTGACCCCACACGATGACTGTCTGAAGCGGTTCAAATCGTTGAAGAGCTCCACTTTGACGAGGACATTGATCTCCCCTCGGATACCTAGTGACAAATGGCAGAGAGAAAGACAATGCAATAAGAAACATAAACATAAAGATGTTATCATTGTGATCCCATTAGAGGATTCCTCTACCGTGGATGGTATCATAGATGGGAAACCAGCCAGAGATGACAGAAGCAGCCTCAGTGCACAGAAGCGGGTCGATGTCAATGTAAACTTTCCCTATGGCATCGTTAGCACTGTATGTATCGTGATCCAATACTGTGATCTGCAATGGCTCATCCTGCAAGTCCTCATCATCAACCTAGACAGCAAGAGGAGACAAAGAACAAACGACAAAAGGGAGCAGAGATAAGACACTCTCTTATTAGGAGATGTTAGAAATACTGAAGCTTGATACAATCTATCTATGCTGTGTAATGCAATAACTAGTACCACGACTGCTTAGCATGTTTATGAGATGCTGCGATGTCTTTTACCTCAAATTTGAACCATTCTGAGTTCCACTGAGGGTTTAGAGATTTGGGACAGACATCCGTTTTGAAGGTTGTGTTTCCAAACTTGACCTGGGGAAATAAAAGGCACAAGGTACAACTGCTTTACTATTTACAATATACAATGTTTATATGCCACAATGTCATTATATGTAAGTAAAAAAGTGAATGATTTCAAGTTTTAAAAAAGCACATTAGCTTAAGCATCTTCACTTACCTCTACAAAAGCATCAGTCAGGTCACTGGCTCTGTCCATCACAGGCAAGTGGCGCCCTGCCACAATTTTGGCCTTTAGTTTTCCAGGCATGATTCAATTTAAAGTTGATCTGCGAACAAATATGAATAAAACAATGGCTGTGTGTGCTGTAATCAACGCTGCAGTCACCATCAAAAGTGCAGACTGAGGAGCGGGCATATGTTGTTGACAGCATGAAGAGCCCCTTCCTCTATTTACAAGCTCACTAGCAAACATGCTAAGTTCCTTTAGCTAAACTAGAATTTCTATTTAACTTTAAATAGCTTATCGACTCGGAGGTATCTATTTTACCGCCGTTTAGAAACACGGCAGCAACTATGAGTTAGCTAGATTATGTTAGCAAAGCCAGGCTAGCACGAAAAGCCACTTAGGTTAACTGCATTGCAGTCAGAATCTCTTTAGCTCTAGTTACCTGATCGGCCATGTTTTTACAATCACTCGGCAAAGCCAACACCTATTAAACAACAACATATGCTTGCAGCTCTCAGTGCAAACAGTATCATCCTTACCGAGTGCTACAACATGAAGAGACAGCTGTCAAAGCGGCCGCGGGCTCGTTTTACTCGGACATTACCGTTGACAGCCCACCGTTCGTCTGACCTCCGTGTCTCTCCCATAACACGACACGTTAGTTCCCAGTGCACCAAGCAGGAAAGTGTCGTTTAAGTTGGAAATATTCACCGGCTGACACCACTCCCATAAAGATACTGGTGCAGGTTTTAGAGCGTCGTTAGGATACGCTCGTTAGTTATTCCACATGCCCCTGTTTAGCGCGTAAAGACAACAGCTAGCTTGGTGAGCACAGACCCATGATGAATGAGTGCTCAGGCGTTAGCGTGTGCTGCCTTCAAGTACACCTCGTAAAGATGTAATTTACCAAATAAACGTTACAGTGATGTTGCTCAGGTTAGGGAAAAAAGAAAGCAAATTAAAAAAAAACTAAAACTACTACTCCCAATGGAAATATCAAATATATTTGTACGTACACCCAAACTACAGAGAGTAGATTTTTATCAATTTCGCTGCATTTTAAGTATCTACGTAGCCGTAACAAGTTAAAACCGAATTCTTCAAAAGCAGCGTTAAAATGTGTTTTGGGCATGCGCAACCTGGTTCATTTGAGGAAGCGAATAATCCGTGTTAGAAATAAAGCCAGGCCCCATTGTGAATTACTCATGCTCTGATGATGTTCATGGGCAATGCAGTTTAATTGCAGCTGATGTCACATAAAATAACCTGATGTAAATACGCAGTTGTGCACCAAATATGTGGCTGGAATTTTCTCTTGACTCACGTTTTAGAAATGTTTGCTATAAATCTATAGTGCCCAGTTTTACAAATGTTCATAAAATGTAAAGTGCAAAATAGGAGGTATAGAAAACATGCAGTATGCAAAATTGTAGAAAATGTAATCAAATATCTAAAATCTTAATATAACATTAAATAGAAGAATGTCTATGTAAACACATGGACCAGTCTCAGATTATATGCAGTATATAAATAAACATTTGTGCCTGTACGTTACACAAGTGGCTGTGTGAAATTTCTCATGACTGACTACAGTTTTATGAGCATCTCTACCTCTGTCAATTTCTGAATAGTGTCCATTTCAGTCCAGACGACAGCCTTCATGATCACTGTATCAATGCTGCTCTTGTCTGTCGTGCAAGCACCTTCTCCCCAGCACACCACACCAAAGAACATGGCACTGTCCACTACAGTCTGACAGAGGGTGCATACAAGAGGCCTGCAGGTGTTAAAGGACTTCAGCCTGCTTAAAAAACAAAGACCACTTAGTCCCTACTTATATAGTGCCAGTATGTGGTCAATATTTTCAAAGAACCTGCGGCTGAGAGCCTTTTTTTGTGTATGAGTGAAAATATGTGTTTGCCTTTCAACTATTCCTCAACACAAAAACGGAAACCAATTCATTTCTTTGATTTATAGTCATTCTACGTCACAGCTGATGTGCTATTTCAGTACTTTTCTAGCAGGTGCTGGCTGAGGCCTATTTTCTATGACAGTGCTGACTCTTGTGCCAAGTGTGTTTGTCTGAATTAAATCACAGAACTCACAGCTTGTCATCTCGGTGAAATACTCTGGTATTTTTGGTCTGTATGTCTCTATGAACTCAGTGGTACTGTGAAGACAGATTAGGTTACACATGTATGTCCATCGACATGTGTTTATATGCTTGCCTCTTTTTAGCCAAACCCATTTTTAAGTTTGCTTTTTTCTTTAGACAGCTGAAATCTTCTCAACATAACCAGCACCTTGTTCATTACAATATATGACGGCATTACAAAAGGATAGCGAGCCAACAAGGCAGGAGTTGATCCTAAAATAGATGCCATGCTTAAGCTGTCTTACATCTTGTGCAGTCAGGAACAAAACTGAACCCGACTCTATATTAAACACAATGTGCTGTGTTCACATATGCCCACAAAACATATCGTCACTCTCACAAAAATGATATACGTCAGAAGTAGTTGACACCAACAAGGTCAGCAGTTTCCGACCTCTAACAGATGCTCGCAGCTGTGTGGCACGAAGAAAAAACAACAAAGACGAATAACAGATGAAACAATTGGATAAATATTCACCCTCTGCACCTTACTCGTTGCCTTTAACCAAGTCACATGTAGACATACTATAGTATAACCTGCATGTGATTTAGTCCCACAGGAATGCACAAGAGACATAAACACAGTATATTCTTGTCTGTCTGAAAGAGTAAACAACCACAACATGCTTTCATGGTAATCGCACATAAATTTGTGAATATTCTGTTAGAAATGTGGGAAATTTTTGTCATTGTTTTCTGGGTTAACACTGCCACCTTTCATTACAGAGAAGTCTTTGATTTCAGTCTCAGCTGTCTCAGTGTTTGTGTGCGCTGCAGTCTAACATCATCACAAGTCATCTGAACTGGAGCATTGCTTACCGCAATGCATGCTGGTACTCCAACCTGTCTGTGACCCTGAAAAACAAAATGCAGGTATAAAGAATAGATGAATGTTGGGGGCTGACAAAGACAACTGAGGCAGTCATGCAAGAGCCGTTACAATCACATGCTGTCTCTTGCTGGCTTAAATTTCACATTTAATGCATAACTTTACTTTCTTGCGTGTTTAATTTATGGGTGATTCAAATGGTAATGCATGAGAACAATGCATTTTATATTAACATGCATCAGTAAGGATGGCATCTTTTCCAAAAACATATTTTTAATATCTACAAAGTTCTTATATACGAGTTCTTTTTGTAGTTTTGTTCAAGATATTCAGCAGATGGGACACTGATATACTGAAAAAACACATCAGTTCAACAAATGCTTAAATTCCAATCTGGCAAACTGGAAACAGCAGCAGGCAGGAGCTTCAGACACTCATGGCTCTGATCCTACTGACTTAGACAGACAACTAGATTTCTCTGCTGGCACCACCATAAAGTGGACATTTGTGTTTTTTGCTAAATGTATACCCGGCTTGTAGAGAAGCTTAATACCATGATGCATGCATATTCCTAATAAAAATATGCTTTCTAACCAAGTGGCACACACAAAAAATCATAAATGTCCAATTTTGGAACAAGAGTACTGAATGCTCTGTCCTGTACTGGGAATTGTTATTTTTTTGCACCCTTGGCCTCCAACAGGTTAATCCAACCACGTGCTCAATAATGGCTGAGTGGGTGCACCACATTGTGTGGATGTCAGACATAGCACTAGGAAGGTTATTGAGTATGGCAACGTGACATCTGTTGTCCAGCAGCACAAACGGAAAGAGCAACCATGTTTGTGGTTTTTGTCGGACACACAGCGTGCACAAAAATGCACTTATTTTAGTTGCAGACTGGGATAATTTTGGTTTGCTGGTGAAACATTATCCCTTCCAGTTGAGGTGACAATAATAAAAGACACTGAGGAGTATTTGAGGTAACAAGTCTTTCTGGTAATCCTGGTGACAGATCAATAATTTCTGACTGGGAGGCGGTGTCACGAGGACAGGTGTTAGAGTAGCTGGGAAAAAAAGAAGACCTCTCACTATGTCCTTATTTCAAGGTACCACAAAAAGTATGATCAAAGTACAGTGTTACATTCACTATTTTGAAATGGGTGGTAAGGAAATAGGTAATCAGAAAATGACTATCAATCTAATCTCCCAGAGGTCATCTATCACTTTTGTTAAAACCAGAAGATTTTGTGAGGTGATACATCTTCTTAATAGAGGATCTTTGGTCTACAAGGCTGGCATATAAAAGCCAGCTGCAGTTAAAGCCACTCTGATGTCTCACTTTTGCAAAGTAATTCGTTTTTAATTCCGGAGGTTTAATTTTCTGTTAATCACAGTTTTTTGTTCATTTGTTTATATTTTTTTATTCTTAAACAGTTTCTTTCTCTGAGGTGCAACTATGTCTGAGTAAGTTCAGTTCTCATGAAATAGAAAAGATGATTTTTCTAGCCTGTTTACTTGCCTGTGGAGTATTTAATCTCAGAATGTTAATGCCGTCTCTTATTTATTTGTGCATCTCTGATTTCTCTGATTTCTCTGTTCCAACAAATCTCACATGGACACCACAGTGATGTGAGTTACTGCCCGCATGTCCTGTGATGCTTTCTGCCCTAAAAAGCTTGGTTAAATTAAGAGAGTGTTTATTGTAGTTTAATTTCCTTGTTGTATTCATTTCTCTTTTCAGTACAAACCAGTGCCCGCCAAGACAGAAGCAAAGGTAATGATATTTTAAGTGTTTTCCTATCTGTATGGTTGTGTCTTTTTACTTCACTGAGAGACAGAGAACCAATATTTGCTTATATGTCTGTTTGGAATAAATCAAGGTTTGCTAGGTTTTGTGGCAAACAAGATTTAATATTTGCATGATGCTGTTTGATTCAGGCTCGTAAGGTGTTCAGAAATTTCTGGCATTTCAGGTTCATGGGGCATTTTTTCATGTTTCATGGAGACGGCATTTATTTAAATTAGGAAAAAAAATGACATATGTTCATTTAAATACTGGACTTTGTAAGCTGTGTCTGTCTTTTTACAGGTAGATGCCAATTTTCACACTAAGACTTACGAATATGGTTTTTAAATTCAGGTGTAATGTGTCACATTTGTATTATTTCCAGCCCAAATGCAAGATTTCAGCCTCGCGCAAGCTGTCGCTGAAGGTAAAACTTTGCATATTATCTCATGAACAAAACATAAAACTGTCAACACGGGAGAAGAAATTAGATGCTTCTTAACGTGTCACCTTTGACCTGTCCAGATCCTTCTGCTGGCTCGTGCAACAGAAGAGCTGGAGGCAGAGAAGGCTGCAATCGAGGACGACAAGGTCCGCTACCTGGGAGAGAAGCTTCCACCGCTGCAGTTAGGTGGTTTAAACATCGATGACCTGCAGGTGAGAGACAGCCATCATACAGAACTAATGACTGATCATGTATTTAAACACAGCATTGATATTTCTGTGGATGTTTAATTTTGATTTTTTTTGTAGGCACTCTGCAAAGAGATGCATGACAAGATTAATTCGGTGGATGAGGAGCGGTATGACTGTGAGCACAAAGTCTTCAAGAACTACAGAGACGTACGATCCAACAAATTTGACTGAAACACATTAAAAAGTTGTGGGTTTTTTTGCTATACAAAAAGTCACCAGTAAAACCTTTCGCTGTCTCTAGATCAATGAGCTGAAGCTAAAGGTGCAGGACCTTGGCGGGAAGTTTAAGAAACCAGCGCTGAGGAAGGTGAGAGTTTCAGCAGATGAGATGATGGAAGCTTTGTTTGGATCCAAAAGTAAGGCTTCCTCCATGGATCTGAGGGCCAATCTCAAGTCTGTAAAGAAGGAGGACATCAAACAAGAGAAGGTATGCTGTTGTACCCACACAAATAAAAGGTATCCAGTCATTCAAGGATTAAAAAAACAACATTTAATGAAACAGCAAAACCCTAATCATCTTGATGTGGGATTTGATACTTTAGGAGCTGAACATGGAGGTGGGTGACTGGCGTAAGAACGTGGAGGCCATGTCTGGTATGGAGGGCAGGAAGAAGATGTTTGACGCGTGATGTTACAGAGTAAGAGGAAACTGAAGAATTAAACTGAAACTAAGGAAATCTTAAAATAATAATGATAATAATAGAGTATAATAATTATGTATTAAATACAATTCATTTGAATAAAGTTAAAAGTAACTAAAGAGAAGATCAAATACATCAAAACATGAGAACTCCCTGGGAGGTTAACCTTTACCATAGGCAGTTATATGAATTGGTATTGGCTGTGTTAAAGTGTAAAAATGTATGTCTTTGCAGTTTTTTCGTTCCCGCCATGTAATTATTTTTAAAATAGCCATGTGAATAAACAGTATACTACTGCCTGATAATGTTATGTATAAAAAACACAATAAATTTGTAAATATCACCTCACCTTTTGTGTTACTTATACATGCTGACAATCGATCTGAAGCAAATATATAACATAGATAAATAAATATAACCTCTCCTCTAATACTGATGCACAGAACACTTCTATGTCCAGTTGTTTTGAGCAGTTTGATTGGTTATCTGTATATTAAATGTAGTTTTTTAAGTGCAACAGACTTGACATTGTCCTTTTACACAACAAAGGTGTCATAGCTGTTTTTCGTGCCACCCTTAAGCTATGCCATTGACTTATAGCGCCACCAGAGATATTTTCTGTCAGAGCCAGGATATACTTAGCCTTCCCTCTTGACTGGAATGAATTCCTCTCCAGTAATAAAGGGTAAACATCAACACACATTAGTAGCTGTCCTTGGACAGAGTGTCGGTAAGATGTAGGTTGAAAGGCGGCGGTTGAGGGGATGGAATCGACAACCTTCAAGGAATTTAGGGCTGCTGGAAAGCATCTGTGTCTATACAGTGCACACCTGTCTGAATGCCGGTGTACAGTCAGATTTCAATTCTTACTGTGCAGAGTACTTTCATCAACATTGCAAAAGATCAGATCAGTTCTACAGCAACGTTTCTCTGTATGAGTTTGGAAAACATCCCCTTGGAGGAGCCACAGCGTTCAGTTTCAGGACTATGCAAACCACAGGAATAACTGGCAGAAACTAGTCGGTATTTATTTTTATTGCAGCAATTAGAAAAGATTTAGTAGCGCACTGTTTTCAATTTCATTTAAGGCAGATCGAAAATCTGTCAGAAATCTTCGTTTCAGGAGGACAAATGTCAGTGTTAGGGATTCCTCGGACTGACAGTGCCTCCCTCATGCTAAATTACAGTCCCACACCTTTTTCCCAACACTGTTAAAGGACAACATCTGCAGAGACTTGATCTCAGTTGTTTTGCTTAAGTTTGCAGTCAGGTGAAAAACCCACACCTTAAAATGACAACTCTCAACGGTGACACAGTTTGTCTTTGAGCTTTTCCGAATATCCTTCATCTAAGCTAGATCAAAGTTATTAATCGCCTCAAGACATAACATGAAATTTACCAAAATGTAGGTCTAAATCCAACGAGGGCAGTATGCAAATATGTGCAAAGACAAGAGCAAACGTGGCACAATTCGTTTGAAGCCTGCAGCCATAATGGACCGATAGAGCTGGTTTCAGTATGTAAATGATTCAATTCGGAGTGAGGATGCTTCAGTTTGTTTTATTCTACTATTGGCGTTACATATGACAGCTATTAAAAAATAAACCGCAAGACAAACTTTTTTTTGGAGAAGTTTATTGCTCAGCTTTGCCAAGGCAGTGTAACATGGAAAAACCTGTCCCTGAGAGAAGAAACTCCACAACCGTACAGTAAGGCAAAAACTAATTCCCAGCATAAAGGGAGGCATGAGGTATATCTAAAAAATAAAGTCGATTTTTAAAAAGTAAGCCACGAAAGTGCAGCAAAGGAGGAAAGGGAACAACATACATCATACCATATTCAGGTAAAATCAAAACCTAATTGTAAAAGATTGAATGCTCTGGAAAAAGAAATAGTATATAAAAACATCACATCACGTTTAGCAGTGTTACAAAACCAGCACAAAAATCCGGCTTCAGACCAGAACTGAACGGAAACAGCTCAACATGAATGAGTTTGAAACGACTAATCTAAGAAAGGCACGACGTTAAAGTGGAATGTGAACAATCACAAATGCTGCTTAGTTTTAAATAACAAAATAACAACATGATTAAAACACAAGATCATTTTTTCAATCACTACATCATATGTGTAATTATTGTGTTGACAGCAAAACAAAAACAACAAAACAAGCTTTCTTCCTTTCAATTAAGAACAAATAAGAACAGCAGCTTTAGCTTTAAAATTATTTGCTGAACATATTGGATCCCCGATATTATATTTCAACAGACTCGTCCGTCATATTGAAAAAGTAATGCTGCTTTTCTATACAGGAAGAAAGTAGAGGTCCCTCCACCTACCCAAGTTTTACCTGTTTTCTTTGGTGACTGGCTGTGTAGGGAGGGTTAGGCAGAGATGGACAACAAAATCTCACAACAATGGATCAGTTTAGATCTAGCATATGATTACTCTTTTTGTGCTTGAGGCAGAACACAACAGGTTACAAATCTGAATCAACGTCATTTTTGATATATGATTAAAAATGATTTTCTGACTTGTCTGTAAAAACAACCCTCGGTACCTAAACAACAGTTACAGAGAAGAATACGCATTTAAAGTAGATGGGAGGGGCACTCTAAAGGGTAAACTGAGGTACACATCTGTTTCAAAAAAATAAAATTAAACGCAAATGAAAAAAAAACGAAACAACAAACTACATTTATTTAATAAATAGAAAATGTTCTATAATTTAAAACACGATGAGATAAGGCTGTGTTTACCATATACACAATCTAAAGTCAAATATTTCCATTTTGTCACAAAGAAAAAAAGACATTGATTTCCCCAGTTAAGACTCATGTGCAAGGCTTGTGATCTTAATAGGACACTTGTGTGCATACGTCCAGGAGTGCGGATTGTCATTTAGGAGTCCAGTTCTGTCTTTGGATCAGGTCATTTAATTGCAGCCTTTAGTGCAGGTCATAGTCTCAGTGAGCAACATTGTGCACAGCAGTATCTTCATATATAGAGCCAGTGGTGCTCATTAGCCAGTACCCTCTTAGTAGTCAACAGTACGTCCAGTAAAATTAACTCTGACCTTATCAGTAGTATCCCCTTAGCAATGACCTTCACAAAGCCTGAGCGAACGAAGACAGCGTCCAATCCCATGTCACCCTCTCTGACGGTCAGCAGGTATTACCATTACATAGCAGGCATCAAGCTCCGGCCTTAAAGTGCTCTGGTTGCCATGGTTGTAACCGTGGCGATGTCACGATGCACCCGCAGGTGTCAAGGTCACCTGTGCCCTGTTGACATCCGCCGATTCCACATGCCACGTTTGGAGTGATAGTTGTGGGAAAAGTTCCTCAAGTAGATCCTGTCTACCTCCAGTCCTGCCTGGAGGATCCTGGAGCAGAGAACAGAGCGTTTACTTAACTCAGTCCCCAAACTACTTTTTAAGCCACTATGTAATAAACACATGAAATAATAAAAGGCCAGTTCTCAGTCAAAACAGCTAAAAGTTGTTTTGTGTTTCTGCCTTTTACGTTTCGATTCATACAAATTAAGGAGATCAGCATTAAAATCAGCTTCAACTGACATCAACAGATTTGTTTGGCCACTTGGGAGCAGCAGAAACATTTGTTTACTGGTGATGTAACTCAACATCTCCTGAGGAAAATGTTGGTCTCTTTACGGTGTAAAATGCTTCATTATGTTCACCGGCTAGTTATGAAGCTCAGTGAAGCCGACAGGAGCTCCAGATTCAGGTGATAATTCTGTGAAACTACTTTATTTGTGGTGATTTTAGTATTTGTGGCTTTTTTTTTTTTCAGTCTCGATGATTTTGAAAAGGTAAGAAGTAAAGTAAAAGTGCTGGTTAAATGTCCCCTTGTTTTTTGTGCAGCGCCTCCTAAACACACAGTGCAAGGAAAAGTAAATCACGAGGCACCATTTATCTGTCTTTTAGGCACGTGCTGCTTTAGGGAAATAACAAAACATTGCAGTTTTGACAGTTTCTGTGTATCATCAGTCTGTCATGTTCTGTGCCTGGCAGCAGTTATTTTATGTCTTTCCTTCATCTCCATTTGCAACAACTCGTGATTACACAGTAGAATTACTTTTGTCTTTATAGGAAACATGCACGAGCTCGTTATGTGCAAGCAGAGGGACCATCAGTCCTGTCAGCTACGTAGTTTTCCCTCATATATCATGTACTTCTAAGTAAAAGTGAGTCATACCTCTCATTCCAAATGTATGTAACACTGTAGGTGCAGAAATGTGTAACATCCTCTTTTATGACTGTTTTGATTTCTGCTGAACTCATTGACTCACAGTGTAAACTGAAAAAAACCAAACTGTTGTCTGATGTTTTCCAGTTGTTGTGTTGAGTGAAAAGGAAAAACACTACAAACAACAGCAGGGATCAGAAATGAATGAAGCACTTTTACCAGCACAGTTGAACAGCTTTAAAAGTTCAATTGAAAACATAACATCTCAACAGAGAAATGGCCTTTAAAACATCATCTACTGGGAGGGGACATTAGGAAGTGAGGGACACACCTGTCGAGGAGCTCCCAGTCCTCTCCTCCCCAGCGGTCTTTGAACTCCTTGGTGTTCATTCCTCCCACTGTGACCAGATCTGACTTGTAGATCCCAAGCAAGCCAAAGCCATTGACCTCCCAGTAGCCTGGAATTCATACAAAACAGTCACATATTACTTCATTTTTTATATTTACCAGGGCCACTATTTTTGTGTATCACAGTGAACAAAACATTCTCTATATTAACACTTTTCATGTGTTTCAGCCTGGAAATAAATGATACCATAATTCACTGGAGAAAAAAAACAAAAAAACACCAGTAGAGATGATGTGTCTGAGTGCGTGTCGCTGCAGGCAATGAGCTGTGAATCCAACATGTTGACGCAGGACCAGCAGGAAAACACTTCATTTTAGGCCATATATATATATATACATATATACTGTATACAGTAAATGTGTCATAGTCATCCCTGCAGCCATACACGTACTCAGACTGAATCTCTAAATAGACAAAGAAGCTCTGGGAAGAAGCAGTCTTTCTAAACAAAATCAGTAGCAACACGGAGGTAAAAGGAGAGTCTTGGTGCAGAAACGTGGGAAAATATACATTGATCCGCTCAAATGCAGGCACACATTGGCAGACAAGACAGAAAAGACTTGAAATGGCAATTAATCTAGTTTCTAGTTGGACTTGGCAGAATGGAGTACAGCCAAATCAGTCACATTGTGGTGCAGATCTGGTCTGGGTTGTCAGACCAGATCATGTAAGGCGTATCACAGAGGAGTAGACTGTTGCTTTTCAAGAGCCCTTCTACTTACTGTCGGCTTTGTTAAGCAGGAATCCTATACTTAGCAGAACAACAAATTCAACAATTTCTCTCTTCTAACAGGTAACATTAAAGAACTTTTTCAGTTTTCAAGTGACACATCATGAATTGCTTATGGTCTCCTCTTCCTTCCCCTCTGTGGAGCAGTTTTTTCTCTGCTCTGCTGTGCTCACACACATACATACATGTACATGCAGGCATGCATGCAGCAGACACGCTACACATTCCTGCCATTGGTTTCACACTGCTTCCCCGATCAACAGGTGGCGATAAAACACCAAGATAGGCAGCAATAGACAACAAATGTTGGAATATTTGAGACTGCAAGATAGTCTTGAACATGAATTTGGGCAATGCTACTTTAAAAAAAAAAGTTTTGCAAATATTCTATGAGGAAGTGTAACAGTCAGCACAGAAGTGACTGTAATACTGAATATACACTTAACTTGTTTGCAAAAAAAAATACGCAGGGCAACTTCAGTAGGAAAAGATTTGACAATATGACAAAATTAAGTGGTCCTCTGGCATCATCTACTGATTTTGATGTTCACACAATTCACACATTTATTAGTCATGTAAAACTATACATAAATAAATGGATGTATGTCTTCCTACCTTTGGCCTCCAATGGCGTTGTACCGCAGTCTAGTCTCTGGACAATAGGAGCAAAGGCCATGTATCCCTCCACACAGTGCTTCCTGATGGTATCAACGATCGAGGGAGGGAAGTGGATGTGGAGGTCACAGAGAAACACAATGCTGTGGTCATCCTGGTGGTGGAGAAGAAGGAGGGAAAAAGTGAAATACATAACATTGAGTATTACAATTAAAGCATGCTTTGTTGCTGAGTCATATTGCGGTACTCACATTTATCAGGTCGATACCGGCTTGTAGGCCAGCGGAGCGCTCAAAGTTCCCACCTAGCTTCACATACTGGTACCTGATAAGGGGGATAAATATAATTACAGCACCTTCATATTACATATACTTCAACGCGGGTTATTTTTGGTGCAAAAGTGAAGCAAACACAAATGCAAACCTGGGGAGTGAGGATTTCTGTAGCGCCTTCCTCACGTCCATGTCAGTGCTGTTGTAGTCGGTAATGATGAGGTTGAAGTTGACGTCGCCGGTTTCCCTGAAGATTCTCTCCATCTCAGAAATCAGGTACTGCACCCACCGAGCCTGGTTCTTCACTGAGGAAGACGCGCAGACAAATTATAGTGTGTAGAAATAAAATAAATGACATTTTTTTGCCTTTATTATTTCTAGTAGAGCAGTGGAGAGAGAGGGGAAAGGGGTGAGAGGAATGGGGTGAGACCTGCAGCAAAGGGCCGTGAGCGGGATTCAAACTCACGACCGCTGTGTCAGGGACTATAGCCCCTGTTCATGTAACATCGTCTTATCTGGTTGAGCTACCAGGGTGGCCCACAATCACCTTTTTTTTTTATTGGTGATTGCATGTTTTGACCTTTGTACAGCTATCCACTCTCAAGCTGCACACAGAAATGTACACGGTAATACAACAGTAGCAGTATTTCTGTCAGGATCCCTGCTTTGACCCATGCCTGGCTCCCTCTCTCTCCTGTCACTTGGGTCCTGAGTGCCTGATCACAGGTACAGCTGTGGCAATCAGCTCACCTGTCTACAACCACCTTCAGCTCCTCCAAAAGACTCAGCTCATTCCTCCACACACTGCCAGACCATAAACTCTGAAACCCTGTTTTCCTGCTGGTCCCCAAGTTGCCTCCTGGCTACCTTTCCTGAGCTACCGCCACCTGAAACCCCCCTCAAGCTTTGACACACTCGCTGCCCCAGTTCTACCAACCAGCCTGGACCTGCCACCAGCCCTGCTCCAGCCTTTCACCACATCCTGGATTCCCTGAGCCTGGCAGTTTTGTCCTCTGTCTCCTGCCACAAACAGTCTGTACCTTCCACCAGCCCCACTCCAGCTTTTCCCCATCCCCTCGCCAGACCACGGATTCCCCGAGCCTGACCCTCCCCCCCCTTCAGTTTAGCCTATTTTGTGAGTATAAGCTCAGTTATTATTTAGTTTAGTTATTTCTTCTTTGAATTTCTTAGGTTTTCCCTCAGTTCATAGTTTTCTCCAGTTTTTGTTGCTTCGTTCTCTTTTTGAATTCAGTCTGGTTTACCCCATTCTGTTTTGTTTCCCCCCTTCAGTTTAGTTTCTGCACTTCAGTTTGGGTTCAGTGTAATTCCTTGTTTAATAAAATCCTTTTGAACCCTTAACCAGTCTGTCAGCTTGATCTGTCCACACCTGGATTCCCTAACCCATCGTGACAAAGTTATGTAAATAACAAACACCTTGACATGGTGAGTGACATAATTTTAACCGCAGAGAAAAACACACGCACTGTAAATCAAGTTAATTAGAAAACTGTTTACTTCCTCGACTCTTAAAAAGGTGTGGAAATTAACAGGCTCGCCATGCCAACATGGTTCACTTTGTGTGCCAGTATTTATGCATGACTGAAAAAAAAAATTATATGATGTTAGACTGAAGCTAACACCATCTCCAGTCTGCCAACCAGTAGGCCTGCCTTTTAAACATTTTACTATTAAGAACTCAGAGAAATTCACCTTGTTTCTGTGCATTCAGAGACTGGCTGCCATGGTTCACTCGCACAAAGTGTGTTTAAAGAGTTAAATCTGTGTCTATGAATCTGATACAGTCATTAAACAATAGTACACAAAGCGCACAACAAAAGCCATTTTATCCTTGAGTAATAAAATATTGACAACATTTTTTTTTTCTACAGAAGGCCAAGAGGTTATCATTTTTTCAAAATTTTAAAATGTTTCCCATGTACTGTCTTCAGTAATGGTGAAATGTGCCCGAACACCTGAGTGACTTGACGCTAAATGTTTTGTAGGTGGAGAACAAAGTTGTCACATTTGACAGATATACACCTGTTCTTTGTGTTCGTTTGTAATTGTTACTTTAGGAGAGATTTGTGTTGAGGGTGTGGCACTTGGACACTGATGATGGCAACTCCTTTCCTTTATTTCATGACAATCTATCACTATTGAATGAACCATCCAAAAACAATTGTACAACTGGTTTCAGCTGAACATATTTGCCTCTCGTCTTGGTTCACTTTGGCTGGAGGACTATAGTGCAGCATTGTGTTGGCAAGTTAAAGCAGCAAAACCTGATTCAGCTGCAAGATATGCAGAGAGCCCTGTTTTTCCTCGCTGAATACTAAATTTGAATCTTGGATTTAGACGCTACCTGGCACTATGAAGTGGACGGTGGCAACAGGATTCCACTGGAAGCCCACCGGGTTGCACAGCACCAGCTGAGGTTTCGGCTGTTGGAAACTGAAGTCCTTGCTGCGCCTGCTTCGGCGAATCAGAGCGTAGATGTAGTGTGACAGACGCCGCAACCGGCCACCCGCATCTTTCAGCTCCAGCTCCAGAAGATAGCGGCTGCCCTGGATCCCGTCCGCACGCTTCACCACATTAACCACTCGCACCAACGTAAACTGCCTGCAAGGTCAAGTTGAGATATGGCTGTAAATATGGAAATTTCCACATTATTTTAACAGTGATTTAATTAAATAAGAAGTGTGTTTAGTTAGAGATGCAACACACTCGAAAAACAATAAAGAGAACATGACCAAATTGAGTACCCCTTCGGAATATCACTAAAATCTTACCGTTTTTTTTAAGTTGAAGTGTAGGGTATTTGATTATGTGTAATTAAATACAGTACAGTAACATAATATTCAAGTAAAGTTATGTAAGCATTACTCATTTATGTGTGCTAATTATGCACCAATTCTGTCTGTGTAATATTGTATCTGATAATACTAATTACAAATGCATTGCTGTGAAAGCAGCACTTTAATGCTGTTATATGTTATGCTGTATATACATACAGCCGAGTAGTTAGTTCATGAAAATGCATTCATAATTTACAAACTGATCACATGTTTTGGTGTGAAAGGCTAAATCTGAAAACGTGTTAATTATTATAGCAGAGGGAAAAGTATGAACGGTACTTCAGTGTCACAAATTAAATCACACAAGTCCAGTGAGACTAATACTTGCTATAAAGGCCTGTCTGAGTGATGTATCCACACTTACCCGTGGTGCTTTTCATTCAGATGCTCCATGAAAGTCTTGACAATGGGCAAAGCATCACTGGAGTGGAGCAGCAGGTTTCCGGAGATGTTGCATTGCAGATCGATCCCATCGGAACGCTGTGCATGCAGATCCATGTGGTTGACCTTGAAGGTTTGGTTCCAGTTGACCTGAGTGTCAAACACTGGTGCAGGGGTACTGTCCTCATCATCAGCAACGTCAAACTCCTCTCCTGGTCCCCACAGATTGACTCCTTCACTCTGCCTGGTGGATCTCTGGCTCTCAACCCTGTTGTGAACCTCGTCCTCCTCCCCCACTCGGCCCCCTTCTCCTTCCACGTCCGGCAACTTTTTACCCATCTTCCCTCTCGCACCCCATTCAGCTCCTGGGATGCTGTTTTCCAAATCTTGCTGCAGAGGCATATTCATCTCTATCTCTTTATCCCTGAGGCTTTTTCTGGCATCTGCGTCATTTTGATTTGACACTGCTAAAGGCCGTTTGATGTCTCTCTTCCAAGTAACAAAATGCCTGGAGATGGCTGCCTCTTTCTCTTTCTCTCTGGTTACAAACTTCCGCTGCTCAGCCACTGTGGGCTTTTCAGGCAGAGAAGCATCCTGCTCTTGGTTTAGATGCTGCGAGTCTTTGAGTGTCTCCAATGGGGCAACTGGCCGTTGCTTTGCTTTAAGCTGCTTGTTTTTAACTGTCGTCTGTGGCTTTTTCTGTTTTGGTCTCAAAGCTGATTTTTTCTTTTGTTTTAACCGCATCAAGTTTTGTTGCCGCGGATGTTTTGAAGCTTGCGATGGCACTGGCTGCGGAGGCACAGTTGTTTTTTCTGCCTCCGGCTGTGAAACATTGTCTTGCGTTTGCCTCTTCTGCATCTTCTCTGTCTGCAGTCTTGTAACAGAAGAGTTCTCCAGTGTGTCGTTCGTTTCTTGGCTGGCCAAGGAGAATAGTTTGCGCCTGCGTTTCAGAGCATAATCATCGTAATCATCTCCATTGTCTGAAAAAAGAGCATTGCTTATCTCGTCCAGCTTGAACTCCTTCTCTTGTTCATAGGGCTCATTGTCATACTCCTCCTCTAGGACGGATTTCCTTCCCTGGTTCCCAAAATCTAACAATAATTAGACACAAAAGAAGAATCAAAAGAAATGGTAATACAAGGATATCACTTTTCAGAATCAGAATCTGTTTTATTGTCATTATAAAATGTGGAATGAAACTGCATATGACTTTGCTCCTTATGTACAAATAACAGTAATATGTACACAGAGTGATATGTACAGAAAAAATAATATGTTTTGTTTGTAAAGCATAAAGTGTATATAGAGTATAACATACCTCTGCCTGTGGCTCCACCTTCCTGCACATCTGGACGGTCTAGTCTCATGTATGCAGAGAAACCGAACCTGGGGACAAAAGGTCAAAACACAAAATTATGCAAATATTTAGAGAATTTGATTTGCCTGGAAACATTAAGGTCCCAAATACATACGTTTAGATGCAACTCTAAAAAATAAAAAATGTAAAACAGATTCTCAATAGGTTGAATAGAATAGCACTCTATTGGTGGTACGAGTTCAACTTTGTCGACAGTGTATCCATTTTCATATAGTACACAATATTACAGTGAGTTTGTCTCTCACATCTTCATGTAATAAGGGTTCTCAGGGTAGAAGCAGCTCTTCTCTGTCTCCATGTGCGTGAGTCGTGTGTAGTCATTTGGGTAGATGTAGGACATGTGGACCTGGGAAGATGACATAAGATAACATGCCAAGTAAATAATAGCTTGTTTTTTTTTTGGAATCATGATATCGTCTATAAGGTTAACCAGCCTTGCCAAACAGCTCAGACCAGACAAAGGGTACAAATATGTTATATCTAGTTGGTTTAAGCTGTTCAAAACTCAAAAAGGAAAAAAAAAAAAAACATCTCTAAACTCTAAAATTAGAGCCCCTGCAGTTTTCCGAGGAATACGGACTATTTTTCAGCCTTTTAGTGACATCTTGGAGCCTTGTTGTCACCATTAGGTTGCTAGGCAACCAGAACACACTTCAGGAAACGACTGCCAATGAGTCCTTGGTGACAGTTTTGGAAAATCAATGTCATAAAAATCTGAAGATGTGCTATTTTTCTAATAGGTGCAGTATATGTTAATTTCCTTTAGATCCCTCAAATAGACAAAATATATAAAAGCATTGTATGACATACAGATCCAACAAACCTTGTACCTTACAGTGTAACCCACTTTCTTTTTTTTATTCCTATTTTACACAATGTCAATTTCCTTTTTCATTTTAACTATGATGACCTCTGCTCTCCCTTGGTCTGTTTGTTTAAAAATCATTAAAGGAATACTGATTTAAGAAGTACAAGATAACAACAATAAAATATACATAATAAAAATGCTCCTCAGTGCTTTGTCTTTATCATGTGCAAAATGCTTCTCTAGTTCCAACCCTGTATTTGAGACCTATTTGTGTGAATAATAATGTGCTCAAGCACCAGCACAGAAGTAAAAATGATAAGTATATATACATACAAAATGCAGTCCTTGATAACGAAGCAGAGGGTAGTCTTTGATTGTGTAGCTGGGATTGTACGAGCAGTCAGGCAGAACACCTTGCAGGAACTTACTGTTTATAAAAGGCACTGCAAAGCAAACACAATACCCAGATTTGAGATGAGATTAGTTTGTGCGTTAAGAAAGAGGAAATCACTTGCACATTACTTGCATCCGGGATGATCAAAAAAAGAAACCGAGAGACAACTCTCACCCTGGTAGAATGTGTCTCGCGGATCTTCATTTAGAATGTCGGCTGCAGCGCTGTTTATTGTGGGTGTGCGTTCGTGGCTTGCAGCCGTCTGTGGTATGTGGCCGACATCACCCATTAAAAAAGCAGACTCATCTGTGGGATGAAGTCACGTAGCGTTAGAGTAAGAGAAGTACTTTCAGATTATTGTAAAACAAAACCAGTGAGTTTCAGTTTTGAGTACCCTTGCAGAGTAACAGTCCTTGATTATGATGGAGATTTAACTGCGATCGATTTCTTTTCAGGCACCAGGAATAATGTGTTTACTTACCAACATAGAGGGAGATGTGCTGGGATTCAATAACCATAAACCTGGAGTCTTGGTCCAGGAGTTGCCACTGTGTGAAGACAAAGAACACCACTACTCACATGGAACATAAAAACAACATGACATGAGAGTTGGAACTGATGAAATAAGAGGAGAAAACAGACATTTTCTGTGACTCTGATGAATCTAACAACTTACTGCCACTTCCACATGGTCAGCCCCTCTGTCGTTTTGTTTGTGGATAACTTCAAAGAAGTACCTCCTCTGAGCAGACAGCCTGAAGACAGTAAAAGGTTCATATTCAGTACTACGGTACAGTCGTGTCAAACTCAACGTGGACTGTTCAGCTAAAAAAATGTTCTCTCAAAGCTTTAAGTGAAGGATCAGTGTAGGTCATGATTCACCACTGAGGCCACAGAAGCTCCTAGGATGAGATAAAAATCTGTGTAACTGTCCATTTCCTCTACATTTTCATAGTTAGGCTGATCAAGCAGATACTATATGTCTGTTCTCAGGAAAGTAGATGATCTTTAACATTTAACATTTCCGATGGCACATTTTAAACAGCATGTGACTTGACGAAGCTTCTGTACAGTCCTGGACATGGACAAAACCAAGCAACATGGATGAAATAATAATAAAACAAATAATAAAACATGGTATTTATAACAGAAAAACAGTTCATAAAGAATATAGATTTTTTTTCTTGGTTCTAACTCTACATTTAAAAACATCTGACTTCAAAGAGGCGACCTTGGCATAGTGTTGGGAAACCTTTACATTTCAGTCGAGCTCTTAAAGCAGTGACTGTGAGGGTGTGATAAGACCCTAGAAACGGGGTGTGTATGAATCATATCAGAAATATGAGATAGCAGCCAGGTCAAGCACTGAAATCCTAATCGTAAAAACCACAAGAAGTAGCATACTGGTAACAAACCAATCTAACACCTAACCTAGTTGCCTTAATTAAACACTCCTGGCATGTTTTTTATTTACTTTTGTTGTACATTTGTACTGTTCTTGTTGATACATCATCTGTGTGCAAATGTGTCCCAAAAATAAACTGTAACTGCCAGATATACAGTTGAAACCAGAAGTTTACATGAATAAAAAGACACATAGCCTTTTTTTTTTCTCACTCTCTGACGTTAAATGTGAATAAACGTTTCCTGTTTTAGGTCAGTTAGGATTACCAAAATTACTTCTATTTGCTAAACGCCAGAATAATGTGAGAGAGAATTTTTTAGAGAATCTTTTGTTACTTTCTTCAAAGGGCAGCTGTGGCTCCGGTGGGAGAGCGGTTGTCCTCTGATTATGAGGCTGGCAGTTCGATTCCCCTCCACAGTCGATGTGTCCAAGACACTGAACCCCAAGTTGCTCCTAATGGAAGGCTAGCGCCTTGCATGGCAGCTCTGTCGCCATTGGTGTATGAATGAGAAAACAAGCGCTTTGAGTGCCGCGAAGGTAGAAGAGCGCATTTACCATTAACCATTCAAAGTTAAAAGTTTGCATGTATTTGCTTAGTGTTTGGTAGCATTGCTTGTAAACTGTATGACTTTGTCAAATGTTCTGTTCCATTCCTCCTGACAGAACAGGTGTAACGGAGTCGCCTTGCTCGCACACGCCTCTTGAGATCACGGCTTTGTGGTGGCCACTCCAAAACATTGACTTTGCTGTCCTGAAGCCACTTTGTAACTGATTTGGCGGCATGCTTAGTGTCATTGTCCATTTGGAAGACCCATTTGTTCCCAAGCTTTACCTTTCTGGCTAATGTTTGAACCAGACTTGTGGAGGTCTACAATTCTCTTCCTGATATCTTGGCTGATTTCTTTAGATTTTTCCATGTTGTCACACACGGAAGCAGAGTGTTTGAAGTGTGCCTTAAAATAAAACCACAGGTATGCCTCCAATTAACTCAAATGTTATCAGTTAACCTATCAAAAGCTTCCAAAGCCATTAAATCATCATCTGGGCTTTTCAAAACAGTTTGAAGGCATCGTGACCTTAGTGAATGTAAACTTCTGACTTTGAAGAAAGTAGTACCAAATTTAAAAAAAAAATAAATAAAAAAAATCTCTCTCATTATTCTGGCATTTAGCAAATAGAAATAATTTTGATAATTCTAACTGACCTACAACGGGAAACATTTAGTCTGAGTTAATGTCAGACAGTGAGAAAATAAAGGTTATGTCTTTTTTTAATCATTGTATGTAAAGTTCTGGTTTCACTATAAATAACTCTCTCTGATAGGTTTGTTCTCTGTAAGTCTTAAAACAAATACTTGGAATAAACATGTATGTTCTTGTGGTTTTAGCGCAAGAGGTGCTGGAAACTCGCAGCGTTGATCATACGTGCTGATATCGTCGTTTTGTGCTATAGATGTCAAGTCACCAAATGTGCTCAGAGAGGGAAGACCACAACATTTCCTGTCCCATTGCAGTAAACCCCACCCACACTGTGTGACAAAGCTTTCCAGCATGCCAGCCATCATGCTATGTCATAGATGGAAACAGAAGTCTTATTTTTTCCAGTGAAATGGTTGGCATACCTAAACCAGCGCATACATTTTTGCAAAGGCCTCTAAGATGTGCTTGCATTTACGCACTTGTTTGATGTGTAGCCCTGCAATTAGCGTTACTGTGTGTTGTTTCACATGTGCTCTTCTCACTGATATAAAGTGGAAGCTTGTTAGCTGGGGAAAAAAAGTGCTATCGAGTTTCAACATATTTAAATGAGTATCTCATGACAGTTATAGGGTTGGTTGTTGTTATGGTGCCTGAAGGTGACATAAATTTGATCAAACCACACTCACACTCAGTCCTGATAAAGCACATTAGCTGAGATATGAGCGAGTCTGGTGAGTGTATGAGATTGTACTGAGTCATATGCTTCCTGATAAAGAGAAAAACACAAGATAACAAAGACTTAAACCGCGGATTTTTGCAGTCAACGCTCAGTTCAGTATGTTAATTTTTCACGCATCGCTGATTACAGCTGTTGGTCTAATCTAATGTCGATTCAACTCACCTAACTGGTCTGGAGGTCTGACTGGCATATTTCTCAAACTCGCCCGGCGCTGTCCACTCTGTGCCAGTCTAGAAATTAAAATCCCAGCAGATATTACAGAGACAAATGTGTGGAAATAACACTCTGATACTTGAGGAGATGACTAGTGTGCATACCTTTCCAACCCATGACAGCAACTGCAGGTTGAGGGGAGAGTCATCTGTGCTTAGCCATAAGTCAGAGTTATCGTCAGAGCTCAAAGCAAACACAAACTCTCCTGAGACGGGGAGGAAAAAAAGAACACAAAGGAAAAAGAGACTAAGCGACAAAGAGATAAAGGGAGGATAGTATGACATGCTGTGTCCTAACAGGTGGTGCCAAGTGAAAAAGCACATAATGTACCATCAGTATATGGATGGAGGTAACCAAATATCCTTAGTCCATAGTTGGTCCACAGAGGAGAGACGGCCAGCTTCTGTACTGTCGTCCTGGACTGAAAGAGCAACGAAAGGGAAACAGAGAATCAGCCGCAATGTTGACTCAAAGTGAGACTACATCTTGAGTCCCAGGACGTAAGGATCTTGCATGTGGATGTAGAATGCACCTCTGAGTGAACACAAATGTGTATGTGTGAGTGTATTTGCCTGCGCCTGTGTTAGAGTATGTACAGGAATCTCTTCTTTGCCACATGAAACATCCAGTTGCGGTTCAGTCAGCTGAACGACTGAACCATTCTTTGAGGGGTTGATTTTGTCACAGTATGATCTCGGGGAAGTTGTGGACTGGTATAAAACTAAATCAAGGATTTCTGTGCAAAATCAGACACTTATCATTTATATCAAAAAATAAAAATACATCTTTATTCAAACATCACTGGTTTCTGCAAAGAATTTGAGCACTTTCCTATACTTCTAAATAATAACTCGGGAATTATATTTTTTGCAACAAGACGTTGTACACTTTTCTGTTAAATAGAAAGGGAAATTAATAAATAGATTGTTAGTGATTCTGAATAGGCTATTCGCTGTGATCTGATGAATGTGGTTTCAACCCTCTTAAATCCAAAATGTTCTAAAGGTTTTGAAATCATGCGATCTTGTTTTAGGCTATTTTTTAGAGAATCATCAGATAATTAACTAACAGAAATTTAAGCTTAAAATATTGAGATTTAAAAAAAACCCTAATGATTAGCACATTGCAGATTCTGTGGAAAAACAAAAATTTGCTGTGCTCCTCAGCATGACTGAGAAGAAGTAGTGACTCAGCATTGACCAACAGCCATGCAACAAAAAGTCAGGGACTTTTCAGCTGACCTAAGATGAACAGCAGGCAGTGTTGACACAGAACAGATAGGAGACAAGGATGGAAGCAAATTAAAACTGTAAATAGTAAAACATCTATAGTATGTAGAGTTCCTTTTCCACCCCTAGTATTAGTAACACCTGTAGGCACTTGGAAAAATGTTGTACATGTTAAATCCAGGTGTTTTCAGTTTTGTAAAAGAAATAATGACATAAATGTAACTTTCTTTTTTAAGATTTATGGCATTATAACTATTACACTTTACAACAGAAGCTGTTGGCTCTCTCTACTTCTCATAGATGTGGAGGACTTTATATTACTGTGAAAAATCAGTCCACAGCAAAAATAAATTGTGACAGGAGAGTAAAAAAAAAAACAAAAAAATCCTGTCTTTAATGTTCTATATTTGAATGTATGTTGTTTAGTTATGAAGGAGTTTTTTAAAAAGCAGTTTTGTTATCACACCTCTGAGTGGGAATAAAATTAGGTGCAGTTTTGGGAGTACTATACATGAAAATGTCTGGGTTAAGGATTAAGCATGCTATCATTTGCTGATCTGCACAAAACACAAAGTAGAGTTGATGAGAAAGTGATTTTTTTTGCAGTTTGGTCACGAACCAGTGACTTGATTTGATAACATAACTGAAAATGTAAATCATCTATTAAACACAATTAATGAATCACCAAGTAAAGTGAGAAGATAAAAGTTGGACTCACATGAGGATACAGCGGGTAGTGCAGGTTCTTGCGGAGGTCAGCAGTAGAACTGCCGCACCAGTCCTCAAAGACATGCAGATTGGCCCGTCCCTTATACTGCAGGAAGAGAGACGAGAGCAGGGACAATGTTGGGAACACAGCAGTGTTTGTGCTGCAGTCATTCAGCAGCGGGACAATTAGCCATCTGGCCGCAGTACTTAGCAAACGAGAACCAACAAATACACACTTCCTTGGATACCATTTGACAATGCAGTGACAGAACTGCTGCTTTCAACTGCCACCTGATTCCTATAATCCACACCTCTTCCTGGATGTAAACATGTCGTATTTAAAGAGGCGGTTCAGCCAAACTACAAGCAAATTTTTCATCTATGTTAAGCTGTATGGAGCCGTTCACAGTTGTGATTTTATTTGCTCTGGTTTAAGGAGCTGTTGAAATAGCGGTCTGAAAATAATAATAAAACCAAAGCTATCGTAAGGCACAGACACCACTGGAGCTTAGTGAGCAAATATGAGAAGCTGACCCTTTAAGTAAAATATGTTTACTGTATACACAGGTAGAAGAATGGATCACAGGAAGCGCGTGACAATGGAAGTCAAATTTCTCTTCCGCACTCCATGAAAATCAGTAGGAAACGCTGGAACACACACTGGACACGTAGATGATGAAGCAGTCGGGTTTCAGCAGGAGCCTCTGTGGCATCTGCCAAAGAGGCCATGTTATCTGATCAGTGAATGTGTGTGTTGACTGCAGCACAGTGACAGAATAAAGCAGGTTGGAGCCAAAACCAGTCCAGTAGTTCATCGGATTTCATTAGCGGTCCGTCTAAGCACTCTGCTGTCATCAGCACGGTTAGTTAAATGTTAGCGTGACCCGAGCGCTGAGGTTCAGACTGCATCTGTGGTGCTTGTAATCATTTAACAAGGCTCTTTGCTTCCATTTTCCATGTCCAAGATGAAAGGCCACTTTACAGAGAGTCCGAGAAGACAATTTGCTGTGAACCTCAAACCGATTTTATTTTAGTTCGGGTTTTGCTGCACTTCTAAAGAAAACTTTCAATCAGCAGCATGCTAAATCTGTTGTGACATTTATGGAGTTATAGCTATAGTCTAAACACAATGTGAGTCCTCAGCTGAACCTGCACTTTAAACCTTTGCTTTTGATGGAGGATTGGCTGTTAAGAGTTGTGACATATAAGACTGACTAACTAGAACTTACTGCAGTATTTACAATATTTACTCATGTAGTTTTTACCACATTTACATGTTTGGTTAAAGGAGTGGGAAATATAAATAAAATACGAAATATTTTATAATATAACTTTGCCAACAATTAGAGTCGCAACAAGATTCTGAAAAATGTCCTGTTAAAACTATTTTTTCGAGCAAAACTGTCATAGATCCACTTGTTGGGAAATTTGGCTTGTCTCTGATTTGTGTGACAGTTTTTTGGACTGTGGGTCGAACAAACTGAAATTTCAGTTTCTCACATAGTTAAACTTCAGCAAATGTTTAAATGATCCAATGTCTCACCACAAATAATCTGACGACGGTGTTCCTGTACATAAAGTGATTTTAATCAGCTACAACATGCTGCGCACTAACTGATGCTTCAATATTCATAATCTAATGATGTAATATGCAATAATTTATTAGTTAATGGGACCAAACTACTGCTTTTACTTCAATACTTACGACATTTTGCTGCTAATAATTAAGTACTTTTACTTAGGTAGGGTTTGTCTTTATTTTTACATCCCAGTATTGGTACTTTTGCTTAAGTAAAGGATCGGAATACTTTGTTTTCCACCACCGCTGTTCTTGAGCCTACCATAAATTATTAAAACAGGCTGCTGCTACTCTCCAAAACAGCGTCAGTGCAAATTTGCCAAAAAGAGCACCCTGACACCCCACAGGCTGAATTGCTTGGAAAGAATATGCAGCTTTACGCATGATGTGAAACTTAATATGAAAATTACCCAAAATATTTCAGCAAATCTACCACAGAATGACTTCAAACTAAAAAAAATCCACATTTTGGAGTGGCCCAATTAGAGGTCAGACGTTAACCAAACTAAAATGCTGTGGAATGACCTAAAGAGAGCCGCTCACATGAGACATCCTAAAAATGTGGCTGAACTGAAGCAGTTCTATCAAGAGGAACCGTCCAGAAATCCCCCTGACTGGATTATTATTGATGCTGGTAGGTGGGAAATTTACATTCAAAAAACACCTAGTTGCCACCCACGCAAACACGATCACTGGGACTATTAATACTAATAAAAAGCTTGGTTACACTGGCCTGCAAAGCCAGACACGGCAAAAGCTTCCCCCTGACATGAAACCTGAGGTGCAAGCAACTGGCCAAAGCACAGTCCTGCTTAATATAGTGGAAATATGACTCTAACGCAAGGCAATGGAAGCTACAGAAGCAGGAAAGACACTGTAAACACAGGCAAGTTCACTGATGTGGGAGGGAACTGGGCAGGCCCAGGCAGGTTATTCAGAGTTCAAAGGAGGTGAGATGGAATATTTAGGTATGTGGGCACTGCACATATATAAACACACACACCTCTGGTTTCCAGGTCTGCGGAGTGTAGCTAGAGATCCAAGCAGCTGAATCCTCCACAGCACCTGGCCGATGGTCCTGTCTCACCTAGAAAACACATAAATCTTGGTCACCCCCACCTCTTTCTGCACACAGCATCGCATCACCATATTTTCTATTACCACTTCTTTTTCCATGCGCCACCCTTACCCTTTCGTCCAACACGGATCTCCTCCAGCTGCTGCCGGCAGCGTCAGGACCCATACCTGAGGGAATGGATAAAAGCAGTCAGAGCCGAGCGGGGCAGACGGGTAAATACGCAGCAACCGTGGACAAAAAGGCGACACTCTCTACTAATTTAGAAGACGTTTATAATTTTCCCACAAGATGAAACAGGTTGTTCTTGTTCTTGTAACGGTCAATCCAGACCTAATATTAAAATTAAAATTGACTTTCATGCCAAACCTCAGTCTCCACCTCGAATACTAAAGCTGAGTTTCAAACACGCCTGACACAACCACTGAAAGACAACCTTTCCTGCAAGCAGGCCACCATCACACCCAGCGTCATTAATCAAACTTGCCATATGGTTCATCGTAGGTCACATACTGGAAGTGAGCAGCACATTTTCAGGCTTTCTTATACAAGATGCTTTTTCATCCATTTCTTGCAGGCTTATGTTGCACGAACAATGAAGCCCAGTGTCCAGCGGAGTCTCACCCACTTTCCTGTTCCAATTCACTGCTGATGACTGCTGAATGTAACTCATCTCAGTCACAGGCTTCAATGAGCTGCCATGGCACGGCACTCCTTTGCTGGCAAAAAAAAAAAAAACACAACTCTCCAGCGCTCAGCCGGAGCAGATGCCGTAATATTACTCCTTCTAACCTCTTCCGTCATCAAATTATAGGCTGGTGCGTATTTTAAAACCGGACCTCAGTGTTTGTGTTCTTTATGGGCTTGTGGTGGCAGTGAGTGAACTGGGGTTACTGCGCTTGTGAAGGTCTGTCATTATCACCAGGGTGGAGATCTCCGAGCACACACCCCTGAGACACGGGGGCCAATTTTGGCAACAGTAATTCTAGAGTGGTGGTTGAGAGACGCTAGTAAGAAGTATTTTTATCTCCATCTGCACTCATCTAGCCTTCCTACTTACCCTTTTCTCTTGCCTTTTCTTCACAGTATTCACCACAAGACACAATAATGCATTTGTTTGCTTTTTGTATTCACTCAGTCATCAATTCAAATGACAAAAAATGTCATTCAGGGCTTTGTTTGGTGAGTAATATTAGAGTGGATAAAAAAGAAGCACACTAGCTTTTATAAAGGGAGCAAAAATATATCTAATAAACGAAGAGACTGGAGGCTTTGAATGTGGCTGTTTGACTATTTGGTCTATTGTGCTTAGCTCCAGGTTCTAGGAAAAGTACAAAAAAATGTAGTTTTAAAAGGGGATCAGAGACAGTGAAATCTGGAGTTTATGTAACCAAACAGATAATCTCCGTGTATTTGCAGAGAACACGTATTTTGTTCTTCAGGACATTCAGTTTGAAGTAAAATTATGGAAACTACATTAAAATGTCTTTAGTTTGTGTAGTTTACATCAATATATGTGTGAAATGTATCTCTTTTAACAAAATCAAATCATTTGAATGTTGGAGAAAAACTCCTTTTTGGGTCAAGAAAGTTCTCCAGGATGTAGATGTACATGCCTCCTCCTGGTAAATGATTAGGACAAGACTTCACGACCAGATAATTAACCAGTGAAGTTGTGGAACTGACAAAACAACTGTCTTTGCACTGTTTTTTCAATTTGCACATTTTGTACAGTTGTTTTATTTATTTTATTTTATTCACTTATTTTTATTTTTTATTTTTTAAATAGTATTTAACTCTCTCTAGCTCTTTTTCTGTTGTGATTGGTGTTTTTCTCTTGCTGCTGTACCAGAGTAATTTCCCAGACTGGGACAAATAAAGTATTTTTCTCTTCTTTTCTATTCTAAACACAGAACCCCAATCAAAGTTATGGAGAGAGGAAAGCATGGAGAAAAACCGGCTTGGGTATGATATCAGTGGAACCAGCACACTGGCATTTGTTGTTGATTCCACTGCTGACAAGAGCAACTGGGTATTATGTGTGCACAGAATCAGCTAAATAAATCATTTATCAGGACAATCATCTGAAACGTGCTACCACAGAACTCCTCATGATGACACGATGAAATACTCTTATCTATCGGCTGACTTCGATGTGACTCGGTATGAAGCTCACTTGCTGAGGACAAGACTAAAGGCAGAGAGGTCCAAAACAAGCACGACATGCAGTAAAGGGAGAGTGTCACCAACTGAAAGATTTTCTCAACAATAACAAATATAAGGATTTAGTCTGACTTAATGTGTCTCTGTCCACCTTTGTTTGAACCTTTACACTATTACGCGTTACAGGGCCACATCTGCCCTGCACAGTTCCTTCTATATTGACATACACCTAATTAAAAAAGCCGGGACTCGGCACTTAGACACTGTTTCCACTGTTTAATTTCAAATTTAATGTGCTCGGGCACACAAAGAACAAAGGCATAATATAACTGTTCAAATACTGACATTGTGGACTTTAGTAACCAGCTATGAGGAAGTAACATATTGCAGAACGCAACATGTCAAAATGTTTACCTGAGTCACACAAAATACCAAAAAGGTAAATAGCATTTGGTACAGACTGGTGAAATGATTTGATCATAATCTCAACTGTAACTTTTTTTTATTCCCTCTACCAAAAGATCATTTAAAAATGTAGACGTGCCCAGAATCAGCGCATAAAAGTCCCCCACCCTCCCACACGCTGACCGTCATTTCTCCATTTGGACATTTATTAACTGCTGCACTTTATATGTTATCTGTGTTGTGAAGTGCCTCTGTGACCTACATGTGGGAAAAACAAGCCATCCCTTAAAGACCGACAGCTCAAGCCTTGAGCCTTTGAGTGCTCAAGGCTGAGGTGGTGAGCACATTACAAGAAGAATCTCTAAAGGAGCCTTCCGTAGAGTTTCATGACTACTATTTCCTTTAATTCTCCTTGACGCTCCCTTTTTTCCCGGTTGTGAAATATCGGTATATGAGGCCTGTGTTTCGTAAGTGAGAAGTAAAATCAGCATTGTGCATGATACGATGATGCACTTGTGAACAGTAAAGTGGGCTTGTGTGTCACCAGCCATAACAGCTGTAATGGTTTCGATTCGAGCAATAAACTCAGACCTTACGAACCTTCACCGGATGTCATGGAAGGAGGAACCTTGCGTGCAGGTGTGACCAAGTTACTTAAGCCGAACATGCACACATGAAGGGCCACAGGAGAGCAACAGAAAGCACAACAGCCATGCATCGAGTTGTGCCGCTTTGAGTCACACATTCCCTGTCTCTTGGCTTTAAAAACTCTTAAAAATGACAGCTTTTTTCGATCTTAATTTTATCCTTTGATTATAATTTAATGAGACAAATAATTGCTAATTAAATATCAGAATCTGAATTAGCTTTATTGGCCATATACAGTTGAAACCAGAAGTTTACATACACTATAAAAAGACAAATAACCTTTTTTTCCCCTCAGTATCTGACTTTAAATCAGATTAAACTTTTCCTGTTTTAGGCCAGTTAGGATTACCAAAATTATTTCTATTTGCTAAACACCAGAATAATGAGAGAGAGATTTGTTTTTTCATTACTTTCTTCAAAGTCGGAAGTTTACATACATGTCCTTTGTATTTGGTAGCATTGCCTTTAAACTGGGTTTCCTTCCATAAGCTTCTCACAATAGTTTACTGGAATTCTGGCCCATTCCTCCTGACAGAACTGGTGTAATTGAATCAGGTTTGTTGGCCGCCTTGCTCCACACGCCTTTTCAGCTCTGCCTACAAGTTTTCAACGGGATTGAGATCAGGGCTTTTAGATGGCCACTCCAAAACACAGACTTTGTTGTCCTGAAGCCACTTCGTAACTAATGGGTCTTCCATGTCCATTTGGAAGACCCATTTGCGCCCAAGCTTCAACTTCCTGGATGATGTCTTGAGATGTTGCTTCACTATTTCCACATAATGTTCTTTCCTCATGATGTCATCTATTTTTGAAGTTCACCAGTCCCTCCTGCAGCAAAACACCCCCACAACATGATGCTGCCACCCCCGTGCTTCACGGTTGGGATGGTGTTCTCAGGCTTGCAAGCTTTCTCCTTTTTCCTCTAAATATAACGATGGTCACTATGGCCAAACGGTTCCATTTTAGTTTCATCAGACCACAGGACATGTCTCCACAAATTAAGGTCTTTGTCCATGTGTGCATTTCCAAACTGTAATTGACTTTTTCATGTTGCTTTTGGAGTAATGTCTCTAAGTAGCCTTTCAGCCCATGTGGGTACAGGACTCGTTTCACTGTGGATAATGACTCTCTCTGACCAGCTTTAGCCAACATCTTTTGCTTTTGCTCTGGGTTGATATGCACATTTCGCACCAAAACACTTCATCTCTGGGACACAGAACCCGTCTCCTTCATGAGCGGTATGATGGCTGGACATTCCCATGGTGTTTATACTCGCATATAATTGTTTGAACACATGAACCTGTAACCTTCACGCATCTGGAAATTGTACCCCAGGATGAACCAGACTTGTGGAGGTCCATAACTCTCTTCTTGATATCTTGGCTGATTTCTTTAGATTTTCCCACGTTGTCACAAAAAGAAGCAGAGTGTTTGAGGTGTGCCCCAAAATACATCTGCAGGTGTGCCTAGAAATGACTCAGACTTTAATTTCAAATTTCAATAGGTTAATTGACAAAATTTTAATAATTAAAAGCCTCAATGACACTGGCTTTCCCCAATAGTTTGAAGGCATAGTAATCTTAGTGTATATAAACTTCTGACTGTGAAGAAAGTAGTAAAAAAATTCTCTCTCACATTATTCTGGCGTTTAGCAAATAGAAATAATTTTGGTAATCCTAACTGACCTAAAACAGGAAAAGTTCAGTCTGATTTAATGTCAGACAGTGAGAAAAAAAACAGGTTATATGTCTTTTTATACACTGTATGTAAACTTCTGGTTTCAACTTTATGTGAACATATACAGTGAATTTGACTTTTTTTTTTTCTTTGCTCTCAAAGCACAAATGATATAAATTATACAAAGGAAATGTTTTTTTTTGTTTGTTTGTTTTTTTAATAAGAAAAAAAAAGAAAATTGGTGTTTAACTCCTATGTAGAACACATTTAGTCTAAACTGTGTAGATTCTGATGACAGGAATTATAACAGTTATTAATAACAAATACAGGAATATTGACCCTTTATATACATGTGGTAGGTGGATGAAAACGCACTTTAATTTCAATCAGGGCAGTTTAAAAGCGATGCAATAAGACTGCATGTTACAAATATCAAGTTATCACGCTTCAAAAACACCTGTGTCCACTTATTGACTGAGCATAATTGACCAAGATACCTTTCGTGCCTAATGGGTGGGCTGGCTGTGCTCAATCTACAAGTAAGTGAATGTGATTTGTTTAGTTTCACTGTAATATTATTGGATAGTGTGGTAGTTGACTCTTGGTTTATTAACTATTCCACCAAGGAATGAGTCGCTGCCCAGTAGGCTGCTACCCTCCCAGTATCATGAGACAGCACATCGTGGCCCTAAGCCCACTATCCCTGCATTTACCAAAGGGGACCCAAGAGAATCTGCGAGGCTTAAGGTTGCTTTGTAGAACCTGCTGCCTGAGGACGCGACAGAGCACTTCAAGTACCACATCTTGGTGGATCATCTGAAATACGAGGAAGCATTGCTCACAGTGAGCTCCTATACTAACTCACTGCAGCCCTACACAGACACAATGACCAGTCTAACTGAACACTATGGTCAGCCTCACCAGCTTGCTCTTAGAATTTGGGGGGCTGCTGTGACGAAGGACGACAGGACCAGGCAGGTTTAATAGACAATTAAACAGTTAGCCAGTCAGAGGCCACTATGCTCTCCTGCTCTGCAGAGCAGCACTCACTCTCAGTTCAGACAAGTTTCAGAGGAGAGTACTGGTGAAGACTGTTGGTGTGACACGTAGTTTTTGTGGGTTGGCTGTGTTCCTTTTTTCTTCAGTGTGCGTACACTGTACAGGTAAGTGAATGTTGTATGTTTAGTTTCACTGTTGGATAGTGTGCTGGTTGACTCTTGGTTTATTAACATCTACGGATTTCAATTTATTTTGTTTCAGAACCACACAAATATCTTCGTTTCTGAATAAAAGAGCAAACGGTAGGCCTTGTACTGTACTGCATTCTAACCGATGCCCCTGGTGGCCTAGACTTTCTTACCGGAGAAGAAAAGTATGTTTCTATTCTCGACAACACCTAATAAACGGCCTAAATGGAAATAGATGCTTTTTGTCACCACACCAACACCTGTAACACAGCTGACAACCTAACTGTCGTGCTGCACCTGTCATTACTCTATTACATATCTGAATCTCATTGCTGCTCTTTCAGCTCCGCTTGAAGAGGACGTGGAGTCCAGCCCAGGAATGTGCGTACATACAGACGAGCCCTGTGATATAGGTCTCAGGCATGCATTTACACGCTAAAGCTTTCTTCAAAGTGTGTGTACGTGTGATGAGTTGCTATTCCTCTCTTGTGGGCACGACACAACAAGGTGACTATTCTCACGGTTTTCATCTGCGCTCATCGTGCTGAGGTGACATCCTTATGTTGAATGTGAGAGCAACAAATGGTAAGCTAAAGCGAGAACAAGGTAAAGGGCAGGAAGTTTGGTTACCCAGTGTGAGACGGGACTTCCCTGTGAGCATAAACCTGCCATCTGACCTTCTGACCTCCCCATCCCCCTCCTCTTACTGTCTTACTTGCTTTAACACACACACACAACCACACACAACCACACACACACAGAACTCCATCTCTTGAAATGAACCTGTTGCTTCACTCGCTGCTTCCTCTACAAACGTCTACAACATCATTCATGGAAAATAAAAGAGGACGTAAGTGGATGCATTCCTGTTAAACCTCACTAATGGAGACTTGAATGAATTTAGATTCATCTAAACAGAAATCACATGGGATTTTTAGAAAATACTGGATGATCAGGAAAACAGAAAACCTTTGCAAACTCTAAAGCAATCACGTTAAATATTCCTGCAATAGATGACACTTCTATAGTACTTATTATTGCTTCTCTATTGTTTAATTTTAAACACTTATTTGAGTTACTGAGGTACAGTTTCATCTGCTTTACACGATGGAAAACCGTCTTTGACTTCAGCAAATGACTTGAACGATTGCTGAAACTCGAGGTTGTGAAACAACTCTGTGGTCATTTGTGACTGCAGTTGACTGAAACATGTGTTTGTGTTCCTCTGTAGGTTGTTTGCAAAGGAGGTAGACAACATATTAGGGGCTTTAAAATAATGCAGTGCAGTTTAACACTATTTTAAGAACCCAGCTTTAAAGATACAACACGAGAAAACACCAAAAAAAAAAAAAAAAGTAAAGGAAAAGACACAGTAACAGGTAAACTTTTTATCTAGGGAAGCAAGTGTGATTTTTGGTGATGTTGCATCTTTTTTTAAAAAAAGTTTTACAGCAGCCCAATCTTCATCCAAGTTTGTTTCTTACTTCGAAACAATCTCATTTTGCGAGTTATTCAAAAGATCGAGGCTCAGTGCAATTGGTGCATCAGTGACCACAAAAAGTGTGAGCGACAAGCACTTGTTGAGCAACAGTGAGCGCACTGGCAGCCGCAGACTTACCCATGTCACTGCTCCACGCTTTGGCTGCAACCATCTCATGGTACACGGCCACAGCTCCGACCAGCAGAATCGCCCCAAGCAGAACATATCTGCCATTTCGCCTCAGTTTCTTTACGGGGAAAAACGTCAAGATCATCTTGTCTCCCGGGGGAAACTTGCTCCCGAGTTACTCATCGGTCGGATCTGTCGCTTTGTCATCGGGAGGAGGACCGAGCCCAACACGCCCGTCCGTTCGTCCGCCCGCCCGCCTCTGCTGCTGCTGCTGCTGCTGCTCCCCCGTTGGGTGCGCACTACCGGCACCCTGGATGTCCCCAGTGCGCGGGTCCCCCGATGGCTCTCATCCTGCGAAAAATCCCACCAGGAATCTGCGCCGCCCAGTGAGCAACACTGCGCGCCGTGGGTCATGTAAAACTCTCAGTGGGTTTCCTGTTGCTCCTTATCTCGGAGTGCGCACCGCGGCCGTGCCGATCTCTGCTCCGCACTGCTCGCATTAAAGCGCACACGGAGCTGCACAAAGAACAGAGTGAAATCTCACACCAGCTTCAGCCTCCTATCCGCGCAACTTCAATGAAGAATACGCTGAAGATGGCAAGCCGGAACAGGGACATATCCACCTTCAAAGTTAAAGCACAAGGTTGTCACAGTGGCCACAAATAAATCCAAGAACTTGATAGAAATGAATTCTTTGGATTTGTTGAGTTTCTCTGTACTTTATAACTGTATAAGATATTCTTCTTCTTAGTATGTAAAGTGCCCTGAGATTACTTTTATCGTGAACTGGTAATATATCAAATTGAATATGTGTAAAACAATATTTAATCTCAAAGGAAATTCTTGTGCCAGATATTGCTCATAAAAAATGACATAACATGCAGTGCCGAAAAAGTAAAAAACAATCAATAAGATAAAAATACTAAAGTAAAAGTCAAATTTGCCCTGCGATGGACTGGCGACCTGTCCAGGGTGTCCCCTGCCTTCGCCCTAAGTCAGCTGGGATAGGCTCCAGCCCCCCCGCGACCCTAATGAGGAATAAGCGGTGTATAGAAAATGGATGGATAAAAGTCAAATTTATCTATAAAGCCCATTGAAAAACAATAATGGTGCGACCAAAATGTGGTACAATTCAAACATCAAACCATAAAAAAACACAAGACAAAAAGACAAATGCAAATATCAGACCTTAAAGAAATATATATAGTATTTTTGCAGCTGCTGCCTTTAAAGGACCACCTCCGTCCACTGCTGACCCAGACACCCAGGACCTCGTTATACATGAAAGCTATTCTTTTCTCGTGACATGGCCAAGGCTGTAAACATACCAAGATGTCACTGACCTCAGATGATCTCTGTGCCTTCTTTGTAAAACTGGCAGCTCTGGTTAATCCAGCTGATTGGCACATTTCCTAACTTTGGATAGCTGCATATTCAACCTATTCACAACCTCAACAATGCCAGTCTTGAAGTTCATCATCATGTCTTGGCATAGGTCCTTGAATCTTTCAACAAACAAAAGCAACTCAAATCATTCCTGCCCCATCCAGCTGTAAGAGGAATGCGGTGCTGCCACTGCTCAGGATGGAAAGAAACAAACATTTGAAACAGTCAGTCGTGCCTTTGCAGTATTGGTTTTAATAAAGATGCTTGTTGCCTCCTGGACAGACAGCAGCCTGACTATCAGAGATGTTCCATCAGAATTTGTAAAACGTGCATTTATTGTGAAATCTAACGGCAGACACACAGTTTTGTTTGTGTCTAACTTGACAGCACTCTCTGAGATTAGAGGGAGGCGTAAACATGGGCAGCAGCCCTCACCCTTTACCTTGGGATTTACCTGCATCAGGTATGTGTTACAAATGCGTCCTTTAGTGCTTCTCCCTCCTTCTGACTCACAGCACCTGCACTTTAACCTGCTTCACATTACATCAATCAGTTTCCCTTGAAGAACCTTTTTTCTGGTACTTCATGAAGTGGGCAACTGCCTACAAGTTATTTTTTTTATTTAAGAGTCATGAAAAACTAGGTTCTCACTTCACTGCATTTCTAATAAAACATCCACATGAGCAAAAAGGGTTCTGGGGTCACGTGTTTCTTTTTTTAAACATCAAACCTGTCAAAGAAAAATGTAGCCCCGTCTTTGACAAGTGAGAATGTTCTAAAGTTTCTAATCATTCTAACCTTTAACCAACATTTTATCAGACAGGGTTATTCAGGAGTAATGGTTCAAGGAATATATTAATCATTAATAAAAACTGCAATTAATAATGCTCTGTACAATGCTGATTTGTTAGAAGCTGAATTCAGCATTTATGTATATCCTTTATGTTGGTCCACAATGATGAGCAAATTGCTTCTCATGAGTCCACTCCCATTGGTTCTTTTCATCTATAGTCAAACCAGCAAATGAATCACAAAGAGAACATGGTGGTGCTGCTCAGGAAACAAAAAACGAAAGAAACCAGACTCTCCCAGGAGTGTGCTGTTCCTACACCTGTCTGCTTTAACATAACTGAGTTATCTCAACGCAGCACAACGTGGAGCCGCCAAGAAATGCTCCCAACAATAGAATAAAATGGGTCGATCACCGCAACCAAATAACGAACAGTTTCTCCACCTTGTTTTATCATTAACCTGCTGTGGGGAACAAGTGGCACTGAACCATAACCACTCAGGAGAGAGAGCAGATCTGTAAGCTGACACCGGTGTTCCTGTGAGAGAGCTGGAAGATCAGATCAGATCCTGCTCATCCTCCAGTAAACAAGACTCTGACCTACAGAGTACAAGAGGTACAACCTTACATAAAGCACCTATTTAGATAGATGGATAGTTTAGTCACCCCCTTGGGGATGTGCAATCATTACTCAATCAGTTTAGTCATTTTAGTTGTACTATTCCTCCTGTAAAGATGGAAAGTAAACCTAATGCCTTTTATTCAAATGAAAAGCTGCTCTGGACAGCGCCATGTCATGCAAGCCAATGTCCTGCAATTGCTTATTTTGCCTGACCAGAAGTGCAAAATAGTACAAAACACAAAGAATTCTCAGCAAAGATTCACCTTACCACCGTATCAGCCTTGTTGCTTGTGGGTTTAATATTAATTAACCAAGTGTTCGACTAATTAGTTTAGCTTAAAACCTTTCCAAAAGACTACAACCACCCATGTAAATGTCCCTATTTGTAATGAAATAACAATGTACACATGATGGATCCAGTTGACTTAATCCATCCGATGACACGCTGCCAGCCTCATACTGACTTTGCACTCTTTGGTGTCAGTCTGTATTCACGGGTTCTCATTGTTCATCATATCGGTGAGCGAACATTTTTATCATCACCACACTTTGTTCACGAGGCTGGCAGCCAGACTAGACAGAAGAGGGGAAAAAAAGTGTTACATTGCAACTGGAAACTGTGAGGAACAGATACACAATTCAAAAAATATCACACCCAACAACGTTGTAGCTACTGTTTATTATATCCTTCTGTCAGGACAGACCAAGCAGTGACTTTTCCCAACAAAAGACAAACGCAGCCCTGTTTTAAATTGAGCCTGTAGTCGAGTGTCTGCCCCTCTCTGCAGGCACTGCTGACTAAAACCAACGGGGCTCACATCTTCCTCATGGTGTACAGTCTCAACAACCTGAATTCGACGAGCTGTATCTGAACACGTTCATACATGTACTTTTTTTTTTTTTTTTTACAGTAAATTAAGACTTAACTGTTTACTATTTGAGTGTGTCCAGGAGAAGCTAACTCATGTCTTTTCTACTGTAGCTGCTTTAAAATGCACATATTCCAGTTAAGTAATCAGACGTATTCATCATTTTGAGAACAATACAGAAATCACAACCACAACACTAGGAAAAAAAAAAAAAGTAGTCAATATTTAAAAAAAAAAAAAAAGAAGAAGAAGAAGAAGAAAAAAAAGGTCAATATTTCCAAAGCAAAAGTGAACAGTCCTGTACCCTACGGGGTTGTAAGGGAGCTCCGTCTTTAGACTGAGAGAGAAGCTCAAAAAAGTTCAACAGCTATTCCAGACTAACGTTGCATTACTCCACCTATCCACAGTGCTGCTACATACATACTTTGGGATACAGGCACTAACATTCAAAACACATCAGATCTATGCACACAGCCATCACAACTCCAGGAATTGATCAGTAGGCCCATGAAAGGAGGCTTGGATGGATAGCAAAAACATGAGGAGGGTCAGAAGGTAGTGCAAGGTGAATGGTCTAGCCCTTGACGGGTGAGGGGTTTTGAAATTCTGCACTTAAACACTTGGGATGCACTTTTTTTTTTTTTCCTACCCAAATTGCTGTGAAAACACATGCACAGTTCAAAGCTGTGGGTTGAAAGGGTTCAGGGGGGGGAAAGGAGGCAGGGTTGCGGCGCGCTATTCTTTTATTAATTCCACGTCCCACCGTGCCACCAGCTGGGGAAGCCTCGCCCACTCAGCTAGCTGCCACAGCAAAAAGCCTGGACACAAGGAAAGCCAGCGAAGACGTGCCCAAGGTCAGTGCTCTCGATGACACGCTCACTCACACACATTTCGTATACACACAATCACACCTTAAACACAAATGGCCAAAGTTACAAAAGTCAGAAGTACAGATGAGCTGTATTCCAGTCGCATCTTCATCTACGCTTTTGCTTCACTGGAAACTTCCTTCTCTCCGTTCTCAATCTCCATCTCGTCGTCGCCGTTCTCCTTGCTGTCGCTCTTCCCCTTCTCGGCTTCTTTCTGTTCGGGAGGAAAGACAAACAATCCAAATCAGCACCTTTTCACTCAGACTCAAAAAGACAAAAAAACAAGCACATCCCACCCCCTTGTGGCTGTTGTAGAAAAGACAATCCTTCACCTTTGAATCCCTCTCTGCAAATTTCTGGAACATGTTAGCATAGATGCGTTTATCCTTCTCGTGTTGCTCCTTAAGACGTTTCTGACAAAGGACCACCTGGAAAGTTGTAATGAAGGAGATGTCAGCGTGCTACATTTTCAGATATGACACAAGCACAGCAGCATCCAAAAGAAACTTTGTACAAAGAACATCTTCTATTTCTAGTTTGTAGCACTTTGACCAGATATACTTTTCATTATTACATTATTCACTCAAGTATAATTAGAAATGTGTTCAACGTAGGCTTTCACAGAAAAACATTAAAACATTTTCCATGAATTTTACTTGAACATTAATTAGATGCAGTAAACACTGTCCTAATGAAAGAGCCCATACCAAATATAGTAATACATCACTTAGTGAAATATTGGCCCGTTTTGTGTTGGATCAATATTATAAGCCACATCTGATGATCAGATTGTCATGATGGAAAAACCAAGGAAAAGGTAATCCAGGTTGAAAGTTGCTGTAGTTATCCTTTAACTTCAAGCACTATACCTGGCTCTTTGCCGCCTTGTTGGCAGGATACAGGTGAAGAACTCGCTGGAAATCATCTCTTGCTTTGTCAAACTCCTTCATACCAAATAGCGCCTCTCCCCTTCGGAATATAGCCTTCTCATTGGATCCATCTATTTCCAGGGCCTGAAATGATGAAAGGACTACAATTAGGTGTTTTCACACCTACACAATCTCACATCTCAAATCTGCTGAACATTAAATGCATCATTGACTAATTCTTGTAAATGTGTCTAACTGAGAGGTAAACAAAAGATATTAGGTACCTTGTCACAGTTTTCCAGGGCTTGGTTTGGCTCCTGTAGTTTGAGGAAGCACATGGCCAAGTTCAGATGTGCAGCCAGCTGCAATGCTTTTGCTTTCTGTTCATCCTCTGGCGACAAACCAGACTCATGTTCCAGCCATGAGACAATCCTTCTGTACTGCACAGATGCCTGCTTGTATTTTCCCTCCTGATGTATAGAAAGTCACTTTATTACAAAACATGACAAAGCGTCAATCTGTCACAAAATTAAGACATAGGTACATGCTTCTTAAAAAACATACCTTAAAGTACTGCGTTCCTTTATCTTTAACAATGGCACTTTGCTCCAGTTTTTCTACTGTGTTCATTTCCCAGGATTCTTTAGCCTAAAAAGAGAAGGGGAAAAAAAAAGGCATAAATCACTTATTTGAGGGAAAAACATTGACATGTAATTGGACTATTAAGATGAAGTTGTGTTTGTCACACAGTGCCATGACATGCTTACCTTCTCAAAAGCTGTCAGCTTGATCTTGTACTGCACTGTTGCTCCGTCGGGAATGTTATACTTTTCCTTTCCTGCATTACCAAAGCCGTACCTATAAATCAAATACGCATATCATTAAGGCTAATTCATGCTTTCTGCGTCTACATGTAGCAAGGGTCCTTGTGATACAGATTGAGCCATCTGCTGAAATCCATGGATGTCTGGGTGGACTCCTGGAAGACTACATGCAGCCCAAATTTTGTGACTGAACCAACAGTTGCAGTGTAACTTAAAACCCTGCTGTAGTGTGGTGTCTTGCATACTAGAGCAGAACAAACAATTCTATATTCATGTCAGTGTTTAGTCATGTCACAACTTTGAACTCTTGTTGTCGACTGTGATGGCAAAATTTAATTCTTTCTGTTGTTTAGCCCTAACAACAGGACTGTTTCATTACCTTGTCAAATTCAATAAAGGCCTACGAGGGGATTATTGCCTAGTCAAATATACCAGTACAGCTTCATTAAATGGTGGAAATAATCTGTAAAGAGTTCCATGAGATGTTGAAAAACATTCACGACTCTTCTAGGACTCCACCACTGCTAAGACATAGTAAGCAGGTAAGTTGCTTTAGTGTATGTGATCATACTTAGGCTTAATAATAAAGAGCGCCTCTTCTCCCTGCTCCATAGCCGTGAGCGCCTTCTCCACTCCAGGTGGCAAGCCAAGACTCTCTCCATCTCCAACTTCAAACTTCAGTTCTCTCTCGTCAAATACACGCCCATCACAGGTACCCTCCAAAGTTACTGAAAGGGGTGGGAAAATGTTGCGGTTAGTTCATGCCTCAAGTCAGACTCTTGATTATAAGCACAGATCTGGTGATGTACACTTCAGTGACAGCTGTTGGATAGTCGCAGCCGAAGACAAGAAACGGTAAACTAGTGGTGGAATTATTTATCATTTTAAGGGCGCAGCAGAAGTTAATCTACAATGGTGCATGCGCTGAAGAGAAATTACAGTAATCGCAGGACCTGATATCAGCATTGTAGATAAAAAAAACAAAACAAAACATACTAGTCCATTAGAAACTGCTAGTCAATTTAGGTAACACTAGTTGTATGAATTGGAGTTTTGTATACGTATACAAGAATCCCTTTTCCCATCTGTAGGCTGGAATCCACCATTTGTTTTCAACTTCAGAAGATTTTAAAAAGGGAGCCAAGTGTTGAAGTCAATTAAACGCAGCCTGGAATTAAAAAACAAACAAACAATTGAAATTACTCTACAGCTGCCATTTGAGTGTTTGACAGTCCATTGACAGACTGTGGGTGTCTCCGTTTAGTATCAAATATCAGCAAATGTTTAAAATATGCATTTGCAAATTTGCACACATTTCTATATCAATTCATCAACTGCTCAGGCCCAGCACATCACCTTAATCTCAAATCAAATAAAAAATTTTTTTAAAAGTTCACTCTTTGCGTATTTACATGGATCAAAAATCCAGTTAATTATGTAAAACAACAAAAACCTCTGTGCAATTACACCCTCAAATATTTAACAGTTGTCATCTGATGTCGGTTGAAACGTAATGAGGAACGTAGACAACTATTGTTAAAGCGATGTCACTCATAATTTATTTTGTAAATAATTACACAGGGACTCTGTTAAGTGCCTTTTCCTGGCAAGCACGGACGATTAAAATTGCTCTTACCTCAAAACATAATGACAACACCTACACGCCTTTCCAATCATGACAACAAACAAAAGCTTAATAACAAAGGTACTAATCGCTATTATTTTTGTATTTAATATGAATGGTTTCTGGCAATTGTGATCTTGTGGTATTTTTACCTTCAACAGAAGCTCCTTCATTAGGCTTCGAATAGCCCTGCCCTTTGGTGATAATGCGTCGAATGATTCCTCCATCCTCGTCCTCGGTCAGGTCCTCGCCTCGAAATTCAAAGAGTTCCACCTATAGGTGTGCAGACATCTTAATAGCTTTACACACCAATAAAGGATAAACATATACTGCACTTTAACCACAAGCCCAGGAATACAGTTGAAAGTGTGAAATGGACAACCAAAATAAACTGACACTTACCTCAAAAATAAGAGTGGCATTGGGGGGTATCTTAGGCGGGCTGCCTGCAGATCCATAGGAGTACTCCGGCTTACAGATGAGCTGGCACAACTCCCCCACTTTCATTGTGGCCACACCGATGTCCCACGCCTTTATTACTTGCCCTAAAAACAAAGAGAACTGATGAAATCACACTGGCTGTGCACGAATGGCAGGTGAATGTTCATGTGTATGTTTTGATATGAGACAAACCTTTGCCCAACTCAAAGGAAAACTTCTCTCCTCTGTCTCTGCTGGAGTCAAAGTGAGTCCCATCCAGAAGTGTGCCCACATAATGCACAAACACTTTGTCACCAGTCATAGGCAGCTCAGTGCCTGTGCCCTCCCTTTTGACGAGCTGGAAAACAGACAACAGATTGAATCGACAATCAGCATGGGACAGACAGAAACACAGCCTGCAGTGTAGTACTTTGCATCATCGGAGGAAGAGCTGCCGAATTATTCATCGTGAATGAACGTGAGCTGAAACGTCTCATTCAAAGCCCTTATGTGTGTTTCTATCCGCGCTACTTCCCACATTAGCATTGACAGTTGTTTCTCCAGGGCTCCTGATCTTTCTAGAAATGTAGACGGATAAATAGAAAATTAACCATATTGTAGACACTCTGTGTTAATCATGAAACCACTTGCATAAAATTAGAAAAAAGGCGTTGTGGTGTTGTCAGTACTGTAGTTAGCTTGCCTTAGCTGTTTTTATTGACAGCACACGCTATAGCTTAGCTACCGTTAGCCTAGCGTAAACAAGCAGTCAGCTAACCCCTCAGCTAGCTGGATTTAGAGTACCACAACACTACTATTTACCTTTAAAACACCCCCGTCTTTCTTTGGTGTGATGTCTTCCCCCTCCATTTGGATGGTGTGTTGTCCTTCACTTGTCTGTTCCTCTGCAGTCATCGTCATGAAGCAGATTGCCCCCTCCTACTCTGACCTGCACCACAATCCAAAGTAACACTGGCTAATAGTGCTGACGGCTAACACTAGCTACTTCTCAAACCCCGTCAAGTGCTGCAAGCAACAATCCGACTAACGTCAACACTGGCTAGCTAGCAGACGTTAAGTTATGGCTCTCCGCTAGCCTAACTTTCCCGTGAATGCTACTGCAAACAAAATACAGCTTCCAGCTAGCTGCACTAAACCTCTGCTGCCGTTGTGCAGCAGTCACACGTTTATGAAAGAAGAAGGTGCAGTTTCAGTGAAGCTGCGTCCAGTCCACGTTGTCTTGCAGTGTGGCATCTGACAAGCGCTTAAAGAAGGGCAGAGAACTTTCCAGACAGTCTAGGAGGAACCAGTGGGACGAGCCCGCGTTCGGGGCGTTACATACACTGTATAAGCATGTACCGGTAAGGCGGTGCGCACACAAGAGAACAGAGCAAATACATTAAAAAAAAAGACTGTAAGCCAGTACATGAACACACAAGACTATACTTAGCTTCGACATTCTTTTATAACAAATAATGTGGCAACAAATGGAAAAATGCGGCATTTGAGTACATAGCACCGTCCACACAAGTGTTACTGTATACAAAACATGCGCTCCTCGTTGAGTCTTGCTCCTTATTGGTTAGACTCTGTGGCCACTTCTGTGTGTTGGCGCGGTTGTTGAATAGCCGGGAATTGGAAATAATAACACCGAATAAAAGTCTCTTCGTAAGATATATGCGGTAAGTATATAGCAACGATATGTGTGACGATTTTCCTGACAGGAGGTAAAAGGCTTCAGATGATACGTGAACTTGAAGTGGTTATAAATGAGCTAGCTAGCTAGCTGTGGCTTTTACTGTCAAGACAGCTAAACAGTTCGCTGATCAAATGTTAGCTGCCTGACACAAAATGAACGGATGAAAATGGACAGATTTTTTTTTAGCTAAATGACGATTTAGTTGTTGTATTGAATAGATACAACTGAACCGTGTTGTAGGAATTGTTGCCTCACGGGGTGCTTCAGTGTTAGACATAACATAATTATCAGGAGCCAGTCTAAACACACTGAGCTGAAACGTCTCATCTAACCTTTATGTTATCTTCCAGGAAGTTTCACAAGAATGGAAAATGGCAGGACTCAGTTTCCATTTCCCTACCAACCCTATAACATCCAGGAGCAATTTATGCAAGCCCTGTACAGTGCACTTGACCAAGGCAAAGTTGGCATCTTTGAAAGTCCTACTGGCACGGTGTGTATGTGAACCAATGTATGAGAGAGAGATCACTGCAGACGTTGTCAGACTTCATCCGTAACTTTGTCGTTGATATACATGTGTATGTTAATCCAGGGGAAATCACTGAGTCTGATATGTGGCGCGCTCAGCTGGCTCACAGATTACAATGAGAAGAAGAGGCAGGAGGCTGCTGCTCTGCTGCAGGAAGGAGAAGCAGCTCTTTCCACTTCTGCTGCTCAGTCCTCCACCACCAGCTCATCAGCAGAACCGGACTGGATCACCGACTTTGTTCAAAAAAAGGCTGAGCGGGATTTGCTGTCAAAGTTGAAGGTGAGCGAGTGAATTTCAAATCAAACCCTGGCTTGGATTTCTTGAACTTTTTGGTTTTCACTGGCTTAGCTTTTGATTTTTATTGAATGTTTTTGTGTCAGGAGGATGAATTGAAAAGAAAGAAGAGGGAAGAACGGCTAGAAATGATCAGAAACAATGTTCAACTGAAGTATGCACTTAAAAGAAAGGTAAGCCATCTTGTACAGTAGCGTATTACAGAACTTAGGCCTCAGGATTCACAAAAAAATCCAATTATGGTAAGTCGCTGAACACAGCTGATTGTAATAATACATATATGTGTGTCTGAAGAGCTGTGAAGAGGATGAGGCATTCAAATTGCTTCAGCTCAGTAAAGAGGAAAAGGCTGAGGCACCAGGAGATCAAGAAGATGAAGAGCTTATCATTGCAGAATATGAGAGTGATGATGAGACAAAGAGCAAAAGCAGGTGAGGACAGTCGTGATTGTATAAAATGAGATTATCAGAGTAAGCATCTGAAATGTAATGTCTTTGCTCACATGCCCAGATTCCTTGGAGCTGAGGATGATGAAGACGATGAACTTGTTGAAGAGCATGTTACGAAGGTGTGTGTGTGACACAGAAGTTTTACATCGTAGCTGTAACAGTTCACGTCTCACTGATTTAAAGCTCGATCCTTCAGAGTGTCACACATTAACCTGATGCCTGGTTTTAGATTTACTACTGCAGTCGCACTCACTCCCAGCTGGCCCAGTTTGTACATGAGGTTCAAAAGAGCCCCTTCAGTAAGGACATCAGTCTGGTCACACTGGGCTCACGGCAGGTACGTGCACACACACACACACACACACACACACACATTCACATGCATATCCCCACAAGGATAACTGGTAAAAGGGATTGGGATATATTTGATTAAATCCATGGTAAATATTTACAAAAGAATTTTATGTAAAATACAAGCAATACATGTAAATGAGCTGATTGTCTTCATCCTGTTTACGTAGCTGTTCAGGACGTGTGTCATGTGTGTCTGTGTGTTTCTAAAAGAGGATCTACACTCTATGGTCTCTTCCTGGTGCCTCTAACTTTGTGCTATGTAAGACAGAATACTTGAGAACTTTCTGGCAAGTTCCTTTCAAGACTGTCTTTCATTTCTCAGAGTATTTAATTGCTTGACTTTTCTCCTTAATGAACTGACATTTAAAATTCCTTTGGCATTGATTAAACCACTAAAAACGCATATTGGATCATCATATTTACATAATTGGATTTTTTTCCCCCGTTCATATAATCCCATCATGCCGTAAAATGGCTTAGATGTAACTCTACACCTTTCCTTCCCTTTTCTGTCTGTAAATCTTTGAATATGCAAATTGTTCCCCGCCTCTATCTCCACCCACATCTCTGCTGCTACCCTGCAGCCTGACCATACTGTGAAACCACTCTGAGCTATATGGAATAATTCAGCCACACATGTTTAAGCTGGAATTCTGGAGTAAAGAAAATGACACAGGAAGCAGAAAGTCTGAGCTGACAGGATTGGTTCCTTATGTTCCGTATGTTATGTATGAAACCTTGATTATGTGATTCTGTATTTATAGATAGTCATTGATACACTGCAGTGCCACGGGGGAAATGCCCTGCCATGGTGCTGACTGCTATTTTTGATCATGTGTCCTCTAGTATATAAAAAAAAGCATTATACAAACAAAACTTTAGCAGAGAAAACTTTGGATTAGGCGTGTCACCAAAAAACTTTGAGTGAATATTAATCATCAGACGTTAATGTAGTGAAAGTCGGGTGCAATAACAACATATTCATTTTCATAGAAGTGCTTCTAGATTTGAACAGGACAGACTCTCAAGAAGCACTTAACTGATGTCAAGAAATCAACCAAATCTTGTATATGATAGAAAACTGAAAATAGTGCTACGAGTAGCTGCATGATTAATTTGTTATATGTGCTTTGCCACAGGCATCTCGAGTGGTCCAGAGCAATTTAGCCATGTAGAAATATTTCTGTTAAACCAAACTGTAATTTTCTCAAGGTATGTTTTTTTTTTTTTTAAATAACAAAAATGCAATTCTGTGGCTTTAGATTTCAATTAAAATGATGAAATACAGGGTGTCACAGACAGTATATTAAATCTAAATTTCTACACTTCCCACACACAGACACATACTTGGCATTGCAAAAGGAACTAGTGCTTGTATCCAATCAGGAAAACATAATTGCTAATCATGCACTCTGACACTGTTTGTCCTGTTTTCATAAAATTTTGCACTTGGCAGAATCTGTGCATCAACGAAGAGGTGCGACGCCTTGGCAGCATCCAGCGCATTAATGACCGCTGCATGGAAATGCAAAAAAACAAGCACGGTGAGAGCTACAGAGCCACAGAAGCACTGATCAAACTGAAGTACATTTTAATGTCAGGCTTTGAAAGTGATAGCAACTGTTGTTTTGCGCTGACAGCTTCTATCTGTTCTTCTGTTCTGTAGAAAAGCAGCACCATGATGAGGGCGTAAAGCGCAAAAGAGGCCCAGCAAAGAGTGTGTGTCCTTATTATAAAGCGTCAGCAATGCATCAGATGAGGGATGAAGTTCTGGGGGCTGTCCATGACATAGAGCAGCTGCTGAAGCTGGGCAAGGAAACACATTCATGCCCTTATTACACCTCACGCCTCGCTGTTCCCCCTGCACAGGTAACCCAGCCCTGTGTCATTACTATAATCTGTTGCTCTCATCTCTGTTGAAAAGAAGTCTCTTGCTTTTAGTAAGTTTTAATTTCCTTCTTTCTTTCAGTGGATTTAAAATTCATTGTCATCTGAATGATCGTTGTGTTTTATGTTGCAGTTGGTGGTGTTGCCCTATCAGATGGTGCTTCATGAAGCTACAAGAAGGGCAGCAGGGGTCCAGCTGAAGGGACAGGTACAATTACACGCTATGGTTCATCATTTTTTAGAGCTAAAGTGGATTTCTCCGCTCAGAAACACAACTGTGCCAGAAGGTAGAGTTTGAAATAAGCCAGTGTTAGAAAAAAATCCCAACATTTTTCAGAAGTTGGGTAACCTCTGGTGCACAGAATCACACAGCAACAATATTTCTGAACAAAAATGTGAACACGTGACAGGATGATTGAGGGGTACTTGGGGCTGTTGGGGTGCCTGATTATTCTGTTGCTCCTTAGTTTTAATAGTTTAAAGGGGTATTGATTTGGCAGATGACTAACATCTGAAACGTTTTATTTCTGTACAGGTCGTGATTATAGACGAAGCTCACAATCTCAGTGACACTCTCTCCTGTATACACAGTGCAGAGCTCACTGGAGCACAGGTAACCAGTTTCTTGCACAATAAGTACAAATTCTAGGTTATTTGGAATTCTGCTTGTTCCTTGTTTTATTCTAAAATGTGGATTTTCTGCAGCTGTGCCGTGCCCAGTCCCAGCTCACCCAGTATGCTGACCGCTACAAGTAAGTCTTACACAGGGCACTTATTCAACTTATCCACATGCTAAATATTATTTAACTTTCCTTGCAAGGGGGTCGACGGATGTGTTTTTGTAATGGATGATGCTGTGATCGATTTATTAGGAAACACATGACCAATAATTTCTATTTGTAACCAGTTTATATTTACAGTAATAAAAATGAAAATACAGGTGTCAGACTTTAGAATTACACAAACTCCAACATAAAATGTGATTGAAATGCTTTTGTTTATTTAGTTTTAAATTATGCTTAATTCAACAAGACTTTTCAACATTTATCTCCAGTATACAAAGCCAAAGTAGTGCATTTTTTAAAGAATGTGATATATGGAAACTCAGTCTCTTCTTCTCTCGGCTTGATGTAACTGTGTCGTCCACATCAGGAGCAGACTGAAGGCAAAAAACCTGATGTACATCAAACAAATTCTGTTTGTGATTGAGGGACTTGTTCGGGCCCTGGGAGGTGGGTGTCTGCAATCAGTTTTTGAATTGGTTATTGCCAATCTGCAACACGGTTTGCAAGGTAAAGTGCTGTTATAACATCACTGCTCTTTGTGTTGTTCCCCGTTTATCCCTGCAGGTAAAGTGGGGCAGAATCCACAGAGCCAGACGACACAAGCAGGTCAGTCAACGACGAACACACCAACACGGACTAATGCACATTAAAGCAGAAACTGCTAACTTGTCTGTTTGTTTTCTTTTAGGAACAGAGATGCTTACCATTAACAACTTCCTCTTCAAGGCTCAGATTGACAACATCAATTTGTTTAAGGTAATCTGTGTTTTAGTGCTTCTAAGATCCCATGACAACTGCACACCGTATCCAGACCACAGACTCTTATGTTTCTGTCACTCTCACTTTAGTTACAACGATACTTTGAGAAGAGCATGATCAGCAGAAAGGTAAGTATTACATCTGAATGTATGATTTATGCTACACATATAGAAACTGTGTATTTCTGAACGACTGTTAAAGTAAACCTACGGTATACCACCTATGTCTCCTCTCTGCAGCTGGGTGGCTTTGTAGAGAAGTACGCAGGCTCAGGTGTGATTCTGCACACCCAGAGCAGCTCCAACAAGGAGAACCGACGCACAGAAGGCTTAAATCGCTACCTTCAGAACCTACAGAGCAACCAGAGCTCTGCACCAGGTATATTATATTCAGTAACAGCTCAACATATTTAGAAGCAGAGTTACAAAAACATAGCCACAAAAGTACACGATAAGATAAACCCCATAGAAATGCTTTTAATAAAATGATCAGAACCCTTGCATGTTGTTATAAAGCAGGAAAGCTCGCAGGCTGCTAAAAGAAAATCATGAAGTAGGGCCTCAATGTCTAGCTGCAAGAATGATCTTTTTAAAGTTGTACTTGACTTGTATGTGCAGACATTATTTTTTTATTTACAATCATATTTTTAATTCCATCCAGCCATGTTCCACACTATAGCATCACGCAAGTCTTTTACATTTGTGGTTGTAGTGTTTTTTTTTATTTCATCTATAATTTATGTGTCGTTCCTCCCCTGCTTCGTGCAGTTCCTTCAGCAGACCAGCAGGGGTCTGTAGAGTCAGAGAAAGTGCTGTCTGCATCTCCCATGATGCAGGTGGAGGGTTTCTTCATGGCCCTCACTAACAGTAACACCGATGGCAGAGTGGTGGTGCACAGACAAGGTACCATTTACAACAAAAAAGCACAAATAAAGGACAAGAACAAAGTGTCACAGCGTAAAATGCTTCTTTTGTTTCTTGTCCAGGCACTTTGTCCGAAAGCAGCGTCAAGTTCCTTCTGTTGAATCCAGCAGTCCACTTTGCTCAGGTGTTGAAGGAGTGCAGAGCCGTCATCATTGCAGGAGGAACCATGCAGCCCGTGAGTTAATCTGAAGCCACCAAAAATACACCGAGCTGCTGCTGTGTACGATTTTTTTGTTTTTTTTACTCTAAAGGATGTTATATGTAGGTTTCAGACTTCAAACAAGAGCTACTCTTTTCTGCCGGAGTGGGAGAGGAGCGCATCACTGAGTTTTCCTGTGGTGAGTGGCCCATTTTATAACACTACAGTACTTTGTGGAGTTTCTCCTTTTGTGTTTTTATAATGCACTCTGTCTTATTGATGTATTTATCAATATTTCTGTTTGGGGGAACATTTGATAAATACAGAATTCTTGACTTGAGTGATAACAGCTTTTTTTTTTTTTTAGCGTGAGTTCTCATTTTCCACTGGGTTATACAGATTGATTTGGTGTGTCCTGAGCTCGCACCTGGTTCAAGTGCAGAAGAGATGGTTAAAAACGTATTTGTCCATCTGATGTATGGACACATTAACTATGCATAAAATGTGTACTATTAATATTCTCAGAGACTCACACAATTTGTGACATTTGTACAATAAATAGATTTTTTTCCCCCTCTTTTTAAAAATTTTGTCTAATCTTTTTTGTTTGAAATAAATATTTCATTCATTCATTCATTCATTCATTCATTCAAATAATAATGTAGAGTCTCAACCTTCATATTTAAGCATAACCATTTAAATTGACCATATAAATATATGAAATAAACAATACTGTTTGGTCCAAAACTTTTTAAGCTTTGCAATGTTAATCTTGTTTCTCGATTGGAAAGCACTTTAGCTCAATTTTGTTTTTAATGTACGTAAATAGCAGCAACTAGACTTGACATTTGAGTATAACTCAAATATTCTTCATTTAACGTTTACAGACAAGAACGTCTTCGTCCTCCATACTGCATGTAGGTTATGAACTGAAAGAAGAATCCTGTATATGAAATATTGTTTGGCCTTAAAAAACTTATTTAATCGTATGACATTATGTTGTATTTAAGGTAATACTTTAACTATCATTTTTCCTGCTAACCATCTACAGGCCATGTGATTCCTCCCGAGAACATTCTTCCCCTCGTCTTGTGCAGTGGACCATCTGGTCAGGAGCTGGATTTTACTTTCCAAAACAGAGACTCTCCTCGCATGGTAACAGACATTGTCACTTGAGGAAGTTCTTGCTGCAGTTTCATTGACTCTTGCTGTCCTTGTTGTTGGCAGAAGCATTGATGCAAATTTCTATCTGTTTTGTCCACAGATGGACGAGACTGGGCGCATTCTCTCCAACATTTGTAACGTGGTCCCCGGTGGAGTTGTGTGTTTCTTCCCCTCCTATGAATACTCCAGACGGATTATTTCTCACTGGGAGGCCAGCGGTGCGCTTGCACGATTGGCTAATAAGAAGAAGGTACGTTAACTATGTGTTTTCCTAAACAAGCCAAGAAAATGCAAAATCACTTTTCTTTCTTAAGTCCAGCATGACGGCATAGTATTGGAGGAAATCCAAAAGAAAAGAAACGTTTCCCTACAGCCTCTAAACGATCACAAACCCCTCCTCAGATCTTCCAGGAGCCAAAGAAGGCCAACCAGGTGGAGCAGGTGCTGAGCGAGTTTACCCGATGTATCCAGGTAAAACCAACACTGCAGACACAGCTGACCTCAGAAGTAAATATTTCTAATGTGGTCATTGAGATTGTCTTTCATTACTGACAGACGCTGGTTGTCTCTTTTTTTTATTTCAGAGGTGTGCTCAGGATGGTGGTGGACTCACTGGAGCGTTACTGTTTTCTGTAGTTGGGGGAAAGATGAGTGAAGGAATCAATTTTTCCGATGACCTCGGCAGGTTTGTGTGATTCAAAGAGCACATGGGTAGCTGTAAACCAATTTTATGTGCTAACTTTTCTGTGCGTGTGATGCTAGGTGTGTGGTGATGGTGGGAATGCCATATCCTAACATCAAATCCCCAGAACTGCAGGAAAAGATGTCCTATCTGGACAAACACCTGGTAGGTCTCTTTCCTAAAAGACTTTACTGTGATTTCCCAACATGAAAAGACTATAAATGTAAGCTCAGGTGAAAAGATGAGATGTGGCTCATTGGTAAATCTCGCCTTTCAGCCTCACAGTCAAGGGAGGAACCCTGGACAAGCTCTCATAGAAAACCTCTGCATGAAAGCGGTCAATCAGTCAATAGGTAATGACAAGAGATGCAAGAAAAAAATCATTAGCAATAATTATTCTGAAGCTGTAAGATAATACAGTCATCTTTAATAATATTCTTTTGATTTTCTCTGCTCACAGGAAGAGCTATCCGTCATCGTGGGGACTATTCCTCAATCGTGTTATGCGACAGACGTTACTCTCGGCCCGCTACGCTCTCTAAACTCCCCACATGGATCAAAGATCGCACCGGCACACACAAGACGTTTGGCCCTGCTTTTGCTGCCTTGCGGAAGGTGAGAAACAAGCGCTACTATGTACAATAAACACACTTGAAACACTGCATCATGACAAACACTTGAAATTTATTCAGATTTCGTCTGTAAATTATTCTTTCCTAGTTCTTCGTGGAAAAGAAGCAGAAGCAACTGTAGTTTCTCTCCCAAAGGGCTCGACTGACATCTCCCAAGTGCTCAACATTAAACTTTAACGCCCCAAGAGACCCAGGTCGGGAAGAATTTGGGGGAAAATTGAAGTGCAACAGCAGAGGAATTGAATGTGCTCTCATAAAAATACTGTCAGAAATGTAAAAAGTTCACAATCACAGCCTTTTCATAGTTGCATTATATTTACATTCTGAAACATTTTGCACCCTTGTGAGTGCTGCTGGTTCAACCATCAACCAGGACGGCAGTTTTTCCACGCTTCATTTCACATTCCACCTTTTTAGATGCTCCCTGCATCTTGTTCTGTTTTGGCCTGGTAACATATCTGATGAGTGTCTGATAGCACACTGCAAAGACTGAAGAGGCATTGTTTTCAGTCTGGATGACGGAAAAAGAAAATAGCTTCTCATCTATTTTTAAACGCAGTATGTTGAAATGCATTACCGAAAGAGCTACTACACAAGATATCAGGCACAGCACTGGTGTAGGCATACATGTGACCGATTTACTCTCGGAGTTTTGAATATTTAAAGAATTTCACTGGCAAGTCTCATGTGATGCAAAAGCTCACTTGTTCATCAGTTCCATCATCTCAATGAGTGTTCTAATGATCCGTTGTATCTAATGATAAGCTTGCTTAATGTTATAAAAACAGTTTTAACAATGGATGAATGTCATCATCAATAAATGGTTTTATTATTTCAGTGTCAGTGATGCATTGTTTAGCTGTCTAGACAAACTACTGCACTTGTTTTTAGTGGCGTTATGAGGCCATCTATTGCCCATTTTACACTGACAAATTTAATTTGTCAAACACTTTTTCTAGTATTTTTAAGTGATAGGAGGAAAATCTTTTCTACACAAAATTATCAAAAGCTATCAAAAGCCTTCAGTATCCCAACTGTACACTGTCCATGATGTTACGCTTCCCAGTCGTCATCGTCTGCTGTTGGCTGTGGGGCGGGAAGTGGAGGGATGACATCTGACATCCTGGCAAATGCACCACCAGTGCCAGAGGGAGCGTCACCCGACTCCCCACCTGCGGGGCCCTTACCAGATATGCCTGCACAGAGAGCAGAGGATATCATGGAAATGCAGTCACGAATACTAAGACTCAATCTCATTTGTCATAACAGGGATTTCTCACCTTTTCTTCGCATGGCAAGTTTATTGAAGAGATCAGACATGAAGTCTCCACCACTGGATGCCACTCCGACTGCTGCGAAACAAAGACAAGTACTTACTAAATCATGAAATCTTTTTTTTTTTTTTTAAATTTGTAATTGGAACAGTGAACTGTTTCAGTCATCCCCCAGCACGGCACTTCAAAGTGGAGCGCATATTACAACAAGACTTTTTTTTTTCATCTAGTTATTCGTTCAAAGCAGCTCTCCTCAAAAAGGAAATGTTAGGTCATGACCGGGCCAGCCGACCAGAAATGAAGGAAAAGATATGCTGTCTAATATTAGGTCAGACGAATTAAAATACAAATGCAACCAAGTCAACCTTTTAATGGGGTCGGCATAAAACTAAGGTCACAAAGCCGTGGACTGTGATGATAAGTGTGCGAGATGAACACAAACCCTTTCATCCTAACATGCAGTGTGACACATTGCATAAACTCACGGTGGAATGCTAACTAGGCGCTGGTCACGCTCTGCTTTGATTGCACGACTCTCTCATCATTGTTAAAGCTGCATCGTGTAGCTGTTAATAAAACATGGGCGGAACCGCAACCCCGCTTCAACAATCTGACACCTTGCTCTTGCTCCTTTTGCTTCTTCTTCTCCATCTTTCGCTCTTTCACGTTGCGTAACTTGGCTTTGCCGATGCCGCCGGCGTTGCGGATGGACTCCAGCAGACTGGCGCGGCCGTCTGATGGCTGGACCACCTCGCTGGGAGCTCCGGACACGGGGCCTGCAGTCGGAGGAGATGAGTCAGTGTCAATTAGGTCAGTCTAATTTAAGTGAGAAAATTGGGTTTTGTGTGTGTGCAGAAATACAAGTGGGGGAACAGATTTTCACCACTTTTACCACACTGTCAACTTCACTCATATTCCTCATAAGTCAGCGGATGTGACAAACCTGAACTTTGCTCTCGTGGGGCGTCTGTGGTGGTTTCTGCTAGAGGAGGGGGTGGAGGTGGAGGTGGTGGAGGGGGAGCTCCTGCAGGAGTAGGAGGAGGGAGGGCAGGCTCGGGGGGAGGAGGGGGAGGGGGAGGCGGAGGAGGTGGTGGAGCAGTAGGCTGGAGCTCAGTTCCTGAAATGAAGACATCAAAAGTGGAAAGTAAGTGTGTGAAATGTATTTATATGGGATTTTTCTGAATCACTAAGAGGCACAACATACAGTCGTCCTCAAATATATTCACACCCTTCCATTAAAGAAAAGGCAAAATTCACAACAGTCACTCAAATAACTAGAAACTGAAAAAAGCAATAATAAATAAAAATTTGGTAAATTATAATTTAGTGAAATAAGACATTGCTTTTGAATTGTGGTTGAAAAGAATATTTTTAAAAAAACAAACAAAACTGTCAAATTAGAGCACCTTGCTGATGAGCAGTGGGCCAAAATCAGAATACCTGTCAACAGGTGCAGAAGTCTGACTGAGAGTTACAGAAAACACCTGATTACAGTGATTGGCTCAAAGGGTTGTTCAACAAAATATTAGTTTACAGGTCCCATCATGCTTGTTTGCTTGTTTTTTTTTCAATATATATATATATATACACACATTTCTGTTGAACCACAATTCAAAAGCAATGTCATGATTTTCATTATTTAAAAAAAAAAATTATTATTACTTATGTCAATTTCAGTAACAGCTGTTTTTTATCTTCTTCAATGGGAGGGTATGAATACATTTGAAGACGTCTGTATAAAGAGGCACAGTAATAAATAAAACAAAGAATCTGAACGTGTGTCCACAGTGTAGATGTGTACCTGATGTGTTGCTCTCCTCAGTGAAGGAAGGCAATTCAGGGATGTTGTGTGTGGGTCCCGACGGGGCAAATCCAGGCCCGAGGTCCGCACTGTAGGACAGATCGTCTGCGATACCCGGCAGGTCAGGCAGGTAGGACGGCACATCTATCTCAGGCACCTGACCCAGATCTGGCACATAGAAATAACTCTCTGCTGTCTGTTAGGAAGAAAAGATTATTGAGATTAACCATTCAGTGTCTGACAAAAAAAAAAAAAAAAGTCACGTTAACACCAAGCTGAAAGGTACCTGTCTCTCCAGTTGCTCTCTCTTTGTTATAGACAAGGGAGCATCAAATGGTTTCTCTTCTTTTTCCGTCTCGAGTGTTGTATGCGTTTTTGTCACTGCTCCCGCCAGAGGATCAAGGAACACATACTTCTTATATCTTTAAAAAAAAAAAAAAAAAAACCCACACAAATTAAAAGATATGCAGAAAGATTTAAATCTAATCAGTGCTTACACTGGGCATCTGTATCTGTTTGCGTGTGTGTGCACTCACAGATTCTCGGTGGTATTAAAGAGCAACAGAGAGCTGACAGATGAGATGTTACGTGGCAGACTGCCCAATCCCTCTTCTGTCTCATCCTCAGACTTCTTCTTATTGCTCACACACACTGGGAAATACATTAACTTCTCCTGAAAGGAAGAAACCCAGACACTGAGTGAGAGGGAGATCGGTAAAACGTCAACTAAATCTTGAATAACGCAAATCACAAATGCCACCAAAGTGCTCCTGCGCACAGATGCATACGCGCACTGCAATACTGCAATAATAATATATGGTCGGGGACATTGCTTCTGGGGGGGATATTGAATAATGCATTTCTGCACCAGAGAAAATTGCCAGTAGTGTTTCATTTTTCTTCCAGTTTCACAAATACACACAGACGCACGTACACAAACAACGCACTCGCAAGACCAAGCGCACGCAGCAGAAAATACTAGTTTCCCTAAAGTTTCCTAAGATAGTGAAGGAAAAACTGTGGGTTTGCTATAAATAATGCAGGAGCTTGTGCTGAGCCGGGCACAACAAAACCACTTGGGGGGGAAAAAAAAAGAAAAGTATCACACATTTCCATTTATGTCTATTTTCACTGTCCAGTGACATAAATACACACAGCTTCTGATATCCTCTATACCGCCTGAATAGCATGTGAAAAATTCAGCTGTGATTTTGACTGGTGTGGAGTCTGCAGCATCTATGGACATGACTGAAAAGACAGGTCTGTTCAGGCTTTGAGTACAGGTTAGAAACCCTGCAGTATGTTTCTATGTTGTCTCCACCTTCTTTTTTCAGGAAACATCAAAGTTAAAACGAAATATGACAGGCATATATACAATTAGACTGTTGTACTCTTCTTTGCAATATCTTCAAACCAGCAAAATAGCCTGCCCTGGCCTGAAAAAAGTTCACTTAGTAAAGTAGAAATATGGCAGCACTAAGGAGATAATAACAAACATATATGTAAAACAGTAATGTTAATTGATGTAAGGGGTATACAGTGTCCAGATCACCTCAAAATGATCTTAAATAGTTCTCAAAGTTTTAAATTAGTCAACTAAGGTTTCAACTGGCTACTTTGACAGTTTGACAAATAATCTACTATTTGGATTATGAATTGCTCGTGTTTAAATTAAGCTTTTATTCGGTGTGCCAACAAACAATATAGTGACTTTATAGTACTTTTGTAATACTCATATATGTGTATATATGCAAATTGCTGCTACAATAGTGCAGTTTAAGATGCCTAGTTGTATTATATTAAGTAGAAAATTTGTGAACCCGGCTGCTGGGCCCGCAACAGCTTGCTCTCATGTGCATCCTGAGTGACAGGCCTGAACACAGGCTGGTGAAGAGACAGAGTTGGTAAAATCTTTATGGACTTTTTTTGTGGACCCCCCAAAGCGACAGCCAGACAGCCAAAGGGGGCAGGAACATTTTGGCAGTAGCTTGTTATCTCCCTAATATTCTTCCCTGCCCAGTCACTGAACTTTTTGTAAATAGTCCTCAGGTCATTTCAGGTCAGACGGGACATATAATTCATCCACAGTGAGGCATCCTGGAGATATCAGATGCCCCCATTACCTCAACTGGCTCTTTTCCAGTGTGAGGGAGGAGCATTTCCAGCTCCTTCTGGATATCTGAGCTTCTCACCCGGTCCCTAAAGGCAAACCTTGACAACTTGTGAAGAAAGCTAATATACTGCAGGCTTCTTGTACCAGCAGTTCCAATCTTCCGGTCATTACTCAGAGCTCCGGGTCAGAGTTTGGACATAGATGGAGTGCTTTATCTTTAGGCTCAGCTAATACCCATGGACGCCACAGTGACAGTTGACGTTGGAAACTGTGAATATGGTCTGGCTGGCATAAAAGAGGTGATGGTTCCCATTAATACAGATGGAGATTATGGAATAAATTATCGAGGTATCACATTGCTCATCCTCCCCAGGAAATCATATACCAGAGTGCTGGAAAGTAGTAGATTGTGGAGCAGCTCTTAAGTGTATAAATATTGATGGGGTCATGGGAGTTTGCCCAAACAGTCAGCATAAATATAAGTCGTCGAGACTTCAGGCTCAAGCCCTCCGCTCCTCAGAGGCTCAGGAGCTGTAAGAAAACTCCCAGCCTTCAGGATATAAGTCATGCAAAATATATTAATTGCGTCTACATTTATCCTGGTTGTGTACCCGCAAGTTTAGCAGAGTGAGCTGTACGAAGAGACACACGCTGTTCGAGTTTGTGCTACCTCTTAAAATATAGCAAGACATCAGCTGTAGAACACATTGTGAGACAATGCCTTCCAACAATTTACATTTTTTAGCGTTGCATAAATGGAGAAAGTCCACGTTAAAAATCTAACTCCTTTTTTCTACATTGTTATGTTTTATCTCACCTGGAAGGCCTTCTCATCAAAAGGTCGAATTTTATTCTGTATCCTGTGTCGCGGGCGGGTTTGTGAAGACGGGTCTGTAGCCCCGGTAAAGATAGAAGAGTAGTCCTGAAGTCGATCAGGGGCTGGGTACTTGGCACTGGAGAAAACCTATACACACAAAAAAACACCCACAAAATGTTCCACTTATTTTGTCCATTTTGAGACTTAAAATATGTAAAGCCTCTCCCAAAGTGAAGGTGTTGTGTTACCTTGGTGGCCTTCTTACTGCCTTTAATCTTGTCAACACGAGCCTGAGCGAGTCTGATGCGGTCAGTGACGCTCTGCAACTGGTGGCGGTTCTTCTCTACGCTCTCAGACACTCTGGAAGCAGCACCAACATGAATATGAGCACATGGACACCCACTCACAGAGAAGAATATGTTTGGGATAGGGCTGCACGGTATTGTAAAAAACTGACATTGTAATACTTTGTTTATCTGTGAAAAAAAACTGCGCAAATTTTTGCTTGATGACTGCAATACTTTGATATGATGGAATGATTGCGGTGAATTTGCACAGGGAGTGCATCTGTACTGAAAAAAAAAAATTTTTTTGCTTGGGATGGCAGTCAGATCTGGCTTTGTACAGAGTTTTGTGGTGCTGATTTAAATGGTCAAACACATTAGTTGTGGTGCCTGTGTTTAGTCAATGTCATCCTTTCGGTAGCGGAAGTTTTTCCACACAGCTGACGCTGCATTTCTATTTGCAACTAAATCTTCCTTTTCAATGTTTCTCTCCTGCTCCTCGCTTATTTTCTGTGCACATGTGAAGCCTGCATGTCAACAAACTGTCTTGTGAATACATAAAACAAGACTTAAACAAGAGTAAACTATGTTTCATCACGTCTCTTGCTTATTAGTCATAAAAATTAGAACAGCAAAACTTAATTTTTGCATTAAGCAGCAAAAAACTGTTATAAAATGATGTGTTTGAGTTAATTTACCTTATTTCCCATCACATGTCTGGCAATGTCACGATTACTAAGAAGTGCATCACAAAAATTATTCTGAAACAATATATTGCACAGTCCTAGTCCTAGATCCTGCACAATCCAATATAGAGGAATATTGGAACACTATTCCACTTTCGCTTCTTTATATACATAAACTGTGCAGGGTGCTTGATCCCAAGAATGAATTGATATAGTAATTCGAGACTCTTGCTTTTAATAAAGATGATGTACTACACAGCTGTTCTGGCTGTTGCATTCCATTGATCATATATCATCAATCACATAATTACAAACAGATCATGTTTATTGCCAAGACAAATCTGTCATATTTGTCACTGTAGCTACAGGATATACTTCTCCCACGGTCAGGGTGCCAGACAGGACCATCTGTCCAAACACAGGTGCTGTTTGTTAACTGGGCAATCCATTAAATATGACAAAGATTTTTTGGGTCCAGCACAGCATACTTGCAACAGATGGTGTGATACCAGATACCAATCCATTTGGTGGATGATTAAAACCTTTTTAATTGCTGCTTTGTGGTTAAAAAGCTTTTGCTAACTGGCCTTATTGAGACTATTCTGTGCTGCAGAATGGTCTGCCTGTGTAAAACTATATTTAACTAGGCTAACGCGAACATTACAAGTGAACCCTTCACTATGTTAGATCAAAAAAACTTTTTGGGCCATTTGATAATCTGAAAACTTATGAACAGAAAAAAAGCTTTGCTCCAGATGTGATCACTGCTTCTCACTCGTTCAAACTGGTAACATAAAGACACGATGCATATATTGGAAGTTATCAGAGTTCTAAGAGATGTATTTTGATCTAAAGCCAAACAGAAAAAGAAAAGCACTAACACTCTATGCATAGGTGCTATAGGAGCTGCAGTTGTCTCTGAAACTTCTGTGAATGTGTGCGTGTTGAAGGTACCTTCTGAAAATGTCTGTAGATATGGTCTCCAAGTACAGCAATGCATCTGCTATCTGTTGAACAGCCTCCTCTCTCCTTAGGTCTGGCTGGATGAGAGGCACTGAGTACACCTGGCCCTCCAGGCAGTGCTTCTCTGCCATCCTGCAAAACAGCAGCATAGCAAAGTTGAATCAAAGCTGAACATATTCTCTGACCCTGATCTTTGCAGTTGATCTGGTCTTCAGTATGGATAAGTCTGCACGAAAATATAATGCCAATCTAGACATCACACTCTGGTCGGTTTGCTATAGGGAAACATGATAAACTGTAACATTTTAATGTTCCTCTGATTTCAGTCGACATATTGACGTTTGACCACTGCAGAGACGTTATTGAAATCGCACACGCCACTCTTCTCATCTGACTCTCACATGACGGTGCTGGGACATTGAATTACTGTGATGCTATGTGTATTTTTTTCTTCTGTTTCACTTTGTAAACAGGCTAAAATTGAAAGCTTGCAGTTAATACACTTGAACTGAGGCTGTGTCCTAGCTAATATATCCCAAATTTATCCAATGCAATGGTATAAATTGACGTTCAAACGAAAGCCTGTCAGTGCTACAGAACTAATATCCGTAAGTATAGCTGTTTAATGACATATTGTACATGAAATATCGGTCTTACCTGACCATGAGTGTTGTTTACTTGTTACCGGTCACAAAAAACGATATTAGCAGCAGAAGCTCAGCTGAATGTAGTCGCTTGTTTAGCAAAACAACGATTCCGCACTTCCGCATCCGCGTGGCACGTGACCGCAACGATATTACAGTGTTGCGTTCGCGTTATCTCGGAAATGTCGCTTTCGCTCTGGACGCGCCTTTAACTCGCTCGACTTTGACAAACTGAAGTATTTGTAGACATAACAAAGACACAAATATCCTTAATCTTGATTGAAATGAAAAAACGAAAACGTCAAAACAGTACACCAAAAAATACAACAGTTCTAACTTAATTTGACTTCTTTGCGACGTTGAATGCAACTTCACTGAGTGAAGTTCAAGAAAAGGTTACGGGAAACTTAAGAGTTCTGAGCAATTCGATTCTCATATTTTTCTAAATTTAAAATTGTGCTGGACAGTAAAGGTATATCCTTAATGCTATCAGAATCCCACTTTCACTTTTGGAATAGCTTAAAAAAAACGAGATTTTATAGACCACATTAGACATAGCCCAGATATGAAACCACTACACACTGAGTGGTCAAATCTGGACTACATTGTGCAAAAGAGGCTAAAGAGTCTTTAAAATATAGTATCCCATTCATGAAACATTTATTCTATTTGTGAAAATGCAAGACAGTGAGATTTCACTGCTTTTTTGCATGTAGAGTCCATTGGAGCAGGTCAAGATCTAAAACTACAAAACATAATCTACCTTTTTTTTTTCCACAAATAGAATATAGGTTTAACATATCATAAACTGTGTTTTAAAGTAATTTCAACCTCTATGGAATAACCTAGTCTGGATTTGGCCAGTCTATAAACATTGGTTTTGCAGTCTAACGTGGTCAGCATCCGAATGAGAAGAGATGCCCAGTTGTCACTGACTGTAGATTTCATTATTCAGTTGTCCCTGATAACATATTAAACATACCTGATTCATGCAGCCTATCGTTACTATTATTAATAATGTTATTATTATAGGGGCCTGCCGATTATTGTAGCACAAAAATAGATTTTCAATCATTTTTTTTCCAATTAACTTTTCAAATTGTATTTTTACATTCTGTGTTGTAAACAAGTCTCATAAAACCTTCAGATGCTGTTGACCAACAAGCCACAACAACTCAGCAGCGACTCATTGTACCTGTAGGGTGCGTGCTTGCTCTGGACTTTTCTCGTGTCTGTGCGTAATGACGCATCCGGCCTCCAGCGCCTCCCCTCCCCTCCTCCCTCCTGTCACATCTGGATCTGGCTCCTCTCATCAGCACCACTCAGCGCAGTGGCAGAGAGAGAGAGAGAGAGAGAGAGAGAGAGAGAGAGAGAGAGAGAGCGGGAGGGAAACGACCGGAGAAGTGAGACCAGCTCGGTCGGCGCAGCCTCATCCACAACCGAGCAGAATCAAGGAGAGGAGAGTGGAAGGACATCCCACCTTCTCATCCGCACTCACGGATATTTTGCGCCTCCTCCGTCCTCCATCCCTCTGTCCAGCTTCTTTTTTTCCCCTCTCTCTCTCTTCCCTCCTCTTGCCTTGGGTATGATGAGCTCGAGCCTTCTTGAAAACCCGGTGCAGGCGATTCTGTACCTGCGGGAGCTCACCACCATCGTCCAGAACCAGCAGAGTCTCATCCAGACTCAGCGCGCACGGATAGAGGAGCTGGACCGGCGGGTGGACGAGCTCATCGGCGAGAACAGGCACCTGCGGGACGTCAGGGTACAACAACAGCATCCCTACCATCACCACCACCACCATCATCACCCCGACCCCAGCTGCCTTCATCACCACCACCACCCTCAGGACCCTCAGTTCAAGACCAGTGGAGGGTCTCTGCCAGAACATGCAGTTGCACCAGCACAGGTCGAGGCAGCTCCGGCTGTCCAGCCCTCGCCTCCCCAACCTATGGACCCAGGGGACATGCAGCTGGTCCCGGCGGACCCGTCCACTATTTCCCCGGTTGAAAGTGAGTCAGAAAACGGTGGAAGTTGCGCCAGCTGCCGCTCTTTGGTTCCGATGACCCCGACAACCCTCTGTCGGTCCCTGGCCCTGGCTAGGAAATCCGAGTGAGTAGAGAATACAGCCTATCCTGCTGGTTTTCATGTGTGTGTCTGTCCTAAAATAGTCCACTGGGGGAATACTTCATATTTAGAAGTAACCTCTTGTGGCCCCGAATTTATTTTTATTTCATTTTACAGCACCTCCAACCAAAATAAAATTCCTACCTTGGATAGTGGCGTCTTTTAAATCCTTCAAATAGTATTTGTGCAGATCCGTCTTAAACTGTGTAATTAGGCGCGTGCACGCGTGCGTGCGTGTGTCCTGCAGATTGAGAGGCGTTTAATTAATGAAGAAGGCGCTTGCAAATTCCCAATTTTCAGCTGTGTGTGTCGGCTGAGGACTGTGCCAGAAGAGGAAGAGGTGGATTATTTAAATGAGAAACTGGATCACGATCACTGGATCATTACATAACAAACAGCTGTGGGCCTCTACGTGTGTGTGTGTGTGTGTGTGTGTGTGTGTGTGTGTCAGCACAGCGGTCAGTGACAGTCTGAGACAGGAGAAAGTCTCACGTGTGATGATGAGACACCTCGAGTCGCTGTCCGCGGTGCTGCTGCTTTCTCTATTAATTACTGCACGGGATCTGGGAACTCTCACGGGATCTCTAGGCCTCTGATGTTCCCGTGTTAGATGAGACACACGTGCGATACTCTCACACACACACACACACACACACACACACACACACACACACACACACACATTCACACACATTGGCGCACACCACCCCCCTCCTGCTTGGTACCAGATCTTCATAGTACATCAGCGCAGCACCTAATGAGAGAAAACCCATGTTTCTCTCTTTCCCTGTGTGTGTGTGTGTGTGTGTGTGTGCGTGTGTGTGTGTGCGTGTGTGTGTGTGTTCATAAGTTGTAGGCTATCCCAGCAGGAGCTCTGATTGGTCTCTCTGGGACTCCACCTCCAATGAAGGCAGCAACACTGAATAAGGAGGAGTTGAGAGGAGCAGCAAAGGGTATAAGAAGGATACATATATATTAAAAAAAGGTGCTGTTGACATTAATCTATGGCAAATGTCACACCTTTGATTTCCAGCTCTGCCTTACAGTGCCTGTTGCGCCCCTCTACAGCCCTGCCTGGACCCTGAATCGTGCCCCGTAAAGAGCTTACCCGGCCTGCTGCGACTCTGATAGAAATCAGTGTTACCACCACTGATTCTTAATTTTAATTAGTTTCACTGGCGAGGGAGAAATTACAATAAATGAGTCGTTATTCTAAAAACTAGGGGGGTGAAATTAGCAGAGGCATCCACCAGTTGATCAGGAAGCAGAGTGGCTTGTCCTGATGTCTGTTCCTAACTGTAGCCCCACACGCTCACCTGCTCAATAATTTTCAGTCTTTCTGGATAAGACAAGTCGTTTAACGCCTAATGTCTGCTTTTGCTTCTGGCAGGCCGAGCAGGTGACGGGCAGGTGAGGTTTTCACCTCCCTGTCATTGCCTGCTGCATCCTGTCTGCAGCTGACTAGAGATCAGATCTGCCCTCTGCTATTTCCGTTGTCAGTTTGCCTCAGCATGTTTCTCTTACACCTTGTATACGTGTGTGCTTTTGCGCATATGTCAGCGTCGGTGCAGGTGTCGTGTGCGCTTTTTATTCACACATCTCACTGTACCCATTTATTTAAACCTTGTTTTAACTCTCTGTAGGCCTCAGATTTATTTTTTTTGTCCTACAGATAGATGACATGTGCACCAGTGTGCAGCTCAGGGTTTGCTGCTGTGAGTGCGCCTGTGTGCTTTGCATTGTTGTTAGTGTTGCCAGTGCACATGGATATGTCTATTGGGGGGGGAGAGACAGGATTCTCTCCTCCACTCATTCTCTGCCTCTCTCTCCAGCTGAGCTTTCTATCTGCCCCACTTAGCCCATGGAGCGAACAGTAATCAGCCATTCTCAGGAGAGAGAAAGGCAGAGCGATAGAAAGAGAAAGAGTGCACGCTCAGTCGTTGTCTTTGATGGAGCCCTCAGAGGTGTCTAGAGGAAGGAGCTCGGGGCTGACGTCGGAGTGGACCGGTGAAAGAGAGGGGAGATGGGGGTGGAAAAAAAAAAGAGAATAAAAGAGGAGGCGGGGGGGATGTTCAGTATACAGAGAGTAAGACAGGTACCAGGAAAGAGCACAACACAGAGATGAGAGATGAAAACAGGGTGCATTTGAGGTAGCTGTCTCCTCAGCCTATGCATCTTGCTGGTAAACGGATATGGACAGCAGAGACTGTGGCATCCTGTGGCACAGTGAAAGGTGCATGCGATGTAATGGTAATGTTTCTGAGACCAAATGGAACTGATGTCTTTTGCATGCCAACCGTCCCCCTTCTCCCTGTTTCCCTTACACTTTCTGCTGCATATGGGCTGATGAAAAGCATTGCTTTTAAAGTACTCGTACAAAACAGGAAAGAGGAGAGGGATGGAGTAGGAACAACGGGACACTGAGAGAGAGAGAGAGACAGAGAGAGAGAGAGCGAGAGAGAGAGAGAGAGAGGGAGAGAGAGAGAGAGAGAGAGGGAGGGAGAGAGAGAGCGAACTCGGGCCAACAGCAGGAGACATGTACTGTTAAAATATTCACCTGTTCTCTTTGTAAGTGTTGTTGGAGGCGAATGGCCGATATGTGTGTGCCTTGTAGACAGATGGACCCGCTGAGTGTGTGTGTGTTTGCGTATGAGTGTGTGTGCTCAGCTTGGCCTCTTCTTCACTGTATGACCAAACAAAGCTGAGCAGGGCTGAGCTGTTTTGTGTTTGCCTGACAAAATAACCCAGCTCTCATGCTGACGGTGAGCAGTGCTGGTAGTTGAGTGCTTTTTTACATTTTGACCTTAAGTTTATTGTGTTATCAGTCAGCCCTAACTTCTATTCAAACCTGTAAACACCATTTGGGTTTTTGTATCGTCCAGTATGCCTGTTTGCTTTCTTGCTGGGTTAGATGATATTATTCTTGTGTCTGTCTGCAAGATATAAAGCTGCAGTAAACAGCCAGTTAGTTTAGACTCGAGTAAGAGTCGGAAAAGTGAAAAACAGCTCGCCCGACTCTGTCTAGAGGTGATATATTCACCTACCAGCACTTTATACAGCTAAAAAAAATGAAAACATTATATCACTTTGTTTAATCTCTGCAAAAACTTGAGTGTAAAAATTAAAGTTCTGATTTCTGGATGATGTAGTGCTGTAGTACTTCTTGGCCAGGTTCATTAATTTACGGGAGTCTCCACTGGTTGCCTAGCAACTGGTCTGGGACAAGAAATACTCTTGACAGGTTCCCCCCGCCCCCCCTCCACCACACACTCCCCGTACTAACTTGTGCTTTCTGCACTTTGTTCCAGTCTTTATTGCCAAACTAAGCTAACTGGCTGCTGGCTGTACTTCATATACTGTGCAGACACAAAGCTTCTCTCCCGGCTCTCAAGAAGGAGAATGAGTTTATTTTCCAAAACATCACACTATTCATTTAAAGATGCCTTTCCCTCAGTTACTGATAAAGTATCTGATGGAAAGTAATTGTAAAAAAATGCTCTCATGCACTGAATTCCTGACAAATGTCCAACTGCAACGTATTTCTAATAAAGTAAAGAGCTGACCTTGAACAATCTTTGACATCCTTTTATTTACCTGCACATATGTCAAGCAGATGTGCCTGAGACAAAATCCAGTTTGGCCTTTTGACCCCACCAAACTTCTAACACGTTAAAGGTGAACACCACAGCACATTTGTTCTGTACCCCTTCATGGATTTGTAAATAATTTGTAACTTGAAAATTCCACCCAGCAGAAGAGACGAGATTCAAGAGATGCATCACCTTTGAAATGGGCTTTCAATAATGAATAGACTTTTAAAAAAAAAGACAAATAATGTCAGGGCCTGTCCCAGCTGTCATGCAGCACCAGTCTATCACAGTCAACCCTGCACACGCTGACAGCCAAATTAGAATAATCAGTTAACTTACCATGCATGTCTTTGGACTGTGAAAACATCAGGAGTAAACTTACAAACTGCACAGAATGGCCCCAGCTGATCATCAGCTTTGAAGCCAGAACCCTATAGCTGTGACACAGCAGTTCTAACCGCTGCACCGTGGTGCCACCCCCGTCTCATACATAAGAAAGATTCATGTACGGCTATAGATCAAGGTATTATCAAAGTATTATGTGTAGATTTGCATCAATCTTCAGGTAATCAGGAGGGGAAAACCTGCAATTCAAGGTTGCCTCGTTGTTCCCTGTCATCTATCGGTGCATTCTGCAAATGTGATATATTTTGGCAAGCACGCTTAAAAGGAATTTGTTTTGGATGTATGCCAAATGTCTAACTAATGTTATTAGTTTGACTGATTGCAGTAGTGACCTTGATTTCGTTTTAACCTGCTTCTCTTGATGTTTGTGGGCTGTTTGAGAACAGCACAGTAAACCGCTGTGCTGAAAAGTGAAAAACTGACACATAACAGAACTGTTTTGGAGATTTCTCAAGGAATAATCTGTTAAATGTTCAGTGTGTAAAGCTTAGAGGGATCTATTGGCAGAAATACATTGCTGTTGTATTCATGTTCACGTCAACATAAGAATTTTGTGTTTTTCGTTACCTTAGAATGAGCCGCTGCCATGTTCATACAGTACCAAAGAACCAGACTGTACATAAGAAATATAGAATAGCTACTGGCACATCACCCATTACTTGTCAACTGCAGTTTGAAGCTTCAACTTTAGAATTTGGCTCTCTTGGTCTTTTGAAACTGGACATGATGAAAGAAGGGTGAATCTGACCAAGAAGTTGAGGGCACTGTGCACGCCTACACAGTAGAAACTGTCAATCACAAGGTAGCCCTGCCTTAAAAAAAAAAAAAAAAAAAGCTACCCTGCTTTATGGTCTGTTAAAGAAGACTTGAAACTAGGGAATGAAACCATAAACTCAGTCGGAAGATGTTTACTGAGGTAACAAATTGAGTGAAATATACAGCCATTTTCTCTGCTATATTTCTTTACAATCAGACGCTTCATGAAACTCGAGGAGTCGCCCCTTGTCATTTTGCCATCGGCTTCACTTTCTACATCCGGAGGCTACATTCATCTTTTTAACATTGTCTTTGCCCGGAATGGACAAACTAAACACTGGCTCTAGACAACTAGTGTTCAGATTTGGCCACCATATCTCTCCTACACACTTGGAAGTGGACGGTGAGCTGATTTCTCAAAGGAAAGCGTCCAGATTTGTCGACGCGTCGGATCCGTAAAGGCAGCACTACGCAGTTCAGCGTGTTTTTCTGTGTTATGAATGTCACTGGCAGAGTAGGTGTTACAACAGATGAAGGAGTATTATTCATAGACACTGAGTGTGAAGAATGTTGACCTGAGATATTTAAAAGAAAACAATGTCCCTTTAAGTCTGTGGAAGTTGCTGTGAAAAGATAGCTTTTTATAGCTCGGACTGTCATTCCTAGTATTGCACTGACTCTGAATGCCTGTCACTGCAGGTCAGTGTCACGAGCAATATGCTGTGCCCAGGTCAGAAGACTCGCTGTAGCGTAGCCAAGAAATTCACTGTCAACTGAATGTTTTCAGCTCAACGCGGAAGAACCCGACCTATGCTCACACGACACCTCACGATAATTTAGCTCCGGGCGGCATCTATGGCTGTGAGACATGAACGCTTATGCTAATTTTTTACGTCTCTTGCATGAAGGGCGTCCGGCATCCCAGAAGGTGAAAGGGTCGAGCTATAACGCAGCTTCCACGTGATGTGTCTTGGCAAATTATTATTATTATTTTGTTCTCTTCGCTCAAATTGCTCCAGATAAGAGCACCAGCAAAATGTCTAAAATATGAATGTAAATGTAAAATGTATGAGAGAGAGAAATGAGAGGGGCAAACTTCAGAAGAGAAAGCAGGAAGCAGAGCTGGAATTACCATCTGTCCAGATTGGGTTTGGGGAATTCTGCTAAATCACCACTGATCTGATGAATTGGAGGGATGTGGGGGTGGGTTGGGGAGGTGGTGGTGGTGGGGGGACCCATAAGCAAGCACATCCGGATGCACAAACATATAAATACTCATGCTCGTTCCAAGTTTTCACAGCCTTGAATTGACCTACATAGGGTATTTACTCCGGGATCAGTGCCAAATTGTATATTATAATAGACAATAATCCAGAGTCTAAGAAGAGCCTCTTCAGGGATCTTTTGGGATGTTGGGAAGCAACATAAGGAGGAACATGGAAACAAGGCAAACAGCTAGCCACAGCCAATTATAACTGAACGATGCGTTGCCCTTTTCTGATCTGTCCGCCACACCACTGTACCTTTTGGCTTACCTTTCCTGTTCTCATGTGTCCTTTTGCAGGAGTGAGACTGTGCTGCATCAGTTTTGCTGCCCCGCCCCTGAACATCCAGAAACTGACACCACAGGCTCATCGGGGTAAGAACAAATTCCATGTTTTGTTTTTTTAATTTCCACAATTCAATATGCTCTTCTAAAAACATGTCTCCATATGCACCTTCTGTGTATTTGTGTCATCCAACTGAGTCACGTCAACACCCGGGCTTTTAATAGTACTTGACAGTGTGTGCACAGTGCTGTACTGTATGTGAGTGTGAATGGGTGTATTTCTTGGTCTGCGGAGCCCCGGAGTTACAACTACACAGCTAAATGTTTTGTAGCAAACCTATAGCTTGAATGGCCTCAAGGGTAACTCACACAAAGACAGACAAAGCCCATGGCAACCCTGATGCAGTGACGCAATCATTACAACTGCCATAGTAACTGGAGAACTGAGCCACTTTTATGTATACTTACGGACATACCGTATATGCTTTATTGATATATATATACACAACTCACACAACAAGTAAGAAAAGTGGCTGTATGTGGGGGTGGGAGGGTGAACACATGACATTTCCCTTGGATGTTTGAACAGGCATTGCTCTTGAACTTAGAAAAGCTGATTTTGTCATGTTTCCCAATGATTACCCTCCATCCCTCCCTCCTCCAGAATTTCTCCGATCTTTTAATCCTCTGTACTCTGTTTCTAAATCCAGTTTTCCCCAGTCTTGTCTGTTTTTTCCTGTCTCTGATTCTGCTGCAATGTCTTTCCCCTCGCGTTGTTTATTTCTTCTCATTATTTATCTGTCTGTCGGAAGGCCACGTCTTTTCTAATCATCCAACCGCAATTATTTTCTATCTCATCCCTCCCTATCAAGTGTCTCTCCCCCCATTCTGCTTTTATTAATATCACCATCTGTCTGTCTGGAATCCCTCTCCTTCTCTCTGATCTGATGACTTAACTCCTACACCCACATAGTCCTGATTAGATGGGCTAATGGCACAGCGGCATCGGACAGCCAGCTGAGATGATGAGCTGCAGCGGGGATGTGTAGCACCGTACCTCATTATTATCATCATCACATGAAGTTGTGCTCTCCTGGTGGCTGCGAACCTGCGCCGTGTCATCCGCCGCGCACTGTCATCAGCTGAATCCACCAGAGCACACAACACTCCCAAGAGATGCCATGAGATCTGCCTCTAGCCTAACCTGCCGTGCCTTTGCTCTGCAGCCTTTGTGTGTGTGTGCGCGTGTGTGTGTGTGTTCTCCCCTGGGTGTACAATACTGTAGGTCTCTATGGGACTTGAGCAGTCCGATTGGACAGATGTTCGTTTGTCTTCCACGCTGACGTCACTCGCGTAGGAAAGGCAGGAGCATGTGCTCGGTGTGTTTGTTGCCACTCCATATGTGAGCATGTATGAGAAAGAGCGAGTGGGAGAGAGCATGAGAGAGAGAGAGCGCGTATAATGCCCATATCATTATGGAGGCTTTTGCTGTCCAGATGCATTAATAGCTCAACTCTTGCTTTTAAATCCTCTAATGTATTCTAATGTACTCTAATGTATTCTGATGCAGCGCTGGGGCATGGCAGTGTTTTAATAGAGTTTTTGATAGAGACAGCCTCCAGCATGCACACATCAACACACTCTTTCTATCTTCCTGTTTCCCCCCTCGCCGTTTCTATCTCACTCTTTCCTCCGGTTCCTCTCTCTTCGCTTTTCTGTCCATTTTTTTCCCCCCCTCCTAGCTTTATCTCATTTAAAGATATGACCAAGCTTCTCTGGCCCTATCTCTGACTTTTAGCTAGGGACGCAGAATAGTTGCTTTCACAGCAATCAAAGAAAACAAAGAGGAACTTTAGTGATGCGCTCATTATTTAACCATGAGCAGGCTTTTTATTCTCCCCAGTCCTATTTAGCACTGGTCCCCCTTCGTGTAAAAATTATTAGAGTAAGCATTATCTGGTTGGAAGAAAGATTGCACTAGCACACACCGTTATGCACACACACACTTTAAATTGTGCAGCATTATAAAGACTCTTAGGGTGCCATCATACCTCTATGCTTACATCAGTCCAGTTTGACCATATAAAAGGTGCTGAGTGTCCGTGTTTTCTCTCTTTTAGTGAGATGTCAGAGAAGTTGACAATGGCGACGAAAGCTTAAACTGTAATAACGTTTTGGCTTAGTGGAAAACTTGGATATTAAAAGGACATCTTCTGCTGTGTCATGGGAGTAATTTACTTTGATAAGCTTTACAAGGCTTTCACTGAATTTTAATAATGCTGCCATGTAAAAGAACGCTGTTCCATCTGTGGACAGGATCTGGGATTATTAGAGGAGGATGGGACACGCTACCAGTGGCAGTGAGCACTGGGAGACAGCCTCCACACTTGATGTTGTCAAGCCAAATTCAAGCTGGATTTAATTTTGTTCTTGCTCCCAGCTTCTGCTGAATTAAAAAAAAAAAAAAAAAAAGATTGTTTCTTTACTAGCTGTGGAGTCTGATTGGGTATTTCCCAAACTTTTTCTGCAAGTCATGTTTGACTTTGAAGATAATGACAGCCTTGTATTTCTTCCAATGTATTTTAATGCAAAATCCCAGCAGCAGGAGACTGTCTAATAATCTTTTTTATTTTCTGTGCAGCAGACTCAGAATGTTGTATGTTTTTTTAATATTTTATTTTTTTTTATCATAATAGCCACTGAAGTGTTCATCTAAATGAAGTCATTGCTATGGAAACACACTGGCTTTCATAGTCTCATATACAGAATCGGCACTGATTAGCAAAACATCTTGTGGAACATTGTTGGCACACCAACAAGATTAGAAGCCCTACTGTGAATGCTCATTCTTTCAACTCCAAGGCTGTGTCTAAAATAACTCTCTGTTTGCTACCAAGTGCACTTTGCTTTCCACCAGTTAATGGCTTGTCCAAAGTCTGAAGGATAAGACAGTTGGTTCAGTCTGGGAGCAGACTGACTCTTAATTATGCAGATCACAACCCTCCACACGATGAGTGTATATATATTGCTTGTTTTGCTCTTGTGGTGTGAAGTTGACGGTGCCTAAAATAGATCTCTTTGGCATCAAAATACTGAGCGAAAAAAAACACTTATTGCAGCAATATGCATTTCAGTTTGGTGGAGTGGCTCTGCTCATGTGACACTCTGGAACTAATCTGAGCAAACTTGACACTTACTGTCCCTGAGCCCTCCAACTCCCCTGGTAGAGCCCAAAATACACAACATTTAATGATCAGCAACACATTAAAAGAAATGTTCAAACTTGTCGCACAGCTAAATACGAGAGGAGTCACGAGACGTGGAGGGAATAAAAATCTGTGAGCGGGCAGATGATTAGTAGTGAGTATGCAAAGCTTAGCGTTGTTTAATGCAGACTAGATTTGATCAAATGATTAACTGGATCGCCTGTTAGCGGACAAACATTCCTGGAGGCTGCATGGAACATGTCACTATAAAATGACTATCGTGCCTGTCTGAAATACCGCAAAGCTCCATTTACATGGCATTACATTTGGCAGTGAAGCATAAAACTGTGCATAGTTGATTTTAAGTGTCTTCATTTTACTGCCAGAAGGTTGAAACAATTTGGTAATAAACAGTCTTGTTCAGCGGTTGCCAAATATGTCAAATATGTCACGAAATCAGTCTCGTAAGCTCATCATCCATACAAGAAAAAACTCAATTCTAATGCTAATTATCTTTACCTCTTCAGGTCTAATTCAAATGAGACAATATGAGAAGCAAGGATCAGTGACTGAACTGCACATTTACAATTCAGAGATATGCAACCTGTGATGAGGGATTGCAATGAGATATTTATTCATCTTAAGCAACCACAATGAAATAAACAAAAGGTTGGGAACTGCAGTTGATTAAACCTCTAAACACTAAGCAGTTTCAGGGCCTTTTTTTTTGCTCCCACTTTTTTTTTTATTTTTACATACATTATATTCTTCATTTTGTTTACATGCTTGTCTCCTATCTGCCTTATGTAAACACAGCCTGCAGTTAGCTGAGTTCAGCCAAAAATGTAATAAATGTCTGGCACGTGACTGTTGGTTGCAGCTGAGTCACTCATAGCTCCTTGGTTGCACTGAGGATGCAGAATTTTGCAAATTCTGGTGAGAGCAGATTCTTATTTTTGGGGGGAATTTTTGAATAGAACATGTAGAATAAAGTGCCTTTGATTAAGTATATCTCCATTTTATGCTTAGATTTGACCAGTTTTCCCGATGGATCGGTACTTCACTGATGAGTAGCTTGAAGGTTGAAAATTTTAAAATTCTTTATGTTTCTAGAGTTTCTGGCTCTGATAAATCGTATCTTTTTGGAGATGTTTTTAAAAAACATAAAAAACCATGCTTTTCAAATCCATTACATTTTGAGGTTCAGCTCAAAAATATATCAAACAACTACTGATGACTGATGAACTCATTATTCAAAAAAATAAAATGCTAAAGATCTACTGTTTCCTGCTTCTTAAAATGTGAGGATTTGCAGATTTTCTCTTTTTAATATAATTGTGATGATATTAAATATCTTGCAATTGTTCTTCAAAACAAGCTCTTTGATTTGTTGTTTTTGTTCTTAAAATGATTATTTTTGGACTGTTTTTTTCAGCTGACCAACAAACAATGGGAATGTTGTTGCTTGAGGCCCTACTATAAATTATTGAGAGCATATAGGAAATAAGGGAAGGAAGAAAGGATTTTGGACACAGTGTGTCAGTTTTTTAGTATTCATCCTGGTCACATATCCAGCGTTTCACCCCTGCAACTTGCAGTGAAGCCACAAATTTGACTAAATACGACTGGACAGATAAAGTCAGTCATCCTCACCCCGGGCCACTACAGCCACACATCACTCTGCACGCTGCTTCCCTTGTGAACCTCTTCTTCACACTCTGCATAGCTGATGACAAGCTAAAGCAAAACCAGCAGAGTCTTGGTCAGTGGGGAGGACTGATACCTTTCTGCTCTTATTTCTGCTGCAGTGGACAGATGCTGAGTCTGGAGGATGGAACTTCTTCTGGTGGCGGACAAGAAGCAGAGGGGACCAAGAGAGAGGGACCCAGCGAGTACGAGATCTCCCTGGAGAATAAAAACAAACAGGTATGTCTTTTCTCAAGCGTACGTGAGGCCTTGTGCACATGGTAGGAATGCGATGAACGCAGGCTGCGCTACCTGGTTTACGTGTGAGGAGGTGTGTGAAGGATGATCATTTGACATTGCGTCTTGCGTGACAAAAAAGATTCCCATTCAGATCTATTTCTGTCTCTGTTGACATGAAAAAGAACACCCAGGATACCACTGCCACAGCGAAAGGAACACGAAAGATGCTAGGTTGTCATGGTAACAGCTAATAACTGCTTCTGGCGGCTGGAGATGTCTTTATTCCTCATAGCAAACTGCTGAAGGGTCTGCTGTTGCTACTGCTATTGCTGCTGCAGTGAGAGTGTGTGCATTACGAGTGTGTGTGTGTGTGTGTGTGTGTGTGTACGTGCACTTTTTGTGTGTGCAGATACACACCCAGGCACATGTGTGGCTGTCCTCCTTTCCCTCCCTTTCTGTCTCTTCTTCCCCTGCCTCCCACTCCTCCTCCTCCTCCGATTCCCTCTTGCAGAAAATATAAGAGGGCAAAAATTCTGGAGGATGGTGAGATTTTGGGCTGAGCTCCTCCGCCAACAAACGGACCAGAAATAGGCTTGTGCGGGTGTTTACTTTTCAATTCATTTTCTAAACAGCACCTTTGTCACAGCCCATCCATCCTCTCTCTCATGGCCCTTCAGCCAGTATTAGTAGTTCAATGATGATAGATGATGTTTACTTTGGGTCTAATACCATAAACCCCTTTAAAAGAGCAGACAGATAAGTAAGAAGGATACTTCTAAGAAGTGTGTGAGTGTGAATTTCATGACTCAGGGAATGCTCAAACACTTTTGATCTTTTGCAGACATGGGCACAAACCGGAAACATGCTTGCTTGCGGATGGATGAATAACTATCTTTGCGTGGATGATGTGTGCTTTGCAATATTGCTGTTGCAGTGTCTTCAGTGTGTCTCAGAGTCTTGTAAACATGTCTGATACACCCACTCCCGCTCACCCTCTTTCTGTTCCCAGATAGAAGACTTGGAGCAGAAGTATGGAGGCCATCTCATAGCGAGACGGGCCGCCCGCCGCATCCAGACAGCCTTCCGTCAGTACCAGCTCAGCAAAAACTTTCAGAAGATCCGCAACTCGCTGTCGGAGAGCAAGCTGCCTCGTCGGATCTCTCTGCGCCAACCCAGCCCTTCAGGCCGAAATCGGAATGCAGCCCAGAGACACAGTTACAGTCTGCATCCGGGAGGAGGACAAATACCCTTACGTTCTAAAACTCCTCCTCCACCTCCATGTCGCTCCACCTCTCTACCCCCGTCTCCTGCCTCGGCTCCAGCAGCCGCCCCTTCTCCTGCGCCAGGCCCGGCCCCACCTCAAACCCCTGGACCCACACTGACACAGCTGGAGGACTGCTTCTCCGAACAAGTGAGTTTTTTGTCTCTCATGTTATGTAAATGCAAAAAGGTATAGAGAAATGCGGTTTCATTAAAGGGAACTGCAGTGGTTCTAGACTGAAATATCTCAGCAGCTGATTTTTACAGATGTTTATGGTTCCCTGACAATGAATCCCAAAGATTTAAATGATCTGCTGACCATTCCTTTAGCACCTCTGGTCAAATGTTGTGACAGCGACTGAATGGATTGCCGTGGGATTAGGAACATAAATCCACTGTGCGGAGGATGCATTTGGAGATTCCCTTGACCCTTTTAATGTACTAAAAAATATTGGCATACATTTTGTCCCAGGCTTTTAGATTCTCCTCAGGATGAATCATACCTTTGGACACCCTCTGACTTTCAATAGTGCCACTTTTCAGGCCAAGACTCGAATTTGTCCAATAATTTAGTTTATGACCACATATCTGCAAAGCTAATCAACTAATTCCATTAGCATCTGATGTACACTATTTTGGGTTTCAAATTTGCAAATGTTTTCCTGCTACCATAATTTTATACCATAAATATTACACCTGCATAAGACCAGGGGCATGTTGGTGGTACGTAGAACTTCACAGCCTCACACAGGCACTAGAACACCTGCAGGCACTTTGTCTTCTTCATTTATCCTTTCAACTGATGAAATGTGCCAGAAGGTGAATAAGCATTCATATGGAAACCCATCACTATTGTTAAAAAGCTATTTTGACCTTTTAGTTGCTGCATAGTCGGTATCAGACTGTGCCATCTTAGATCTGCTAAACTTCTGACATTTGACACTCTTCTCTAACCCTGACTTAACATACCTTTAACCTGTCTTTGAATCTCACCCTGACCCAAGAAAAGAGCTGACCCTCAGTGGTTTTTATCGACACTTTATGTTCTGAAGCTGAACTACGCTGACCGGCCCCAGTGGCTTGACAGACAGCTTCATCTGAATGCCATGTCCCGCTTGGTAGTCTAGCAGCTGTCACTATGAATCATTTTTCTCTTCTTTTACAAATACCCACTAATTAGCAGCCCAGCCACTATCATAAAGTTTTCCACACATGAATCATGTCCCTTGACCTGATTAAATCACTGGTTTTGATGTGTAATTTTTTAAATATATATATATATTTGCAGCTTCACTCCTTGGCACAGTCGATTGACGACGCCCTTCGTGGTTGGAGCTTGTCCGAGAGCGCAGAGGGGAAGGGGCTATTGATGGACCCCGGGGCCCTTCGCGCAGCTGCAGAGAGCGCCTGTCTGCCCCGCAGTGCCAGCTCGCTGCTCATGGCCTTCAGGGATGTTACTGTTCACATCGACAGCAATAGCTCCTACACCATCTCCTCTGCCACCACGACAACCACCACCTCTCTGGGCAATGCAGGCGGAGGAGATGCAGGCAGCAGGAAGACCTCGGTGAGCGGGATGGCTGGGGGAGGCGAGTCAATGGAGGAGCCGGAGTTTCCTGCACCTCCGCCCAGTGAAGAGCTGGAAATGGTTGACCCAGGATCCAGGAGGGGTTCGGCGGTGCCGGGTGCAGGAGGAATGGAGGGGGAGAGCAGCTCAGACAGACTGGGGTCCACCTCTACTTCTACCTCTACCTCCACCTCAATCTCCACCTCGGCCCAGTCTAATCAGCAGCCCGCGCAGATTTACACCCAGTACCAGCAGTACCACTACACTCATCCTCAGCAGATCCCCGGGGGTCCGAGCCCCGAGGCCCTGCAGGCCCTGGTTGTCTCTCTGCCCAGGGATCGCTGCCAGGATCCGGTCTCTTGCCGCTCGCCAACCCTGTCCACTGACACACACCGCAAACGCCTCTACCGCATAGGACTCAACCTCTTCAATGTGTGAGTGTGGCGGCAACACACACTCGGCACTGTCACAGAAAACATATTAAATATTTCTGCACCCTCTGGCTCAGGGTTCAGAGAGTACACTTATTACTGTTTGTGTCTAACAAATCTCCAACAGCCCTGCAAAACTGCTCTAAGCAGCTGCTCATTAGTGTTTGTGATTGTTGGGAGGAGCTGCCTGTTCAGTGCCATCTTGGTGTGGTGTCCATGGAAAAAAAAAAAAAAAAAAAGCTATCAAGGGGGTGGGCAGGGATGTAGTGAGGAACAGAAAGAGAGAGAGGAAAAATGCAGTGGAGTTGGAGAGGCAGTCAAGAAGGTCATGAACAATGTGAGAGCCACTCAGCTCCTATAAATAGAGTCCACGGTTGGCCTGCACTTATTATAAGTTAATACAAATTAAAGTAAATTAACTCATATGCATCAGCGACAGTGGGTCTGATCCTGAAGTCCAGAGCTAACAGCTTTTGCGCATGAATGCACTTTTCTTTTTCCTCTTCCTTTTTGTGTGTTTTTTTTTCTCTCTCACACACACACACACTCTCTGGCACACACACTCGTAGAGACGCACACGTTAAGCAGCATTTTTCTTACATACAGCGTAGCACATTTTATTTCTCACTCAGGCCCAAACACCTTCCTGCTTGAATGCACAAAAACATCACACACGTACACACGCAGCGTTAACTCTAACAGTATTTGCTTTTCCGCCGTTTGTCATCTGCGGGCAGGAATCCAGAGCGAGGCATCCACTTCTTGATCACGCGTGGTTTCGTCCCGGACACGGCCATCGGAGTGGCTCACTTCTTGCTGCAGAGGAAGGGCCTGAGCCGACAGATGATCGGAGAGTTCTTGGGGAACAGCAAGCTGCAGTTCAACAGAGATGTTCTCGAGTGAGTTCCTGTTATTAAAATGTGGAGACATCTTTGCATCACGCAGAAATACACATGTATGGGTTTGGGGTTTGATAGAGTTTTTTAATGTATAGTCCAAATACAAATGTTCTTAATTAATGTAAATCCTGTGTTTGCAGCCCTCAGTGTGCTCAGTTATCATAGAGGAGGCCTTAGGTTTGCCTTTTTAACAAAGAATCTAAAAGATTTAGGTGCAACTTTGTAATCAGGCACCTTTTTTATTAAGGTTTTATAAGTTATGAGTATTGGGTTTATTCATGTTCATAAAATACTGACTAATGTTTACTGGAATAATTTATTTTTAACCCTCTGAGCCTCAAATTCCACTGGTGTGTTTGAAAGGCATGTTGACTTGAAAAAAAAAAAATCACCAAAATTACACCGTTTATCAGAACCAGACACTGTGAAAACACAATCATCAGATTTTGACCTTTCCACAGTCCTTCAGCTACTCATCTGTGATGTGTAGTTCCGTCGGAAACCCAATCTAGGCCTAAAAATGATAATATTTAATCAGAATCACTTTGGCTCTGCATGGCTCAAACAAGAACATTATGCTCTTCTTGATACAACCGAGAGGATATGAGTGATTCAGCTGCTAGCAACAGTCATGTGGCAAAAATTCAGGCACCCTCAGCTGAATTAGGCTGAACTGCTGTCTGTGTTTACACTCACAAATCACAATCACCCAAATTACACCAATTTTACAAAGCCAGAGATTCTGCAAACAGAAAGAACTGTCAGATTTTCAACTTTCTGACAGACCTTAAACTACTTATCTGTGATTAGCTGTTCCATTGGGGGGGGGGAACTAATTTATGTGCAAAGATGAGATATTTCCTTATGATCACTGTATTCGAAATGTCTTGATTAAAAAGTCACTAAAAGTAAAGAATCTGCTTTCATCAGAATTTACAAAGAAAAAAAAATGCACTCATTGATGCAACGGAGAGGCTACAACTGATACAGTTCACACCAGTGTCATGCAACAAAAATAGTATTGATACTTGATCACTTCAAAGGAATTTAACTGCCTTTTAAAAAAAAAACCCAAAACATTCATTATAACTTTGTCATGATGTGCAACATATATTTTGAAGTACTTCTAGCTGTGGTTGTGCTGTTTCCATAGAGGTGCAGGACTTCATATTGCAGTGGAAAATGAGCCCACAATGAGTAAAAAAAATGTGACAGGAGCAGTAAACACCCAGATAGTGCTTGGGGTTCAGAGGGTTAAAGAAATGGTAAATAGTTAAATATTCACATCCTCAAATTTTCTTTCAAATGCTACACTTTAGTTAGAAATGCTATCAATTTTGTTATAAATTTATAGTCTTGAAGCACAAGCTTAGATGCCCCTGACTGCATTATATGGGTTATTTTCTCACATTTGACAAAGCTCCTCTTGACATGCAAACCGACTCATAACACTGGAAAAGTGGTCCTCACTCTTCATATCACATTTCCAGATTATGAAAAAATTCTCCTGTGTGCTATTACACTTGCTTCGCCATGAGCGAGCCCTTTAGTTCGTCACGAGACCCCTCTAATGGCCCATTTGACCACTTACCCTGTGGAAAAGGGCTGCAGAGCATCTGAACCAAAATCAATTTATGTACATCTTATTGACATTTTTAACTGCAGACTGTTTTTCACTAGTTGTAAAGTGAGAAACTTTATTTGCCACTTAGCTAAATGGCTGCCTGTATTTGATGTACAAATCTCACCTTAAGGTCAACTGGAGCTTTAAACCACCTGCAAGTTTGGATTGCCTACTTGCCACAAAACCGTATGTTTTAACTTTAAGCTCTTGTTATTCATGCTGACTTAAAATTGATTACTTACAATTACTCCATGTACTTGAAAATAACAATTGAAAAAAATTCACTTACCTTTAGTTCCCCTTAGTAGTCGCTCTGTAGCTTCACAAAAAGTACTATGAACCTCAACTTCCTGGAATTTTTGTCGGTAGCTCTTTGCTACTAAACAAGAGAGAAGAGTCAATAAAAGATTTATTAGTCTCACTAAATTTTTATGAATTCAGGTACTTTAAAATATCTCAGGTAGAACTGGCTATTGAAACTCATGCCACTTGTAAACGTGATAACACACGTACACTCGCTCACTTGACACGGAGCACTTGCATGCATAAATGCGACATATCCACGAAAACACGCCTTCGCCTAATGCTTTCACGCTCACGCCTTTTACATCCAACCAGTGTAGACTATAGACGGAGATCGAGTATAGCGAGGCTTTTTGCTGAGGTTGTTGTAGAGACTGTAGAAATAGGTCACTGCACTGAACGTACACGTAAGCACACACCCTCAGTTTCTTTCACTGAGACACATAGACACACTTGCTTGGACACAAATAAGTGCATGCACATACATGCATATGCACAATCTTGTGTCTCTTACTTCTTTTATTGCCACAGCCTGTCCTCAGCCTTTCATGTACCTCTCTCTTGCCCCCTCACTCTTTGCATTTCATTATTTTGCCCTCTTCATCCCACTTTTTCCTTCCCTCTTATCTCCAACTGTCGCCAGACCTTTTCTTCCCCACTGATGCTTGCTCAGTGTGTGTGTGTGTGTGCGCACGCATGTGTAAACATGTTGTCTCTATGTGCATCTTCCAGGTCAGTAGCTCGGTAATAGAAGTATGACTGTAAGAGAGGGATTTGCCATCAGCACTTGGGTACACATAGTGTGTTGCACATTCACAGGCGTACACGTTTCCACACACTCACTCACTGACTTACCTTCTCATTATAGTGACAGACTACAACTAAACCCAGTCTCACCCCCCCTTTCTCCCTGGCTTTCTTTTCTTCCTCCCTCCCTGTCTTTCTCTTTATAGCTGTGTCGTGGATGAGATGGATTTCTCTGGCATGGAGCTTGACGAAGCCCTGAGAAAGTTTCAGGCTCATGTCCGTGTTCAGGGAGAAGCACAGAAAGTGGAGAGACTCATCGAAGCCTTTAGGTGAGACTGTCAGCTCGCTCGCCACCCGGGCCTCTCCGACAAACAGGCTCTGGCTTTGCTTTTTAATACGATTCAACACAATAACATCCCATCACTGAGCAGGGCTGATAAGGGCACTCTGAACTTTTTAGAAATGAAAAGACCTTTTGCCTATGGCCACCTATGCAAAACAGAAAAACAATGGCACGTAACCAAGCTCTCATATTTTGCAATAAAACGGAAGCAAAAAAAAGTCTATTCTGATCTCGTAGCCTAGGGGTAGCAGACGTATCAGGAATGGCATACTAATCGGCCAACTGTATAGACATGCAAGTGTTTTAACTGGTGCTGCTAGCTCACTGTGGCAGGCTGTGATGACACCGAAGCCCTGTATCATTAGCAAATTACACTGATTGCCTGTAACCTTTGACTAAACTCAGCAGCGTTTGATTGTCATCCAATCACAACAGAGATCTGAGCTGCAGGAAATCAGTGTGCGTTCCATCAGGGCAAAAATAGATTCTCTATTTCCTGGATGACAGTTTTTGGCGAACTCTTCTTCTTTTTAAAAGTATTTGTATGTGGTGGATAACTGTATGTCCATTTCCATCCAAAGCCACGCATGAATATTCATAAGTTCATGTTTGGTACTCACTAGGATTTAGCCTGAGTTGGTTTTCTGCTCATTTCATCAGTGCTGACTCCAGCCCTGCAGTTACTAAAATGTATGAGCATATCTGCTTAAGAAGGCTCATTTAAATACCAAGAGTACCTTGAGAGACCTCCTGTGGTTTGCACATTCAGTTTACACCTTTTTGCGAACTGTCTAGTTTTGCCTGCAACAAACTCATGGATGGAAACAAGGTTCTTATGATGCTGTTACCCTTTGAAAATTCTTTGAGATGAAAACAGACAGACGCAACCAGAAAAACAGCATCTGCAACTGCTGCTTCATCCCCTTGCTTGCACTGTCCTTGAAATGTCCTGGTAATAGCCAAAGATTGCCCTCAGGACTAAAAAGGCAATAAAGATGCCCATCACTGTTTTCTATTTCAGAGTAATCGGTAGCATTGCTTTGTAAATTTAATGTCTCACCGTGGATGTGCTGCTTGTTCCCTCAGGGATACCAACAATGTCGCCAGCTTGACATGACTTGAGTCACTGCCCCTTTGAACTCATTAACCAAGATGTCCTTTTCCACTACAGGGATGTGTGATCACCATAATAAATGTGGTGCCTGTTAGTTAACTGCCACCGCATTTCTGCATACTCATTATGCTGTCCTTGTTTGTCTGATTAATTGACATTGTTGTTGTTTTTTTGTGGTCTTCAAAAAGACAAAATCACAAGGCGTTGGTCCGTCTTTCAGAACCTTCCAACGTTGCTCCTCTTTCTGTGACACTCAGGCTTAAGCCCGGTCGTTCCTTCTGAAGAAACTAAACCTTTGAGCGAAATGCTGTCGTCTGAATGCAAACATGTCCACAATGACGATGCTAACCTGATGTTTAGCAAGTAGTGTTTTCCATCTTGGTTTGCATTGCTAATTAGTACATTAGGCAAACAACAGATGGAAGGACAGATGGTGGCAATGTCATTAGTTTTGTAGGTATTTGAACATAAACCAAAATATTGGACATAATGTAGTTTTTGCTGATGGAAGAAATGTGAAGGTATTTAATGCTAAGGTTAAACTATATATGTATTTTAATATTATTAATTAATTAATTAATTTGTCCAGCTCAAACATAAACATTGCAATCTGATGCATCCTACCAGATTGTAGCTTCAAGATCATTTGCATCTGTAGTCCCCTGGCAGATGTGCGCATCAGTTTTATGGAAATCCCCCAAAAGTTGTTGAGATATGGTCCAAGCTGCTACAGTAGCACAGATAATAAAAACAGATGAGAAATACAGTAACAAAACTGTATTTCAGTGTAACTTACTGTGAGTGCATCCTTCATTAGTGAGAAACCATTTTTCTATTTTTGTCTATTTTGTATGTTGGCCTTTATTTGTAATGGCAGATTTGATGATGTCGGGGATGGCTACAGGTGATTTTGCTGTTCTACCTTTCACTTTAAAATACTCCAAAAGTGTTCTGTTGGATTCAAGTGAGGGAATGTATATACAGTCACCTTTTCTCCCTTTAAAAACTCTGTTGTCATGTTGCAGTGTGTTCAGGATCATTGTCATGGTGGAACATTTCTCTCCTGCGTAGCTTCTAGAGTCTGGAAGTCATCTTTTCAGTCAGTATTTTGGTATAAAAGGATGCATTCATAGAGCCATCTATAAATGTCATCTCCCCTACAAGCTTGTGCACTCATGCAGTGCCGTATCAGCACACGCCCACCTCCTTATTTCACCGTCGGCACAGTGCAGTCACTGTGGTAGTTGTTGGACCCCGTCTGATCCAAACAACTTTGTTTATTCATTTTGGTTTAATTTAGCCAAAGAATGTGCTGCCACTATTCATCAGGATTATTTTCATTTGTTTTTGGCAAAGGCTGTTGTTGCAGTTTTGTGCCATTTCATAAGCAATAGTTTTGTTCTTGGATGCAATCTGTAGAGGTTGACTTGATGCGCTGTCCTTTGCTCTGTCTCACTAAAACACTAATCACCACACGTGATCCACAGATGAACACTTATTCTTTTTCAAACATCTGTTTTCCAGCGCAAAGCTTTGTAAATAGGGATTTAATCACGGTGTAATTTTTGAAAGATGGCCTATGAACCATCTGTTATCGGTAGTATGGTTCTTCCTCCTAACCATTGCTGCAACTGTGTTCTGGTTGTAGGCTCAGTAGTCCACAGATGTCATTTTTAGTCATTCCTCACCATTAGAAGCTGTGTTGTATTTGTTCATCACACAGCTGTAGTCATCACTGGCTCTTTCATAACCTCGTTCATTCTGCCAGCTTATATGTGGAAACTACGTACGAGCATATTGTTCCCTCCTGGAAACCAATGGGTTGCTCTCATAGGTTTGGGGTTGAATTGCTGCCCCTAATGAAGGAGTTTAAATATCTCAGGATTTTGTTCACAAGTGTTGGGAAAACGTAACATGAGATGGACAGACAGATTAGTGCAGCGTCAGCAGTAATGCCGGTGTTTGCTAGTCGTGGTGGAAAGGGAGCTGAGCCGGGAGGAAAAGCTTTCAATTTACCAGTCTGTCTATGTTCCAACCCTCACCTATGATCATGAGCTCTGGGTAGTAACTGAAAGAATGAGGTCGCAGATACAAGCAGATGAAAGGGGTTTTCTCCATAGGGTGGCTGGACTCAACCTTAGAGACCGGGTGCCTGGACATCCAG